AGGATTTTTCCCGAAAGTAGGAGGGGGTAGGGGTGGGGGTGGGGTGGTGGTGGGGAAACGTATTTGTGGCATAAGAGAAATTCGTCTGAGAAATTATCTCTATACCGTATGGGCCCTTCACCTAAATGGGATTGTCATTTTACTGCCTACAACTTTGAAACTTTGAAAGATAGCATACTGGATTGGCTTAGATGATTAGCGCAGAAGTTGTGTCTGCATGAGAACTGAAAAAGAACATCTTTTACATGTCACTTCTACATATATATTAACTAGCTATGGATAGATGAGTCGCAAACTCAAGAAGCAAAATCCAACACAACTTATACGTTTTTCGATCAATTTTTTTCATTGCTGAGCTCATGCATTGTATTTTGAAATCAATTTAAAGCGGAAATCAAAGATATCTTGACAAATAACTTGTTCAAATTTTGGACTCCTATAGAATATGGATGTTGTTTACCTAAAGGTTTTTTGGTTTGGATATTTTTTTCATCAGCATTTCAGGTATAATTGTGTAACGTGAAGTGTTTTGTTTAATTCGATGAAATTCATATCTTGTTAAGAGTCTATACTCTCAACAGAATATAAATTTCATGCCCACTGTTGTTACATCCAGTAAAATCTGTCAGTTACGCGTTTTTAATTGTCTTCTATAGCCAAAATTGTGAGGTACATATCTGATATTTTTGTGGAAAACAATAAATAAATTGTTCGATAAAGAGAGTAACATGCATCCCACCACCAGAAACAAATAAATACTGTCGGTCAAAACTTCAGATCAGCCTCTGACTCATCAGTATCTGTGAACATAAAGAGAAGAAAATCACCTTTAATAAAAACAAAAACAATTTTTGTTGAGATTATTCGATAATTATTATGATATACAAAATATGCGCGGCCAAAATACAGGCCTATTTTTGCAAATATTGAAGTGTTTTGGAGAGTGTAAGCAAGCCGCTGGATTGATTGTGTTATCGGGTTGATCATCAATCACCATTAATCTGGTTTTGTTTTGGTTGTTTCTTTCTTGTTGTTGGGTGATCCAGCACAACCCGATATTTTTTTTTTAATTGTAAGAATTGGGTGATCGGGCCGATATCGATCACCTTTTGTTACTGTTCGAATCATTCTTTGCTCACGGTGTCATTGGGTGATCGATCATCAATCTGATCACCGTTTTGAAATTAAAGTTTGATTTTTGAGGAGATGGAGCTGGTTCCCCATAACATTTTCGTTTCTTCTTGGTATTAAACATTCATTGGAGAGTAACAAAAAGGGTGACAGTTTCGCAACAGTTTCTTCGGAAAAAAGCAGAATTTGTGTATTCCCCTTACAAAGACAGACAGAAACAAAACATATGTTGCCTTTGCAGAAAACTTAATAAAGATATTTTTGGAGATGCAGCACATGTGCTTATCATCTAAATGCATTTATTTCGTACAATGTAGCCACGAACCATTCTTTCGTTAGCTCAGAGCAGAACTTTATTATGCCCATGCAAAAACAAAAAAACAATAAAACATTTATTTTTAGACGATGAGCATACGTTTGCGTATACTCCAAGGACGTTACAGGCTCCGTCAAACTCCATATTGAATTCTACAGATACTGTCTCTATTTTTGAGCAGCCATAAGCTTTATGTGCAGCACCAGAACGGCGCTTCAAAAATCTAGTGATGCCTTGCTGATTTTATGTCCAAAACGTAAATTATAGTTGTAGTCAATGGCAAGAGCCAACGAACGAAGGGGGCCTCAACATGATACAAACTGAATTCTTCTAAACGGGTCAAACAATGAACACGAAACCTTGTAGAAATAACTGTCCGAAAATGTGGACATGTTGTGACCTCATCATGACGTCACCGTATATCAAATTACAAGTGATTTAAAGTTTCAAATTAATACAATACTTTCATTTACAACTTTTTGAACAGAATTGAGTTCCCTCTTTTTTGTGAGCCTGTGACAAATTTGCTTTAATTCTGGTGAAATACCTCTTTTAATACGGTTCACGGGATGATGATAAAAACCTTGTGTGAGCTTGAACCTCCGTCCGAAGATGTGATGAAGTTTGTGACGTCATCATTACGTCATCAGGTATCAAATAATAAGCAATTTATGGTCAACATTTGAATAACTATCAGTTGGACTATAGTTTTTCAATAAATGGAGTACCGTATGGTTCCGAATGGTGTTTTCAAATGGTTATGTTTTTAGGTGGCCCTACTTCACATGTTTTCCTATCATGCAGGCAATTATTGTTCTGTACCGTGTAGACACGAAACAAGTTCTTCAGCTAAGAGCAGAATTTTAGTATGCCGATGCAAAGACAAACAAGATATTTCAGACATAATCTAACTTTTTGAAGCGCTTTTCTGGTGCTGCACATAAAGCATACTGCTACTCAAAAATAGTAGCAGTATCGGCATAATTTTATTTGAATATTGATACGGATACGGATTAAATGATAAATTTAACTCTGGATTGCATGATAGGGCGACCTTTCCATAGAAACGTGCACACAATTTTTCAAACTTTAATGTGACCTAACCCAATTTTACCTTATCCGATCCCAACCAAGTTTGGTATGTGTACGTTTTAAACCACGAGCATTCTATCTAGCCCATTCCTTCGCTAAAGGGTAGTTACCTCGATAGAAAATTGTCGCCCTATTGCTGTGTGTCGCCCTAATGTAGGGCAAGTACCGCACAACTTGTCGCCCTATTGCGGGATTCATGCTAATTAAAATATGAAAATAATGCATAAACATTTTCATTCAAAATGTTCAGGTGTCTAAAAATGCGGGTGATTTTCTCTCAATTTTGGAGCATTTGTAGGGTTTATTATCTAGATAAGCCATTAAAATCGTCAAAGGCATTACTTTCTGTCCTAAGTGGGGTCTTTTTAGGACACAGAATAACAATTTTTGGCTTTTCCACAATAGCCATTTTTTATCTCAAAATTGCTTCCGTCCTGGGCGCACGAGGGCGAAAGAAATCAGCAGGGCTCTTTCCGCTTGAATGAAAAGTATAACTGTGTGCTTCCGGGTACCCGTCCACCAAATTTCAGACCGAATCGCTTAACTGAATCGCGGCGGGCTTCACCGTAGCTGAATCAGCCCATGATTCAGCCACGGTTAAGCCCGCCGCGATATAGGCCTTTTGATGCGCATGCGTGCATAATTATGAATTTATTAGTAAAAAAAATGTCCGTACTCAATATTTCTTTCATCAGTTTGCAGTTCCATTCCATATTTCATCATCAAGGATAATATGACACGCGAGCCAGTTATGTGAAACATTTTGATCCATCATGACTTAGGCTCCGCCCCCCTCCGAAGTTTCGCCACTACACTGTTTAGGGTTGCCTCAATCTTATAAAAGCCACGTGTTCGTCCTCTCGCTGTTATTCCGACCGACCAAGTTGCTCTCGAGAACAACGCAATGTGAGTATCATTTGATTTTAAACACCTTTTCCTTTTTAGCCTAAGATGATTTTATTAAGCTTACCGTATAATTATTTGATTATTCATTCATAAGTACCTAAGACAGTTTACCCATTCCTATTGGTGGAGAGCCCGTCACGTGGCCGGTCTTAAACGACATTCTGGTTCTTGGTTCTTGGTTGGTTCTCCTCCGAAATACTCCACATGGGAGTTTTAACAGGAGGCCAGAAACACCAGGGCAAACCCCTTCTCTTAGCGATAAACGTCACTGGGTTCTTTTACGTGCATTGCCTTACACAACACACGGGACCTACGGCTTTACGTCCCATCCGAAGGACGAAGCAATAATGGTGAAGTGCCTTGCTTATAAGGACACAAGTATCCACCTGAGCTCGAACCCACGACACTGTTGCCTCTGAAACACCAGAACATGAATTCGGTGCTCTTAAACGCTAGGCAATGACACTCCAATGGTGAGAAACCCAAGTTTGCTTGATGATCAATCATTCAGCAAATTGTCTTCTTGAAAAAAAAGGAATCAGTTTGACTAGATTTCATAGCATAAAACACTGTGCAAAAAAAGGTTTCTCCATAGGTTTTTACAAATTGACTTGGTTTCTTTACGATACTCGTATATACACACGACTTGCCTGTAACGTTTCTTCTCACGGCATTTAAGAGTCATTTTGTGTAAAAACTTCATATAAGTGTCCAAGCTTATAAAATCGAATTAATTTATAGAGAATTTTTAAATTAATATTTTACCCAATTTTGACTGTACTGCCCAAATTAATCTTTTGCTTTATTTTCAAAGGCCATGAAGCCAACTTGCGAAGTAATGTCACAAAAGTAATTATATCATGACAAAGAATCATTTTTACCCTTACCAGAATAAAATGAAAAAATGCAGCATGTTTTTACAACTAGCAAAATTGCATATTTAACCCAATTTTCAACTCTCCAAAATGCCACTTGCCAGGGCACTCAGAATAATATCCGTTACTTCAGATATTGATGTTTTCATCTATAGTGAGAAAATATTTGGGCATTGTATACCTTTTGTGCAGTACCGCTCCCAAAATGATGATTATTACAAAAACCTTAAAAGTTGTTTTTTCAGGGGTTTATTTCCTTTGAGTAATCGAGGCTGGACTGGAGTTTAAGAGACCGGCTGTTTAAGGGAAACAAAATACAACACCACTCATGGACCAAGTCTAAATCATATCCGAAGGTTTCAAACCAAGTTTACACCCTGACTAATAAATAATAATAATAACTGTGAAAACATGGATATGCCAATTTATTAAGACAAGAAAAAAACAATCTTCGATCACAGTTTTCTTTCCTCTGAGATCATGTGGTTTAAGAATTCTGTTTTTTTTTTCCCCGGCCAAATTCTTAATCTAAATTTCAGGACAGAATTAGCGCTCCGAGAATTTTGCAGTGAATGCGTTCTGTGTGTTTTGCTTTAATTCGATAGTTCTAGTTTTCATGGACTGTGTGGAGAGCAAGGCGAGGGTTTGCAACATCGGTCAACCACCGGAGCTACCAGTGGATGGCACGATTTGAGGAGTTAGTGCGCAAACGATGCCCAAGACAATGCAGTAATGATACTGAGAAGGGTAAGTCGAAATAACTATGTGCTACTGTAAGTAAAATATCCCGAGTACATTTTGTTATGTATTCTGTCAAAACCAGACTCTTTGTGGCATAAAATAGCTTGAAGGAGAGATATGACAAAATATCAAAAGAATATGTAGGGATCAGTTGAAGGCCTATTCGATATTCAGGGGTGTGTTTTTTTAGTATTTGTAATTCTTTAGATGTCTTGAACAAATGATTTTTTGATGAATTGAACATTTTTAGGAAACACATACCGGTAGCCAAACAATTTCGATCATACCTCGCTCTCCCCCCCCCCCCCCCTTGAGAGGGGCACAATCCGATGAAACTTCTGATATTAGGCCTATAGTAGCCAACCGCCACGAAATTTGATGACTTTTTCTAACGTTTATCCGGGGTCAATGTACAAAAATAAATTATATATGGGCACCCAATGAATGGGCTACGTCAGATGTAATCAAAAGGGTGTTTTTCCTCCAAAGTTTCCTTCGTAAATGTATGACATTGAATTTCTGGGGACGTCTCTATAGTCCGAAGTATTATTGGTCTGAAGTCCCATTGGTCCGACGTCCCATTAGTCTGAAGTCCCATTGGTCCGAAGTCCCATTGGTCCAAAGTCCCATTGGTCCGAGGTCCCAATGGTCCGAAGTCCCATTGGTCCGACGTCCCATATAATTAGGGTTAGGGTTAGGATTAGGTTTAGGGTCAGTCAACCGTTACCAGTGGAACTCCACAGTAATGTGTTTCATCGGACCAATGGGACTTCGGACCAATGGTACTTCGGACTATCGAGACTCAACTGAATTTCTGCGATCCAGATATTTAAGATGTGTTTACTTTATAACAATTTTCAACACTAAATGTCAGCTTTCTTGGAGCAAAGCGTGCACCTTCACATATTATCTCTGTATGTTGTCTTTATTTAATTAAAGCGTTACTAATTTAGCAAATATAAATTTTACATTGGAAATATATATATATTTTTGTATCATTGATGGTTTTATTTTGATATTGATAGCAGATAGTTGTCAGCGACTGGGTCTTGAAGACGGCACCATTCCTGATGAGCGCATCCGAGCATCAAGTGCAAGTTACAACAGACATGCTGCCCTGGCACGACTGAATGGCCCATCATATTGGGTCGCGATATACTGGTAGGTCACCGGACCTGAATGAAGCTGATTTCGATCCCTGTTAACGCCCTCAACCTTTGCGGTGACAGGTGCGCTATGAACAAGATAATTAACATTCATGTTGGAACTTTGGCACCGAGTCCCGACATTTATCAAGAGCTCATTAAGCGTGTTTGAGGCATGCTCAGAATCTCTTGGATCCAAGTGCCAAAGTTTCCAACCGGATTTTGATTCATCTTGGTAATGGCGCCCTCTATACCACTGTGGTGCTTTGACGGCGCTAAGAGGATCAAAATCCACATAAGGCCTTGGTATAAGACTTGAAAGAGTGGCGAGTCGTTGCCACCTGAATGGCTCCTTACCAAACAGCTCAGTATCCTAATTATAGTATTGACGTTCCGCAATATATGCTCTTCAGATTCGGTCACACGTAGTTAACGTACCACGTGGATTCACGGGAAAATTAATTCCCCTCCCTTGACCTGTGCGCTTGTTTATCAATGACACTGATTAAAGTCTCTTTTGGTTTGCTTGCTCATGATAGCTCGCCCTCATGTTGGATTGAGGTGGATCTCCTCCAAACTACTAGGGTTTCTGGCGTCATCACACAAGGAAATAAATTCCCCTGGGTCTCATATCTTGTGACTGAATTTAAGGTGTCCTACAAGCCGAAACCTACGTCTGGCTACGAGTACATCAAGGAAACCAATGGTGATATCAAGGTAGACTTGCAGTATAAGTGCTTTAATAATTACATGGGTAACTGTTATTGCAGGCGCGGTTCTACGGGGGAAGGGGGGGGGGGCTAGGGGGGCTGTAGCCCCCCCCCCCATTTTTTTGTCTAGCCCCCCCCCAAAAAAAAAATAAATTCCGCAAAAAAAAATTGCATTAGCAAAAAGAAGGATTGTGATGTACATGCGAACGTTCTCCCCCTAGGGCGCATTAGTTAATATAGTGTGAATAATTTTAGGATTTTATTGGCGCTCCCCATTGAAAATATGGCATGAGCCCCCCCCCCCCCTCCCCCACCAATTGATTTTCGGAGGCCTAAGTGTCTGGAAAAAATAACCGGTCTACATTTCAGCACACCTCCCTGAAAAAAAATTCTGGATCCACCGTGCTAGCCCCACCAAAATATTGGTTCTAGAACCGCGCCTGTGTTATTGAGCAAGATATAGTTGTTAGTGAGTTCCAATCGATTGTGTAAGGTGTCGTCAAGAAATTCTTAAACAAAAATAAGTAACGCACGAGTGACACGACTATTGACATTCCCATTGTTAATGGCGAAGCCATAATTCATAACAGCGGGTGCACTAGAGAAGCAATTATATCCGTCTTGTTAAGATTTAAAGGAAAGTTACTTACAGCGGCATCTTGGTGTACATTTTTGAGAGGAAAATGTGTGTTTCCTTTTCCTTTACACAGTTTCCTTCCGTTAACCTTTCTTTACAGTTGTTTGATGGCGGGGATATCGACTCTCCTTCTACCCCTCACACTAATTACTTCAACCAGGCCATCATGGCGTCTGCTGTTCGCATTTACCCTACTCGCTACACCTTGCCGGCGGTAGACGTGCGCTACGGTTTGAGTTGATTCAATGTCCGATGGATTAATTCCATGTGGAGTGATGTTCAGTATTGTAATGATTCGTGGCCCACTCTTGTTGTTTTCGAAAACAATTGAATATGGAACATCTTTGCATATCCTTGTTTTGGAAATAAATGGGAGCAATTCCACTAGCACCCTTGAACAGAAGTATGGAAATAATGTCGAAACCCCAACATAGGACTGGAAAACCCATTTGGTAGAGCACCGGTACGGTATTCCGGAGGTCGCAAGTTCAAACCCCGCTTCTGTCAGTTTGTTTGTTGAACGTTCTACTTATTTATATTGTATATCCACCTACGTTCATTGTCCGTTTGTGGTTTATTCAAACGTTAGAAATTAAAGCGCACAGCAGTTTTGGTTTACTTCGTATAGCTAGAGAAAATAGAAAGAGTTTGGTATCCGTGTTGTTCATTTTAGAATGAAACAATGGATAATTTTTTTAGATATTGTGCGAGTTGGTGGATTGCAATTTTAATCAAATGATTGTATGTAAAACTTTATCATTACAAGTTCCTTTACTGAAACAATAACAGACATAATTACGATTTTTGTCTTTCAAATCTCTGTCTAAGGTTGTACATAATGTAAATTATGCTTCAAGTTCTGTGTTACATAAACGATTTACACTCTACTAGTGTTGTATACGTTCTCGGCATTATTTTTCTTGCTTTAGACTTACAACCACTGGATCTTCTATTTTGGATCGTCCATGCACAACGTTAAAGGGTTACTGGTCTCTTTATACCACACACTTGCCCATTGTGCACCTATTATGATGGCACACATTCACTTTCACCTTTTTGCTGAGTATAATATATACTTAAGTGAGCTACGTTCTTGTTTAATTAATACATGATAATTGCATTCAGAGTGATTTGTGATGATTAAAAGCATTCGTTAAAAAAGCATTCATTAAAATCATATTCACGTAATTCTAATGTGCTAAGCAGTTGGTTCCTACTTTAATATACGGCGTCCCTCTTTGTCTTTATGACTCTCATATTGTTTTGCCTCTGAAGTAGGGTCAGTCGGTCGGGAAAAAATCGGATGACAAAAATGGCAGTTGCACTCATTTGGATCGCTTAATTAATTGATGCCAAGTGCGTGATGCCTCTAGTTTTGTCTTGTTTTGTATTGCCTATATTACTGCAATGATGTTATCATGAATTGATATCACTGAATAAGATAACAAAACCATATTCGGCAGGATGCAGTTGACAGACATTATATTTCCACAAGCTGGTATGTCATAGCTGTAGTGGCAGCCATGACAAACGTACACTAAAGACACCTAATAATTATGATGAGAGACAACATCCTCTCACGGGCTTTGCTAGACTATTTTGAATGATGGGTGCCATCATTAAATTTGCCGACTAATTGTCACGCAAAATGAGTGTAATCGATAATGTCCGCCCAAAATGATCTCTTTAACTCCATTTCTCATTTCCTATATGAATGGTTAATTAGGTTGATTACTTTGAATGGTTTTAATTTTTCAGTGGGATAAGTTCAACTTCAGAAGTAAATCGTCAAAATTTGGCCCAACCATAATTATTAAAAAGTTTTGGACATGTGCTCGTCGCAAAACTGGTAGACGCTCAGTACACATACCTTGTTCAAGCCCGTTTCCTGACCCCAGTCTGGGAGGGGGGTTCTTTAAACCCTAAAGTGGAACTGTCTTATATGGGAACGCGGAGCACGAAGCCGTGAGGCGTGGGGTCCGAGGCCCGCTTGCGATTTTTTTCCCAAACGACATCCGCATATGGGTGTGCGCTATGGCGTTTTGGATTTTACTTCTACACTTTTTACGTTAATTAACTTGAACAAGCAGCAACAAAATGTATTAACTGTAACTATGTTTGTACTTCTTATTGATGTTAACGGGACGATATATCATATTATGTCTGCAAGGTGTCTGGGTAAAACCTCGCGTATAAATCATCGCTTGTTTAATCCGATATATAAAAGCAATCAATTAATTATTTCATGTTATTTTATGAATGCAGTTGTCACTTAATTTCTTTCATACTTATTATATTAAGGATGTGTTCCCCAAAGCTGGAGAATACACACGAAGATTGAGATGGAACAGGTGGAGAAAAAGGGATAATGCTGAGTTTAAGATATGGGAGGGAAATCCCCTGCGAAACGAGGGCAATTCAAGCTAGATGCAAGACTAGGCAAACCTGCATGATCTCACAACAAAGTAAGACAATTATATTCAATTAATTTAGAATGGCTTTTCACTGGAGAGTTGTCAAACATCTGGTCCACACAATGGACAGCATTTAGCACATTACGGGGTAATCCTATACTATAACACTGCCCGGCCCTCTGTGCCAGTATACAACCAATCTATGTCACAATATGCCTAGGACGTAATGACGTAATGACGTCACGCTTTGTTTACATGTGCACTTTCCTATGTAGAAGACGTCCCCACTTTATCTGGCGTCCCGACTTCGCTCCTATATAGGAAAGTGCACATGTAAACAAAGCCATAACGTCATTACGTCTCAGGTCTATAATTGACAGTCTGTCAGTCAGTCAGACAGTCAGCGAGATAGGAACAAAGAGGCTACTAGCCTAGCCCCAAGACGAACAGAAAATTGCCGAGCAGGAATTTGAAACTAAAGATTTCATACTGACGTTAAAGCAGAGAAAACCTACCCTTAAAAAACTCCTCTCTGTCGTTACAAAAACTTTAAGTATCGGTTACAAATTAATGGACATGCAAATCTGACATTTATGATGTCTAACAAGTTGTCCCAAACTGATTCATTGATAATTCTCATAGAATGAGCTGGAATCCAAGTAGGTTTGGATCACCTGATAGCACAGTTGGTACTGAGCCTGAGCTAGGTATGAGTCGATTTAAGCCCTGTTCACATAAAGAAAAACTCCGAGCAGTGAAGCGGTGATAAAATTCTCCACATTTTCCAAATATGGGCATCATTTTTTTTTTCCAATGGGCCAATTAGGCCAAGCTTCCATCTAATCCTCACCCTGTAGACTAAGCCAGTAGACTTCCATTGGCCCAGACCCTAGCCACTCCTGAGTAATGAGTGTTGAAAGACAGACGCCAAGATGGCGGTTCATGCCTTTGTGCAGTAATTGGAGATCCGACGAATGATAGCAATCGCGCGCGCGTGTGCGTCGTGCCAATGCTTGCGCGCGCTTCGCCGAATAACAAAATGAACTACTAATGTGAATTTCCTACGGTGCTTCTTAAGAAGTTTGAAAGGCCTTCTTGCGTTCATTCCTTCAAAATGACAGCTTGCAAGAAGGAATAATTCACAGGGAGTTTAGTTCCTTAAACAAAATATGTTTTTCAACAATAATTATGCTAGTTACCGGTACTTTTTGGATAGCTGCAACTGAAGGACTCTAGCTTTAATATATGAAACTACTTTAATTACCGCAGTATTTGTGTGCACTCTCGGAGAGGAAAATGTTATTTTTACCGGTTTTTTTCACACCGTTTCCTTCTGTTGACCTTTCTTTACAGTTTTTTGATGGCGGGGATATCGACTCTGCTTCTACCCCTCCCACTAATTACTTCAACCAGGCCATCATGGCGTCCACTGTTCGTATTTATCCTATTAACCACATCAGTAGACGTGTGCTTCGGTTTGAGTTGATTCAATGTCCGATGAATTAATTCCATATTGATTGGTCTTCAGTATTGAAATCATTCTTAGTACACTCGTTTTTGTTTTCGGGAAAAATTGCTATACGGAACATTTATCTTAGCATGTCCTTGTTTTTGAAGTAAATGGGAGAAATAAAAGCGATTCCCACTGGTAGCCTTGAACAAAAATATTGAAATAACGTTGAACCGCCAACATGGGACAGGAAATCCAGTTTGCAGAGCACCAGTACGGTATTCCGGCGGTCGCAGGTTCAAACCCCGCTCCAGTCTGTTTCCTTGTCTACGTTTCTACTTAAATTTTATATATGCACCTGTAATTACCTTTTGTGGTTTATTCGAACGTTACGAATTACAGCGCAAAGTAGTTTTGCTTTTGAATCGAAAAGCTAGAGAAAACAGATAGAGTTTGGTACTCCTTGTTCATATTGGCGTGTAACTACTGATAATTGTGTTAAAGGTACAGTCCAGTTGTAATTTGTGCAGGTTGGTCGTCAGAAGCAGCAAACGTACTTCAAAATCTAAAGAATGGTGTCGAACAACTAACCCGATGAACTTTCAGCTCAGTGATTGCTGTATATTCCGAGAAAAAAAAATTATAGGATTTCGATTTCAAATCAAAAGTTGCTGAGTCACGCTTTGAATTGGGCCTGAATTCAGCGTCCGAGACACGTTCTCACTGAGCCGATTGCAGCTACGCGATGTCGCGCACTGATCCGACGAATTTAGCAACCAAGCGCGTGTATGTACGTCGTGTCAACGCTTGCGCGCGCTTCGTCGAATAAAAAACGAACTACTAATGGAGATTTCCAACGATGCGTCTTTAGACGCATCTTTGGAAAGGCCTTCTTTCATTGATTTCTTCAAAATGAAAGAAGAATTTCTCAGGGAGTCTTGATCTAGTCCCCTTACATTTAAACCAAGTATGTTTTTCAACAATAATTACGTCAGTTACTTTTTGGATAGCCGCCAATGATGGACTGTAGCTTTAACATCTCAGCGATTTGGTGGTTTTTATTGTTAACCAAATGGTTGTTTCTTAAAGTTTAACATTAACAGTTCCTTTAATCAAGTTGTACAGAGACGCCGTAGACATAGTTACGATGATTTGAAGTTCAAATCTTCATCGAAGGATCATATATAATGTAGGATTTTAAGTATTATTATGTTTCACATTACGAACACCATCTACTCACGACCCACACGGTACCTCAGCAAACCAGCACGCAAAACATGTCATATTTGATATAAACTTTAAGACATTATTAATTGTGTTGCACTTATTCTTAAGTGACTCTCGATTAAAAAAAAAACCTTTAAGCCACAAAATGAACAGTTAGAAACAGGAACAACAAAATTGACGAGTCATGAATTTAAAAGATGACTCTCTAAATTCTAAAGAGTGAAAATTTACTCCATTCGAGTGAAGATTCACTCCCACAGTCGGAAACTTGGAACTAGACGTTTTAGAGTGAAATTTCTTCAATCGTAAAGATCGAGGTTTCACTCGAACTTCCAATGTTTTGGTTTTCGTTTCAAACTTATGAGTAATAGGTGGTACATCGTGCACTGAGTCTGTACGCATATGGAGGGAGGATAGATTCGGAATAGGTGGTGAGGCGTGATTGTACTGATCGCACGAGCCTATCTGATCTGGGTACGAATGGAACGGATAGTATGTTCTCTTTCGGGGAATTCAAGACATTTATTTGACTGAAAACTATAAGTGCCGGTAAAATTGTATGTGGTCGACGATTCTTGACTCCGTCCAATCTGGAAACTGTATTAGTTCGGCCCGCGTGGCTGGCCGGCGTACGATTTGGGGAACGTCGGGTTCGCGTACGCGTTGACCCGTCGTGACGTCGAAAGAGGGCGCTATTCAGCATATTTCCGGTATAGGTTGCAGGGAAACGAACGCTTCTGGAGTTCTGACTGTTCTAAGGATTGCGCATTTTCCGTAGGCCTATACTAGGAGGCCTATTATTTTCTGAGGCCTATTGATGAAACTCGTCTTCTGTGTCAGACTATAGATACTCCTGAAAATATTTAAAAGGTAGGGTTTACGGAAAGAATTTTCAACCTGACGCTACTTCGGCGGTTTTCATGGTCAACATGGTTGTGTACAAAAGCTAACCTAAACTACTAAACTACTACTACTAGGCCTAGGCCTAGGCCTAAGCCTATATGGAGAGTCAATCAAATTTCAATCTCCTAACAAAATTAGAAATGCTTCTCAGTCCCAGATTCATGTCTTATCGTCATTTTTTGCAATGACTGACCTTCATTGGGATGAAGGAAAAAAGCAGCATCAGGTTGCAACATTCATTCCGGGTTGAATTGTGAAAGTCATTGAAGTGGGTAGGTACCGGTAAACTCCAGATTAAAAAGCTTGATGAATTTTCACAGGGCCTACTTCTACTTCTACTAAAGTTCTAGAATTTAGAGGCATCTCTCGTTAGCTAGCGAGAGGTGCCTTCTAATTTCTATTCTAGGAAAGAATGTTTCAACCTGATGCCACTTTTTTCTTGATATATCATCTCAACAGATCAATATTTATTATTGGTCAGTCATTGCAAAAATGATGATGAGACATGAATCTGGGACTGAGAAATAGGCCTATTTCTAATTTTATTAGGAAATACTTAGAAAATGTTCTCGTCTCTCCATATAGACATTGTACACAACCGCTGAAGTAGCTTCAGGTTGCAACATTCTTTTCCTATTTTAATTCTAGAACTAAGAAACATTTCACTAACTCTGAAATTTGAGGTAAAATGCTTGCTGTAGCAAGGCACTGCAGATTGCAGGCGAACAATCAAAATGTGCAACGTAAGGGGCCGCGCAATATTAATATTATTTTAGGGGACATCAACAATATATAATAATAAACGTAGCATACATGTATCACTACACTATCACTAGGGCGGGCCTACTTTACTTAAACAGGTCAACTCGTAACGTACACAAGCAAACTTGCACGCATGTAGGCCTATAATAAGCGTTTGATTAAAGGGAATGTACATCATTGGCTTTTGCTGTAATTCTCAGAAATGAACTACATGAGGGGTTAGTATAGTAGATCAAATATTGTTACACTGACATGTTTGAAGTTTTGTGTTCAAAAATGCTTGAAAAACCAAGAAAAACAAAACTGTTTAAGTAGTCTGGCTCCCTGACTCCACTAAAGATAAAATGGATCAATTTATAGATGTCGGAAAATTGTAAGAAAAGGGAACCAGTCTAGCTGGCCTGCACCCGTTCATGAACATGTAACCAATAGCAAACAACATTTGGACTGAAAACAATTGTAAATTTGGAGCAGTAGTTGAAAAATAGTTAGGTTTTTCCAACAGTGGTCGGCCGACCACCGTTGGAAATGTATACAAAAATACCGTTTTCTTGAAAATGACTCGACACCAGGTGCCATAATGTTACAGGATGCTTCAGACTGTCATTGACCAACATCCTAGTAAGGTATTTCGTTAAAACTTGGTAGTTTTATTTTTCGATGTTTGCAAATGTTGTATTTTCCCTTTAAATACTAGAAGTCAGACACTCTATCATAAAAATAAAGATGTCCAACAGTCCAATCGCTTGCAAAATAAGGTACCATTACTTAGATATGGTACACCTACATGATATACTATAGTGTGCAGGGCGGCAGAGTGCAACAGGCTAGAGATTTTAAAAGTAGGTTTTGGGACGCTGATACTAGAATTAAAGTAACTTAGTTAAGGCATGTAGTGCCAAAAAATAAAACAAACAAAAACGTGATTTGTGGGGTCCAATTATTAACGTACCCCTACAAACAGTGCTGTAAATGGTTCTCTTTTAAAATTTGTCTAGTTGTAACTGTCGCTACATTGGCGACAGTAATTGTAAGACAAATGTTAAAAACAAAAGACAGCCATTTACACAGCCCTGTTTGTAGGGCTGGGGTCCAATTTAACTTGGAATACCTGTACAAATGTATTTTAGATTTTACTGGCAAAGATTTTACATGAAATTTTAATTTTTGTTGGTTTTTTAAACTCTTTTTAACGGTAAGCCCCAGTGAAGGATGAATGTGACAGTTCTTGGACGGATCCGGCCGTCAACAGCTGCAGGCAATGAGAGTTCCGCATCGTACTCCAACAGCAATGGACAAACATCGCTCAGGTAGACTGAAACCCATTTCATACTGGAGTAACAGAAGTGTATCTAACCTAATAAAACACCTGTTAATTACAAGACGGACCCAATGATGACACGAACCCCCTCCCCTCCCCCCACTTGTCTCCCCTCCCCCCACTTCTCCCACCATGGTTGATTTGCAAGGGCCTTCATTGCTTTTCAAAAGTGGGGGGGGGGGACATTTGTTGATCGAACTATTGTGAGGACGAAGCCCTAACGGTGTGGGGTTTGGGGCCCGCTTAAGGGCCTCTAAAAATTTTGGAATCTAGACGCTCTGTGGTGCGATCTGAGGCAATTTTGACAAATTTAAGCAATTTTTTTGAGCAAAAGATCGTAATTTAAGCATCATTTTTGAGTTTGGAGTCATCAAATCAGCTAATCTGAGCTTTAGAATCGTTTGTTTTTGTAATCTATTTAAGGAATAAAAACACAAATATGGATGCACAATATTAAAACAAAACTTGTTGGAGTTTCAGCTCAGTGGGTGGCACAATTTTCCTCAAACACCGAAAATTCACAAATATCTTCTTCGTGTGGAATCGGTAAAATTTATGTAAATCTCAGTTCCTCAACAATAATGTACATGAAGTCGTCCAAAATCCAAGCTCTGGAATCTTTCAGCTTTCAGACCCTGTACAAACAAGGAGACACCAACAGGGTTATTTACAGCGACGCGATCCTCTCCATGGTCAACCTCTTGGGGGCGGGCTTCAACTGTAGCGTGCTGTGCTTTGGCGAGGCCCGTTCGGGCAAGAGCTATACGTTGGCTGGGGAGGGAACCGGCCAACCTGGCATAATTCAGATGGTACTGAAGGATCTGTTTAAGGACGTGGACCGGTTAAATGAAAATGGTAAGTCCATGTATTTCTAACAGTTCGTAAGTCGATCACAAGTCCATCACAAGTCCATCACAAGTCTATCACAAGTCAATCACAACTCCATCACAAGTCAATCACAACTCCATCACAAGTCCATCACAAGTCAAATCACAAATCAAATTACAAGTCCATCACAAATCCAATGACAAGTCAATCACAAGTCAAATCACAAGTCAATCACAAGTCAAATCACAAGTCCATCACATGTCCATCACAAGTCCATCACAAGTCAAATCACAAGTCAAATCACAAGTCCATCACAAGTTACTAGTCACAAGTCCATCACAAGTCAAATCACAAGTCCGTCTCAACTCATATCATCTCCTTTCATAATGCTGTGGAGAAGTCACATCACAAGATCAGTGAAGATCGATCACAAATCCATCACAAGTCAAATCGCAAGCCCATCTGCTGCTTACATTTAGGGCATCTGTACAAGTTTGCAAGCCATTGCCATGTATTTCAGATGTGAGCATAAATGTTCCCTTTTGTCGAATATCTAACAAAATAAACATCGCTCATATTGTTTAGGGCCGTCCGCCTATGTGAAGATTGGCATGTACGAGTTGTACAATGAGATCATACGAGATTTGCTGAGTTTTGATCAACAAGGTGCTGTCTGTGAGCTTGGCGTCAACGCTCAGGAGGGTGTTTACGTCAAGGTAAGCAAGCTGTTTTTCATTCAGTTTTTCTTTTACTTACCCTGAGTAGTGGAAAGGGCAGATTCGATTGGCTTGAGGCCCGGACCCAGACTGAAGGCCCGGACCCAGACTGGAGTCGATCTTGAGTTGCAATTACAGTGAGTTAGACTCATCTCCAGTCACATCGAATCGAAGAAAAAGACTTGGACTCTTTCACTTTTCATTAACCCTAACCGAACTCAACCCATCAAAGTTCAACAGCAGGTTTTGTTTAAATCTGTTGGGATAGGTACAGTACCCCTTAACTGATGGTCTTTTACACTAGGTTTGGCATACCTCCAGAAACTAAGTCCAACAGTGTGTGTGTACGATTTCCCACGTGGGTGTTGGAATTTGCCTGAATGGGTATGGTTCCTAGTAAATTAGGCTGGGGAGTTAGGGTCAAAGACTTTGAATTGACATTTAGGACTCGTGACGTGCGAGTCACATCAAATTGTACTTTATTTTCTAAAATATTCTGACAAAATTTCAAGTTGATAGGAAAAAATAATGATTATTTGGCACTCAGCAAAGAAATAGGACAATGTAAGAAATTGGTGTCAAAACTATTGCAAGACATCAGTCTACTAACTCAAAAAAGCTTGGCGGTGATGTGATAATGGAGAAAATATGCATTTTCAGGTTTAAAGAATGACTGTGTCGCATTTTCCGTCAAGCCTGAGTCTGAGTTCTTTGTTGATCACGATGCGACACTGTTCACCGCGACTCAAATCCCAGTCCGACGAAACTATTCCAGGGATAAACGCGACAATACCGTCATATTTTTCCAACAGAATCTAACGGAGGTTGCTGTGACAAGTGCTGAAGATGCCATATCTGCATTTCGTAGCGGTTGGCTGGCACAGAACTCCCAGAATACGGACTACGGAGAAGCTGGCAGTAGAACGACAGTGGTGACTAGAATCCATCTTACACAAGTATGTAGATAACTCTCCTCCCTCTCACTAGCATACATCTACCATTTCACTTTTTGCCTCAAGGCTATATATTATAATATTAAATTCATTTGCTGATTTCAGCCATGTCACCACAAGGATGAATTTTCAGTTCGGGCGATTCACAATGCAGTGCGCCACTAAGAATTTGCTAAGGAGAGTTCATTTTTACCAGTGCATTGTGGGAGATGATCGACAAATTCACAGCGCAGGACATTTGAAAATTGTTAGTTTTTGAGGTCAGTACTTTCGTAAGCGTATATGAATCGAGTATAATTGCCCTTTTCTTTTCATTGTATCCATATGGTGTTTTTGTAAGGCGGCTGAACGCTTTGCCTCAATATATAACAAACTAGCTGAAGTTGTCTACTGACGCGCATTCAAATGGGCTGTGTTTTGTCGACCGTAAACTAGAAATAATGGCTCTCCAATGCAAACTCGCGGTGGCACACTACATTGTGAATCCCCAGAATTGGCCAGGTGGGTTTGGGATTCAGATTTTCTGTCTGAAATTCAATTTTTAATTTTTTTTGGAGGATTATTGTCATCATTCCCTACACAAGTATTCCTCGGATAAATTGTATCAAAGACAGAGAGAGATTGAGACAGACAAATGTACCCATGCAGTGCCCACCTGAAGATCCTACTGGTCTGTCACATTCATTGAAAAGGGTTAAAGCTATAGTCCATCATTTGCAGCCATCCGAAAAGTAACTGGCATAATTATTGTTGAAAAACAAACTTGGTTGAAAGATAGTAAGGGAACTAAACTCCCTGTGAAATTATTCTTTCTGGGAAGCTGTCATTTTGAAGGAATCAACGAAAGAAGGCATTTCCAACGGTGATTCTTAAGAAGCACCGTAGATAAATTTAAATAAGTAGTTCGTTTTGTTATTCAGCGCAGCGCGCACAAGTATTGGAACGACGCACACGCGTGCGCGGGTTGTAATTCGTCGGATCAGTGCGCGACGTCGCGTATAGCTGCAATTCAAAACAATTCAAAACATGATTCAGTAACTTTTGATTTGAAATTGAGATCTTAGAATGCTGTTTTTCTCGGAATGTACAGCTGAAGCTTAGCTGAAACTTAATCAGGTTAGTTGCTCAGTATCCTTCATTAGATTTTGAACTCTTTTGTTGCTTCAAACGAACAAAATGCACAAATTACAAATGATGGACTGTAGCTTTAAGCCAGTGGGAATACTTTCTGCTTTTTTTGTTGTTGTTGAATATTTTTCTCCATTTTGTCTTTGCAGGAGAGAGATGAGTACAGCTATCCATACAAGTCTAGCTTCACCTTTGTGGATCTCCCTGGAGCAGAGAAGCTTGCTGCTGATCCCAAAGCTCTGAAGAGAAAGGAAGGAGCCCTGTTGAATAAGTCTATCTTAGCTCTGGGAGATCTGATTGAAGATTTAGCTAGTAAACCCGGTGCTGAAAGAATCGTGCCGTATGAGTAAGTTGTATAACTCACAATTTGTGTTGTTGGACCCGCAGGGACAGTCTACTGTCCTACAACTGACTGAGTCTGACTGACTGATTGCTTGATGGGCTGCCTAACTGACTGACTGACTCCCCGACCAATTGTCCATCCAGCTGTCTGACTGACTCCCCTACTGACTGACAGACCAGAGGCGGATTGCAATAACCGGTCTTAAAGCTGTCTATGCGCATTAGACAGTCTAAAAGCTCTGGCTGTCAGTCAGTCTGTAAGTTAGACCATTGCAATGACACAGTTTAAGTAGTAAGACCGTCTTAAAATAATTAGCCTGGGTTGGGCTGGCTTAAAACGGTCTATAGTTGGGATTTTTGGAATTCATTGGTGTGTTGAATTATTCTTTCTCAAAATATTTTTTTTTACAGTTGATGAGTGTTTGATAATTAAATCTTAAAATAGCAGAACACTGCTTGGAGGGAAAATTCTCTGGGATAGAAGGGATCTTCTGGAAAAATGTAACGACACTGAGTTGTACTGCAAATACAATTTTCTGAAAATAACATTTTGGAATTGACATTTGATTTTGCATGATTGAATCACACAAACCTAAAAAAAAAATTGTGCAGTCTCTCCAGTATTTGCCCGTAACCATGGAATGTTTGTTTGTGAATCATTACTCTAAGCGGGCTTAGTAAAGACCAGCTTATTGCAATGGGCTAAGTTTGGTGTCTTAACCAAGACCGTCTAAGAACAATAGCCGGCTAAAATCGGACTGGTTTAGCCAGCCGACTAAGACCGCGTTATTGCAATCCGCCCCAAGTGACTGAATCACTGTCTGAATCACTCACTACCCGATAGGCTGGCAGACTGACTGACTGAGTCACAGATTGACTGAGTGAGTTGCTGACTGACATACTGATTGACTGTCTGAATCACTCACTACCCGATAGGCTGGCAGACTGACTGACGGAAACACTGATTGACTGAGTGAGTTGCTGACTGACATACTGATTGACTGTCTGAATCACTCCCCACCCGATAGGCTGGCAGACTGACTGACGGAAACACTGATTGACTGAGTGAGTTGCTGACTGACATACTGATTGACTGTCTGAATCACTCACTCCCCGATAGGCTGGCAGACTGACTGGCTGAGTCACAGATTGACTGAGTGAGTTGCTGACTGACATACTGATTGACTGTCTGAATCACTCACTCCCCGATAGGCTGGCAGACTGACTGACTGAGTCACAGATTGACTGAGTGAGTTGCTGACTGACATACTGATTGACTGTCTGAATCACTCACTACCCGATAGGCTGGCAGACTGACTGGCTGAGTCACAGATTGACTGAGTGAGTTGCTGACTGACATACTGATTGACTGTCTGAATCACTCCCCACCCGATAGGCTGGCAGACTGACTGACGGAAACACTGATTGACTGAGTGAGTTGCTGACTGACATACTGATTGACTGTCTGAATCACTCACTACCCGATAGGCTGGCAGACTGACTGACGGAAACACTGATTGACTGAGTGAGTTGCTGACTGACATACTGATTGACTGTCTGAATCACTCACTACCCGATAGGCTGGCAGACTGACTGACTGAGTCACAGATTGACTGAGTGAGTTGCTGACTGACATACTGATTGACTGTCTGAATCACTCACTACCCGATAGGCTGGCAGACTGACTGACTGAGTCACAGATTGACTGAGTGAGTTGCTGACTGACATACTGATTGACTGTCTGAATCACTCACTACCCGATAGGCTGGCAGACTGACTGTCTGAGTCACAGATTGACTGAGTGAGTTGCTGACTGACATACTGATTGACTGTCTGAATCACTCACTACCCGATAGGCTGGCAGACTGACTGACGGAAACACTGATTGACTGAGTGAGTTGCTGACTGACATACTGATTGACTGTCTGAATCACTCACCACCCGATAGGCTGGCAGACTGACTGACTGAATCACTGATTGACTGAGTGAGTTGCTGACTGACATACTGATTGACTGTCTGAATCACTCACCACCCGATAGGCTGGCAGACTGACTGACGGAAACACTGATTGACTGAGTGAGTTGCTGACTGACATACTGATTGACTGTCTGAATCACTCACTACCCGATAGGCTGGCAGACTGACTGACTGAGTCACAGATTGACTGAGTGAGTTGCTGACTGACATACTGATTGACTGTCTGAATCACTCACTACCCGATAGGCTGGCAGACTGACTGACGGAAACACTGATTGACTGAGTGAGTTGCTGACTGACATACTGATTGACTGTCTGAATCACTCACTACCCGATAGGCTGGCAGACTGACTGACTGAGTCACAGATTGACTGAGTGAGTTGCTGACTGACATACTGATTGACTGTCTGAATCACTCACCACCCGATAGGCTGGCAGACTGACTGACGGAAACACTGATTGACTGAGTGAGTTGCTGACTGACATACTGATTGACTGTCTGAATCACTCACCACCCGATAGGCTGGCAGACTGACTGACTGAATCACTGATTGACTGAGTGAGTTGCTGACTGACATACTGATTGACTGTCTGAATCACTCACCACCCGATAGGCTGGCAGACTGACTGACTGAATCACTGATTGACTGAGTGAGTTGCTGACTGACATACTGATTGACTGTCTGAATCACTCACCACCCGATAGGCTGGCAGACTGACTGACGGAAACACTGATTGACTGAGTGAGTTGCTGACTGACATACTGATTGACTGTCTGAATCACTCACTCCCCGATAGGCTGGCAGACTGACTGGCTGAGTCACAGATTGACTGAGTGAGTTGCTGACTGACATACTGATTGACTGTCTGAATCACTCACTCCCCGATAGGCTGGCAGACTGACTGACTGAGTCACAGATTGACTGAGTGAGTTGCTGACTGACATACTGATTGACTGTCTGAATCACTCACGACCCGATAGGCTGGCAGACTGACTGGCTGAGTCACAGATTGACTGAGTGAGTTGCTGACTGACATACTGATTGACTGTCTGAATCACTCCCCACCCGATAGGCTGGCAGACTGACTGACGGAAACACTGATTGACTGAGTGAGTTGCTGACTGACATACTGATTGACTGTCTGAATCACTCACTACCCGATAGGCTGGCAGACTGACTGACGGAAACACTGATTGACTGAGTGAGTTGCTGACTGACATACTGATTGACTGTCTGAATCACTCACTACCCGATAGGCTGGCAGACTGACTGACTGAGTCACAGATTGACTGAGTGAGTTGCTGACTGACATACTGATTGACTGTCTGAATCACTCACTACCCGATAGGCTGGCAGACTGACTGACTGAGTCACAGATTGACTGAGTGAGTTGCTGACTGACATACTGATTGACTGTCTGAATCACTCACTACCCGATAGGCTGGCAGACTGACTGACTGAGTCACAGATTGACTGAGTGAGTTGCTGACTGACATACTGATTGACTGTCTGAATCACTCACTACCCGATAGGCTGGCAGACTGACTGACTGAGTCACAGATTGACTGAGTGAGTTGCTGACTGACATACTGATTGACTGTCTGAATCACTCACTACCCGATAGGCTGGCAGACTGACTGACGGAAACACTGATTGACTGAGTGAGTTGCTGACTGACATACTGATTGACTGTCTGAATCACTCACCACCCGATAGGCTGGCAGACTGACTGACTGAATCACTGATTGACTGAGTGAGTTGCTGACTGACATACTGATTGACTGTCTGAATCACTAACCACCCGATAGGCTGGCAGACTGACTGACGGAAACACTGATTGACTGAGTGAGTTGCTGACTGACATACTGATTGACTGTCTGAATCACTCACTACCCGATAGGCTGGCAGACTGACTGACTGAGTCACAGATTGACTGAGTGAGTTGCTGACTGACATACTGATTGACTGTCTGAATCACTCACTACCCGATAGGCTGGCAGACTGACTGACGGAAACACTGATTGACTGAGTGAGTTGCTGACTGACATACTGATTGACTGTCTGAATCACTCACTACCCGATAGGCTGGCAGACTGACTGACGGAGTCACAGATTGACTGAGTGAGTTGCTGACTGACATACTGATTGACTGTCTGAATCACTCACCACCCGATAGGCTGGCAGACTGACTGACGGAAACACTGATTGACTGAGTGAGTTGCTGACTGACATACTGATTGACTGTCTGAATCACTCACCACCCGATAGGCTGGCAGACTGACTGACTGAATCACTGATTGACTGAGTGAGTTGCTGACTGACATACTGATTGACTGTCTGAATCACTCACCACCCGATAGGCTGGCAGACTGACTGACTGAATCACTGATTGACTGAGTGAGTTGCTGACTGACATACTGATTGACTGTCTGAATCACTCACCACCCGAAAGGCTGGCAGACTGACTGACGGAAACACTGATTGACTGAGTGAGTTGCTGACTGACATACTGATTGACTGTCTGAATCACTCACTACCCGATAGGCTGGCAGACTGACTGACGGAAACACTGATTGACTGAGTGAGTTGCTGACTGACATACTGATTGACTGTCTGAATCACTCACTACCCGATAGGCTGGCAGACTGACTGACTGAGTCACAGATTGACTGAGTGAGTTGCTGACTGACATACAAATTGACTGTCTGAATCACTCACCACCCGATAGGCTGGCAGACTGACTGACGGAAACACTGATTGACTGAGTGAGTTGCTGACTGACATACTGATTGACTGTCTGAATCACTCACCACCCGATAGGCTGGCAGACTGACTGACTGAATCACTGATTGACTGAGTGAGTTGCTGACTGACATACTGATTGACTGTCTGAATCACTCACCACCCGATAGGCTGGCAGACTGACTGACTGAATCACTGATTGACTGAGTGAGTTGCTGACTGACATACTGATTGACTGTCTGAATCACTCACCACCCGATAGGCTGGCAGACTGACTGACGGAAACACTGATTGACTGAGTGAGTTGCTGACTGACATACTGATTGACTGTCTGAATCACTCACTACCCGATAGGCTGGCAGACTGACTGACTGAGTCACAGATTGACTGAGTGAGTTGCTGACTGACATACTGATTGACTGTCTGAATCACTCACTACCCGATAGGCTGGCAGACTGACTGACGGAAACACTGATTGACTGAGTGAGTTGCTGACTGACATACTGATTGACTGTCTGAATCACTCACTACCCGATAGGCTGGCAGACTGACTGACTGAGTCACAGATTGACTGAGTGAGTTGCTGACTGACATACTGATTGACTGTCTGAATCACTCACTACCCGATAGGCTGGCAGACTGACTGACGGAAACACTGATTGACTGAGTGAGTTGCTGACTGACATACTGATTGACTGTCTGAATCACTCACCACCCGATAGGCTGGCAGACTGACTGACTGAATCACTGATTGACTGAGTGAGTTGCTGACTGACATACTGATTGACTGTCTGAATCACTCACCACCCGATAGGCTGGCAGACTGACTGACTGAATCACTGATTGACTGAGTGAGTTGCTGACTGACATACTGATTGACTGTCTGAATCACTCACTACCCGATAGGCTGGCAGACTGACTGACTGAGTCACAGATTGACTGAGTGAGTTGCTGACTGACATACTGATTGACTGTCTGAATCACTCACTACCCGATAGGCTGGCAGACTGAGTGACTGAATCACTGATTGACTGAGTGAGTTGCTGACTGACATACTGATTGACTGTCTCATTAAATGCCTTGGTCCAGTGGTTACGGTGTTTGACTCATGTATGAAGGTGCGTTAGTTCAAACCCGGCCAGGAACATGGTGTTTGTGCCCTTGGGCAAGACACTTAACTACAATTGCCTCTCTCCACTCAGGAGTATAAATGGGTGCCTGTGAGGGTCAAGGACTGATTGAGCGCTGATATCGGTTGCCGCTTGGTCCCATGGCCTGAATAACGGGAATAATTGTAAAGCGCTTCGAGATCATTGATACAATGGAAAGCGCTATATAAGCGCAATTATTATTATTATTACTGTCTAATTGACTATTTGACTGATTGACTGTATGGTGCTTGAGTTACCGACTGACTGACTGACTGAATGACCATCCTGCTATCATGAGCTTATTGAGAATCTCACACATGGATTTTGAGACGGTGACTTTCTTCGATTTGATTGCAGGGCCTCTAAACTGACCAATCTCCTGCGAGATGTCCTGGGAGGTAACTGCAACACCAAGGTCATAGTTCACCAGAAGCCGCGGTCTGACCCCAGGGTCACCCAGGCCGTGCTGAACGCGGCCGAGTATTTCTCCAAGATCACAAACTTCTGTCTGTTGAATGATACAGCAGCTCAGGTACTGAAGCAAATGACTACATTATGCTGTGTCCAAATTGCTTGGCTATGGCTCGCTGAAGCCTTTTCCCTAAGACTCGTGTGTTACCACAAGTCGTAGCCAATTGAATTCAGACACAGCCTTAGACTTTAGGGGCAGATTGCAATAGCGCAGTCTTAGTCGGCTGGCTAAACCAGTCCGATTTTAGCTCTTAGACGGTCTGGTTAAGACACCAAACGTCCATGGTTACGGGTGAATACCTGAGAGACTGCACAATTTGTTCGGTTTGTGTGATTCAAATCATGCAAAATCAACCAATCTGTCAATTCCGAGATTTGATGTTGAGAAAATTGTATTTGCACTACAACTCAGTGTCATTACATTTTTCTAGAAGATTCCTGCTATCCTGGAGAATCCTCCCTCCAAGCAGTTTTCTGCTATTTTAGGATTATCAAATATTCATCAACTGAAAAAATAAACATTCCGGGAAAGAATATTTCAACACACCGATGAATTCCAAAAATCCCAACTACGGATCATTTTAAGCCAGCTAGCCCAACCCAGGCTAACTATTTAAGACTATCTTAATACTTGGACCGTATCATTGCAATGGTCTGACTTATAGACTGACTGTCAGCCAGAACTTTAAGACTGTCTAATGCGCATAGATAGCTTTAAAACCGGTTATTGCAATCGGTCCCAGGGTTTGGTCTTGATCCGCTATCAAGATATGAAGTTCATGTTGAGTTAGACGACAAGGAAGTTTGTATTTTTTTTCCTAACTGATACATTTCTGTCACTTTTTTTCTTTAACTATGTTCAAAATTAACCCCATCGATGTCATTACAAATACTGTACAAAGTCTGGTGTGGTTTGGAACTTCCTCGTTCTTTTCTAAATTCCCAGTTGCATGCCTGTTGTGAGTATAGACTTGTGAATTGACTTATGATTTCCCAATTAAGGAAATTGTGATGTACCTTTGATCTGATACGAGTACCTCAACTCAAGTGCTGAATGTGATCTTTTACTTTGTTATCTTGGTTTTTCTCAGGGCCTCGTCACACAGTACCGTGCCCAGTCACTCAACCAACAGGGGCAGCAAGTTGGCCCCTCCGCACCGGCCGTGTTTGACTCTGACGACCTAGCTGGAACCACCGCGAAATTGAAAAAGGAAAATGTAATAAGCCCTCTTTATCATCAGACACTGGCATTGTAACTGCCTGTGCATGGTCTTGTCATCTTGACCTCATTGACATTTGACCTCATTGACCTTTGACCTCATTGACCTTTGCCCTTGTTGACTTATGCCATCGTTGATAAGTAAGATTTGAGGCTTTGCATGGTGGAGATACTAAATAATGAAAGGTTTGCGGAAACACCATGTGCGAATAATTTCGCAACTAAGAGAATGGTTCTGAAAAGAACCAGAGGTATCAACTCGACGTTCCGGTCAGTATGCTCTGACCGTCTTCAGATCATTGATCTTTGTCATCGCTGATCTTTGACCTCTTCTCTATTCGAAGATGAAGCTGAAGGAGGAAGAGGGCTACCTGAGGCGGAGACTCGACCAAATGGACAGTCGCCTCGGTGACGTTGCCATGGCAAAGACGGATTTATCGGCCAAGCTGATTAGTAACGAGGAAGAGCGACTGAAGGTTTGTTTGATGGTCTCGGGACGACGAGGCTCGTAAATTGAAGCAGAGCTTCATGTCACTTTAATCTAATCTGGCTATGGATATATTTTATGAATATTGATGATGACGGTTTTCTCAATTTACTCGGGAGATTTTTGTTTAAAAAAATCCAACTCCTGTTTAAAAGATATTTTTAAGCAAGTCATACAAGGAGCCATAGTATAATCAAGCGGGATCTTTTGATATGTGTTTGCAGGTTTCTAAGATGCTGGTTGATCTACAGATTGAGAACAATCGCATCAAAGAGAAGGCGTCGCAGGAAATATTTGAGCTGAACAACAAGGTAATTTATGCCTTAATCATTACCCCTAAAGGATGCTGGATAACCTCCTGGAAGAGAATGTGGTCTCTCTGAAGATTTTGTCAAACATCAATAAAGAAATTGCCTGGGAGTGTAAGGTATCAATGGAAAGCTGACCAAGCAACAGACGCAATCACACTGACTTTGTTGAAGCTCAAAATGTTCTCATCCTAACCCACTACCTTTGAAGGGAATATACAAAATTTGCTTTTGCTGTAATTTTCAGAAATAGATGTATTTGGGGATTATAATCGTATAGCAAATACTGTTACACTGACTTGTTTGAAGTTTTGTGTTCGTAGATGCTGGAAAAATCGAGAAACACAATCATATTCCTGTAGTCTGGTTCCCTGACTGCACTTAAGATGAGACAGAGCAGTCTATAGACGTCAGGGAATTGTAAGGTCAGGGAACCAGTCTAGCTGGCTTGTACCCGTTCGTGGGTGTGTAATGGATTGCAAACAAACTTGACTTATGAAAATTGGTAAATTGGGGGCAGTATTTAAAAAAAACCCAGTTTTTTCCAATGCTGGTCGGCCGACCACCGTTGGAAATTGATATAAATTTACCACTTTTCTTGAAAATGACAGCACACCTGGTGCCATGATTTTACAGGATGCTATAGACTGTCATTCTTTAACAGTCCAGTAATGTATTTCATAATAATTTGGTAGTTTTGTTTTTTGATGTTTGCAAATGTTGTATATTCCCTTTTTTGAAATTACCATTTTGTTTTTATAACACCCTATGTAGCTGATGTCCATAGACAGTGATTACAGACAAGTCCTGATGACAAAAGAACGGCTGGCAAAGGAGTCTAGGCTTGCCCGGGAGAGGTTGGATCTGATGGACCGGGAACGGCAAGAGTTAGCTGACAAGTACGTCCTGATGAAGGCGGACTACGGTGCCTTGGCAGAAAAATACGACAATGAGGTAAGATAAACAAAAGCCGCATTGCAGAATGCTGACACCTGTTATCTGGGAGCTGGGCCAAATGTCATAGGACTGAAGAAGAAAATGCTGTCGAGCACGTTATGAGCTAAGCTAAAATTAGCAGAGAACTAGTTAATTATACCAGCACTACTCTGGAACCTCAGCCTAAGTGGTTGTAGCAGTGTCAAGAATTTGTATTTAAAGGACTTCTGCCTCAACTAGTCAGTTTTCAAACAAAGACATTTTTAGGTCTGTTGGCTTAACAGTTTTCATTTTATTTATTCATTTATCTTTTTATTTATTACATTTCTTTTCGCAGATTATGCCCAAACAGTTTCAAACTGGTTTCCATTGGGGCCCTGCATACATTACAAACTATGAAATATAGTTAGGTGTATTGGTGAAACAAAATTATGAACACTAGAAATATTTACACAAATAAAGCTATATAGACAAGTCTATTTTAAAAATGCAGTATAACGCATGAATTGCTGATTACGGGGTTGGAGGGAAAAAACGACGAAAACCCTTCTGGGAAAAAATATGGGGAAATTCCCGATCTGGTTCCCCATTACTGTAAGGAGGATGATTTGAACTGTAATCAATACCTGTGCCTGTAGTCTTGTCCTCTGAAATGAGGGTGTGTAGCCAGGTGGTTAGGGTCTCATGACCAGGGGGTCAGGGGTTCGAATCCTGCTGCTGACCATATGTTGTGTCCTTGGGCAAGCCACTTCACCCCCACTTGCCTCTCTCTATCCAAGAGTATCAATACGTACTGGCATCAGCTGGGGAGTAACCTGCAACGGACTTTCATCGAACATAGGGGGATATAGATTTAATCTGAATTATTTCATGCAATGGAGCAAACCCCCACCTAATGATGATGAGCAATATTGGCACGGGCCAGACCTTTCTTTGAATTTTCCAAAATCTGAATGTTGTTTTTAGGTCAGCCGTAACCAGCAGTTGGGCTTGGAGTTGCTGAATTTACTGAACGCCAAGGTGACTCTGCTGAAGCAAGAGGAGAACCTAGCACGAGCCTCGGTCCACAAGAGGGAACAGACGGCCGAGGAGTTGCGACGAGCAAGGGACATCGCGTTGGGACTGAGTAGACAAAAAGAACGTGTGAGTATTACGATATCATCAATTCTGCTGTTTGAGTTTTTCACGACAAGATGGACCTTGTTTTCTAAATTCCCAGTCACATGCCTGATTAATTTTTCTCATTAAATTTCGTGATATCAAAACATAACTGTTCCTACGGAATGTCAAATTTCAAACATGTTGCAGTACTACTACTATTACTGTAATAGGGCGACAGGTTTTGCGAACTCCGTCCACAATAGGGCGATACACCTTATTGAGGCGACAAAATGACTGTCGCCCTTTTATGAAAACGACCCTTAGGACAAGGAATTTTGCCGTCGCTAACCATCTAGATCGATTCCTCATGGTCCAATTAGTATAAATACTAAATTTCGTGGAAAAAACATAAGGTAAACTTGGGTTAGGTGACAGTTTAGGTTTGTGCACAAGTCTATGGGAAAGTCACTCTATTGGGGCGAAAAGAGTAATTATTATTTTATTGATTATTATTTATATTTTTTTAGTAATTTTAATGTGCAAAATTACTATTTGCTTCACCAGGCTGATGAAATCGGTGCATCGGACCTGGACAGGCGAGAACTACAGAATAAGGTGAAATTCAACAATCAGTGTGGTTGCATGAATAATATAGTGACAGTCAATGAAAACGCAACAATAATAATAATAATAGCTGGCATTTATATAGCGCTTTTACGCTGCAACAATTAGCGCTTTACAATTATTATTTTCCTTGTTTCAACGGGCAAACGCTCCTGAAACCTGCTCAACTCCCTGGGGAGCATACAGCTCGATGCTGCCTGCTAGGCGCATAGGAAGCTAAATCAACCATGCACAATAACCATCTCTGCCCTCACAGGTACCCATTTACTCCTGGGTGGAGAGAAGCAGTGAGTGACAAAGTGCCTTGCCCAAGGGCACACACACCATAACCCCAGGCTGGACTTGAACCCACAACCTGCAGAATTACCCGCAGACCTTAAATCCCATGCTCTTAACCACAAAGCCACAGCATCACTGACAGATAAAAATGAAAACGCAGAACTAACACTGAAAACGCATCACCTACATCCACGTCATTCTCCATGCTCTAGCAATGTATGTCTGATTCCCAAGGTATCCTGGGTAGGTGTAGGAAGAGCCTTGCAGCTTACTTGTTTTTTAATCGATTGCCAAATGAACATAGCGCCCTCTGTTAAAAAATGAAACATTTTGCATTCACTCAGATCAACAAGAGGGCGCTGTTTTATCTACATGATGAAAATGTTATAGCTGAGGAGTCTTTTTGCACAATGCATTGCAGTACACATCAACGTGATGTCTCGCGTTTGGATTTCGATATCTCTCTGCAAAATTAGAATTAAAAGCTGAATTTTTGGTGATGCAATGCTCACAACAGCAACTTTGCTAGGCAGAAGTTTCAGGGATTATTGAAGAAACTGTAGTGAGTAAGAAGCTTGCAAATTTGATTCACACTGGTTTTATCATGCAGCACAAAGTTTTGCACGATATGGATACCTTAAGTTTTGGGACTCTCATACACAGTATTGAGAGTCCCAAATTTTCGGACTACCCTGGCACATCCTTCCAGTAACAATTTTGGGGCTGCTTTTGTATTGATTTTTAAAATTATTTAATTATTTATTATTCAATGTGTTCAGTGGAACGCCGCTATACCAACCGCCGCTATACCAAACATTCGGCTATACCGAACATCGTCCTTGGCTCCCCATTTTTTGTGTACAAAACGTACCGAACATTGTTGTTGAAAAATGTCAACAGAAGAGTGACAAGTGGCTATTGTTTCTCCAGGGAATAGAAGGGGAAATCCACCCATTGCTCTAGGTATAGTAAGCTCAAAAATTATGTAATTACATGATTCAATATTCGGCACCTGGTCAAAGTTGTCATTCAGTAGCTACCAGGGCGTGTAGGGTGAAGTTATGAAGGCCGCTATTTATTGGAAAGCGAGTACCGGAGCGCTGACAGCTTAAAATCGCTATACCGAACGATCGCAATTACGAGCAATTCTGTGGATCCCGCGATGTTTGTTAAAAACGGCGTTCCACTGTATTGTGTTGATCATATCCTACCATGTTCAAGTTACTGCCGGCTGTGGCTCACAGTAACACACGTGTCTTATGGGATGTGGTGCTAGCTGTTAGCCATAGCCATGACATTCAAACCCAGGCTAACTTTTTATATTTCTTTAGCTCTTTGGAGATCACGACAGAATGAGGAGTGAGTACGATAAGATGAGGAGCCAGTATGACGACCAACAGGACAAACTTCAAAACAGGATGTAAGTCGGACATTGTAATGTCAATGATACCAAAATCATTTTTTTTTTTAAATCAAGACAATATTTTAATCAGATTCCTGATCTGATGCTGAATTCTTCATTTGTGTCTCCTCTTGTAAAATACATGTATTTGCGGTTCAAGTGGTGATGAATGAGAAAAAAACCGAACTGTTTATTTAGCCATGAACTGGCATCGCATTTTTTTTCTCCATTCTTAAGCCAGCAGATCGTATAGCGCCCTCATGCACCTGTATACAACCAGGCCTATAAGATATTGAGTTGCCACCTATGTCGAACGAATGCGAAGCCTATGAGGCCTACATGGCAAGCGCAGTCCCGCTCGAGTTCGTAACCCATTTACGTCGTTTTGAAACCTTGTTTGTTTTGTCCAAAAAAGTAAGAATTGTCTTCCTACATTTGATGGCAGATTATGTAATTTTCTTTTTCTGATTCATCGCTCTGGAGGGTTTTTTATTTTAAAGGGAAATAAAGTCCAATATTGCATTAGGTCTGATTCACATCTGGTGAATACGAAGTCACAGCAACAATGAAAGCATGGAACCAGACAAAGACTTGTCACAGTAAAAATGTCTAAGTCCCGAAAAACACTCACTGCGCATATTCAGTGCCGTGCTGGTAGAAGAGCTAAAACATGGGATACCGGTTCACAGTCAAATATCCACTGCCCAAAAAAATTGAATGTGGTTATGTGGTGTGTGTTTATGCAGCACGTGAGGGGAATTCGGAAATGCAATGAAGAAGTTTGCAGTGGAAATGAAAATTGAACATTCTATTTCTCCTGTAGAATGGAATTAAATGCAACTCTGAAGACTGCCAGACAGACAACAAGAGATTGCCAACACAAACTGGCTCAGCAAGAAGTGGTAGGTCCAATTTCCTGGTTCCAAACAAAAATAAAACAGACAAAAATAATGGCATGATGACAATTGGATCAAACGTTTCTTTCTTTTGGATCTTGTTCCTAGGATCTCATTTCTTCCAAGGAGAAGGTGAAGGAATGGGCAGTGGCTAACAGCCGATTGCAGACCCAACTGATGGAGAAGAACGAAGAGATGCGATCCCGCCTCACTAAATACCTGGAGGACATCGCTGTGAGTAGCAACAATCCTCCACAATGTCTTCCTCTCTCTAAAATCTTCTAAGACTCGTGTTCCACAGTTGGGCCGAAAAGTAAGAGGAAGGAATCAGTTCGACCCCGTTACATTTTGGTTTCAGACGGTTGAACTTTATGTACTCATTTTCTGTTGACTACGTAGGAATTTGTTGATGACCGAGACGCCATCCTCAATCGTAAGATGGAGGACAACCTCTCTAACTACGTGAGGACCATGATGAAGGACATGAAGGACACGTACAAGGCACGGGAGAAACAGCTGAGTGATGCGGCCAGAGACTTCAAAGCTAAGATGCAGTCCGTCGGCAAGAGGCATGAACAGCTGCTGGTTGCTTACAGGTAAACTCCAATATTCCATCTGTCTTGCTGAAATCATGATAATTATTTGCCTCAACTTGTGTCTGTTTGAAGAGAACTGCAATGCTGTGTAGTGGTCAAGTCGATTACAAGGTTATCATAATGTCTGGTTATAAGTTTATCACAAATCCTTATAAGTTAGGTCACAAGTAACATGGAATGGGCAATATCAAAAGGAATGCCTTTGTCACAATTTATTTGAATAGCTTGTGAGTTGACTGGATGACTGGTGATGGACTTGTGATTGACTTGTGATGGACTTGTGTGATGGACTTGTGATTGACTTGTGATTGACTTGTGATTGACTTGTGATGGACTTGTGTGATGGACTTGTGATTAACTTGTGATTGACTTGTGATGGACTTGTGATGGAGTTGTGATGACTTGTGTTAGACTTGTGATTGACTTGTGATGGATTTGTGTGATGGACTTGTGATTGACTTGTGATGGACTTGTGTGATGGACTTGTGATTAACTTGTGATTGACTTGTGATGGACTTGTGTGATGGACTTGTGATTAACTTGTGATGGACTTGTGATGGACTTGTGATGGAGTTGTGATGACTTGTATTAGACTTGTGATTGACTTGTGATGGATTTGTGTGATGGACTTGTGATTGACTTGTGATGGACTTGTGTGATGGACTTGTGATTAACTTGTGATGGACTTGTGATGGACTTGTGATGGACTTGTGATGGACTTGTGATGGACTTGTGATAGACTTGTGATGGACTTGTGATGGACTTGTGATTAACTTGTGATGGACTTGTGACGGACTTGTGTTGGACTTGTGATGGACTTGTGATGGAGTTGTGTGATGGACTTGTGATTGACTTGTGATGGACTTGTGATGGCTTGTGATGACTTGTGATGGACTTGTGATGGACTTGTGATGGACTTGTGTGATGGACTTGTGATTAACTTGTGATGGACTTGTGATGGACTTGTGATGGACTTGTAATGGACTTGTGATGGACTTGTGTGATGGACTTGTGATGGACTTGTGATGGAGTTGTGATAGACTTGTGATGGACTTGTGTGATGGACTTGTGATTAACTTGTGATGGACTTGTGATAGACTTGTGATGGAGTTGTGATGGACTTGTGATGATTTGTGTTGGACTTGTGATTGACTTGTGATGGATTTGTGTGATGGACTTGTGATGGACTTGTGATTGACTTGTGATGGACTTGTGTGATGGACTTGTGATTATCTTGTGATGGACTTGTGATGGACTTGTGATGGACTTGTGATGACTTGTGATGGACTTGTGATGGACTTGTGATTGACTTGTGATGGACTTGTGATGGACTTGTGATGGACTTGTGATGGACTTGTGACAGACTTGTGACAGACTTATGACGGACTTATGATGGACTTGTGATTGATTTGTGATGTACTTGTGATTGATTGGTGATGAAGTTGTGATGAACTTGTGATTGACTTGAGGTTGACTTGTGATGAACTTGTTAATGACTGACTCATGTGGACTGTTTCAGATTTCGCCATAAGTCGGGCCCACCTTCAATTCTTTTAAAATTTTTCACAGTACTTGTGACTGAGTTTGTCCGTGCCGTTGTGGTCACCTGACAAAAAGTCATGTCCTAATAGGTCAGTGCACATTTTCTTCATCAGATTCCTGAGAAAACAGGTGCAGAAAGGTGAGATCGGCGATATAGATCTCGGTCCCGAAGAAGAAGAGCTAACCCTCAAAGACGACGAGGTGGAAACTGCAAATCGCCGCGAGATCCGACGATTGATGGAGGCATTGATGGAGGCTCAAAAGAAGCAAAGGTAATTAACCCTGGCATGTTTAAGTTCAGTTGAGGACAACTACTGATTAATTCGTCAATTTGTTAGTTACTTGTGTAAACTAACCTGTGAACATCTTGAGCTAAAGGATGCTCAAAATATCATCACAAAACTTCGTGGTTCTTCAAATTATAGGTTTTGCCCTTCACCGACGTTTAAACACTGTATACTCAGTGTGTTACCTCCCGAGTGAAAGTTGGAAAAAATCACTCGGGTGGGACTCGAACCCACGACCTCCTGCTTTCTAGTGCAGATTTTTTACCACTGTCTAACCAGCCAACCGATCCCGTTAGCTCGGTGGTCGAGTGATAAGAGTCCCACCCGAGTGTTTTTTTCCAACTTTCACTCGGGAGGTAAAACCTATAATTTGATTTATATCACCATCAGATTCGAACCAGCCAACTGATTTTGTTAGCTCGGTGGTCGAGTGGTAAGACATCTGAACTAGACAGCAGGAGGTCGTGGGTTCGAGTCCCACCCGAGTGATTTTTCCCAACTTTCACTTGGGAGGTAACACACTGAGTATACAGTGTTTAAACGTCGGTGAAGGGCAAAACCTATAATTTGATTTATATCACCCCGACGCAAAATTCCATCTTATAATAGTTTATGCGGTACCCGCTGCTATGTACATCAGATTTGAACCGGCCAACCGATCCCGTTAGCTCGGTGGTCGAGTGGTAAGACATCTGCACTAGAAAGCAGGAGGTTGTGGGTTCGAGTCCCACCCGGGTGATTTTTTTCCAACTTTCACTTGGGAGGTTACACACTGAGTATACAGTGTTTATACATCGGTGAAGGGCAAAACCTATAATTTGATTTATATCACCCCGACGCAAAATTCCATCTTATAATAGTTCTTGGTTCTTGCTCCCGACTGTGTATTATGAGGTGCACGGCTATCATAACCAGCAATATATGTGACCAACCTTTGTGGGCTGTTCATGAAGAGTTGGCTAGACAAGTCCAACTCTGTTGACTAGCTTGGGTTCGAATGAAGATTGTCAAACTTAGGTTAGCTGTGCTGTCCACAAGTTAACCCTAAAATCCAATACATTATACATGTACTTCTATATTGTCATATTATGAAATAATTGCAAATATCGATGCCTATTCTTGAATGACTTGATGATGTTTACCTGAACATTTTAAAAATGTGTTTGTTAATCTGCTTTTTTGTACTGTTAATGTCTTCTGTTTTGTATTGATGTAGGCCTGCTGAGTCTGACAAAAGCGGAGGCTGGAATGAGTTCCAGAAGAAACTGGGAGAATTCACCAGCACGACACAGGTACCATTGCACTTTTCAAACATTATGTTCAACTGTGCTCCGTATTTTCCTTCTAATCTTTATTTTATTAACTAGAAAACAAACATCAATCCTGGTGCCGTTTGACTTGACAAATTGCATCAATGGAGAGGCAGTGTATTTTTGTTGCTGGGTCATTCTATCAATCTGGGGTCCACGTTTGCTTCAGTCCCTGTTACATCTGACATCTGTAATTTTATAATGCTGCTGCCCTCCTTATTGCAGTCATCCTCCAAGAGTGATTATGAATAGAAAACTACCTATGTTACAAATATAAATAACTGTTGGAAGTCATTCTTAATGATACTTGAATGGTAAATTGCCAAGTACCAAGGCAACGGGGACAGGGGAAAAAAGGTCACACTTCTTGGAACCTTAATTCCTACATTGACCCAGCTTCATCCTTCACTATCAAGTGAATAGTAGCATTTTTATATGCTCTAGCATTTCATTCCTGAGATTGTAATAAAATATATTTAAACTAAGATTAGAAACAGAGCATGCTCTTTCTGGTTTTTCATCCTACCTCTCCATTTCTTGTGTTTTGTTCTTGTGAAGAATTTTTCAGAGTTCTTTAGCGTTGTCTCAGTGGTCTTATTAACAGATATTGACAAAGATAATTTGGGAATTTTTTTTTTCTTTTCGTACAGCAAGAACTTGAGAGCGAGAGAGCGTCCCTGATGTCAACCAATGCAATCCTGGAAGAACAGCTGGCCGAATGTCATGACTACATCGACAGACATCTCAACAAGTAAGACAGCGGAGGGGGTGGGCAGTTTCTGAGAGCCACTTACCACAGAAATCTCTGCTTAGCAAAATTACATTACAACTTGGATATGATTGTTACTGGGTGTTGTGATTTCTGCTTGGCAAATAAATCAGCTTAGCAGTTTGGCAGGAAAAAAGTCCTGCTCTGAATTTCAAATGCAGCTTTGCAGAAAAGGATGCCTTAGAAAACATCTTTACCGAGCGAAACTTGGTGAAGAGCAAGTCAAGAGGATTTTTTTATCAGGTGAAAGTTGGGATGGAAACTTGGGCTGTTCACCAAACTAATTAAGATCAAAAACTTGCATTCTAAGCAGTTGTTTAGGGTTGCTTAATACCGTAAACGACGAATTAACGTATGTTACTAGATAACCCCAAAACACAAACTGAAGTTCAATGCTGGTTGCCAATTTGTGTGGTCATTTCTAGGTAATTGTAATAGTAACAAAGCCAAGAACAAATGAATAGATTTCTTAATGCCCAACCCACCCTTAATAACCAATGGTCCACCCGTATATGTTGGTTCCTCAAACCACGAAACTGATTTTGGCAATCCAAACCTGATGACAGCCTTGACGATATTCCAATAATAACGCCACTCAAAATCCAAATAAGAATGTTCAAAACCTAACCTGTTCAATTTTCAGCTTAGTGGATATTACACTTTTCAAAAAATCAGTGAACAACCATGCACACAACCTTTGGATCACGCAACACGATTTTGTCCATAGCATTCCGTATTTCCAAAAATCAGTCAATATGCCGATCGTTGGAAACCACCTACATTTCTTGATTTCTTCTAAATGACAGCAAGCCAGATGGAATCATTTCGTGGGTAGTTTAGTACCAGTACAATTTTTAATCCAAGTAAGCTTTTTGATGATAATTTGGTTGGTTACTTTTGGAATGAATGCAACTGATCCTATGGGCGTTATTCACGAGTTGGCCATTTTTGTCAAAGTTCCCTGAATGTATTTCATTAATTGTCAACTGTTGAAGGGGATGGCGCCAGACAATTTATGCAGGCACTATGCAGCCTTATTTTGCTGTCCTTTTTTAAAATCTGGCTTTAAACATTAGGGAACTTTTAATTACACATTTTAAATTATTCATTGAAGAAGAATGGAATTAATTAAAAATTAACTTGGTTTCATTTCTCTTCGCAAATGCCAAAAATTAAGATTTCACCTCATTTTCAATTCAGTATGGCCGACTCGTGAATAAGGCCCATATGCCTTAAAGAAGGAGTGTCTCCGAAAGGGATAGAGGGACCATTTTGAATTACCAACCAATGCCTGTTAATTTGTTTACTCTCTGTGTGCAGGTATCGAGAGGAGAACACCTCCTTAAGACGAATGCTTGGGATGAAGGATCGAGATGGAAGCCCCTACGAGGAGCCCCCGATACCCAGAGGACAGAGAGCTGGCTATGCTAGACACGCTGGGCCATCGTTCACTCAACCGAACTGGCAGTACTAAGATACAGGTCGGTCCTTACATGTGGATACAGACCAGTACATAAATGGCTACAGAGTGGGTTGGAGCTCCCCTCTAGTAAGCTTCTGAATTGTTCTTGCATGCTTCGGACAACTCTGAGTATACAGTGTTTATAAACTCACGTCGGTGAATAAAGAGTAAAACTTAGTTCTGAATATAAACGATAAGTATTCTCACTTTAAAGGGAATGTACAACATTTGCTTTTGCTGCATTTTTCAGAAATAAATGGATTTGGAGGATTAGTATGTTATAGCAAATATTGTTAAACTGTCTTGTTTCATGTTTTTGGTTTGTAGATGCTGGAAAAAAACAATCATGTTATTGTAGTCTGGTTCCCTGACCGCACTTAAGATGAATCAAGCAGTTCATAGACTTTGGGGAATTGTAAGGTCAGAGAATCAGTCTAGCAGGCTTGTACCCCATCACAGGTGTGTAATCAATTACAAAGAAAATGCGGAATAACTAAATAAGAAAAATAGGAGCAGTTTTTGAAAAAAAGTAAGTGTTGTCCAACACTGGTCGGCCGACCAGCGTTGGAAAAATACAGTTTTTGGTGAAAATGTCACGATTTTACAGGATGCTATAGACTCTCATTTCCTAACAATCCAGTAAAGGTATTTCGTGATAATTTGATCATTCATTTTTTGATGTTTGCAAATGTTGTATCTTCCCTTTAAAGACATATAGGATCATTTGCATTTGTCCCCAAACCAATTACCTACCGAAAAATTATCAAAAGGTTACTGGGATTAAAGTTCGTACTAGTACTAAACACACGGTGAAATTATTCCATCTGGCTTGCTGTCGTTTAGAAGAAATACAAAAAATGTAGTTGATGGTTTTTCACTGTTTTCTCAAAAAGTGTAATATCCACTGAGCTGAAACTTCAACAGGTTAGGTTTTGAACATTCTTCTGTGGAGTTTGAGTGGTGTTATTATTGGAAACGACACAATGCATGAAATGCAATTTATCTCCTATATGCCTTTAAGAATGTTCACAACTTGACCGAAACTTACGAGCGACTTTCTATTCATTTTGGAGTTCCACCAATGACTTTTGGGTATTATGTTTTTCCTCAATAAATTATTTTCCTCAAGGCAGTCCTGAAGCCCGTCGCCATTTTTGAAAAATGATTCCTCCACTCCTTTGCAAAACAGAGTGCTTTTCTGGGTCAAATTTTGTCATACATTTCTGGAAATGCAAGTTCAAAGACTTTTTCGGAGCTGGGGCCCTTCATCGTTACAAACTCCAAAGTTGAAGCTCCCAAAATTCTCTCAAAAGAGAAACCGACCTTATATAAATCGTGATTAGGTCGGTGTAGGCAATTTGGGGCCTATACTGATCTGCAACCACATGTAAAAAACATCACCTTATCTGCCGGATGTTTTACCTACGCAACTCAAATACGGAGAAAACAAAAGAGCTGTTTAAGATGCCTCGTTTAAACTATATAGTGATATTTTATTTCTTATTATGGCCAGAAGTTGTAAGATAATTCATTTATATTGGTACTTTAGATTCAAGTACTAAAAAGTCATTTTTTATTTTTATTTTTCTATTCTATTAATTTCTAAATCTCGAAGACAACCAGTCTTATATGTATATGTGCTATAAAAATGTATTTATGGATCAACGAATTTATTTTGTATTTATATGATGTGATTGTTTTAAATTCATATTGATCTTAAACTCAAAATGTATGGATCAACAAATTTATTTTGTATTTACAATGTATATGTTGTGATTGTTTTTAATTCATATCGATCTTAAACTCAAAAATGTATTGAACACATTTACATCCATCATACACTTTCACAGGTAATGTAATATATTAAAAATATTAAGTTCTTTCCAAGAATCTACTGAGAATAAATAGACCAGAGAATACATCTATGACCAAGTTTTCATCCGAGTATGTGTTGATAAGTGGGTTATGAATGGAAAAAATGTTAACATACAATGTTACTTAAAGGCATACCGGTATAGGATTATTTGCATTTCCCCCCTAAATAACCTTCCGAATTAGATGATCGTACTGGTACTGAACCCCGTGGAATTATTCTGTCTGGCTGCTGTCAGTTAAAAGGAATTAAGAAATGTAGGTGATTTCCAACAATCAGTAAATTTGCGGATTTTTTTAAAAATACCTAGTGCTATGGACGAAATCGTATTTCATGCTGAAAAGGTTGTGCATATGGGTTTGCACTGTTTTCTAAAAAAAAAGAAGCTATATCCACAGAGCTGAACTTCTACGGGTGGTTTTGAACATCTGGAAACGAACACAATTAATGAAAATCAAAATTACCCATGAAACAGATAACAGTAGTATTTCCCATCTTATCACAGCGCAAGGAATCTAGCCTCAACACGTGGAACATTTCGCAGGGAATGTTTAAAAACGAGTTAAGATTGTCAGGTACCATGAAAAAAAGTTGAACTCTCACTTCGGGAACAAACAGAAAACTTCAAAGCTTTTTGTACCACGTGTCAAAGTGTTACAAAGGATACATATTAGGGAAAGACAACTTTAACATACACAAAGGTTGGCCGAGCGACCAGATTGGTTCAACGATTAACAAGCTTTGACGTCATGGCTTGTATACCGTTATTCATCTAGACCAGTCTGCCACCAGGCGTATCATTGTGTTCGGCTTATCCCTTATTTTATGCCCCTTTGACGTGTACAATAAGACATGTCCCTTGCGATATATTGTAAGGCGATTATGTGCCGGCTCGCTGTCTGGTTTGTACACAGTATCAGTGACCTTTTCGTCTGAGTCTCCTATTTTAGGAACACCAAATGTTTGAAAAATCTAAAATAGCCGGGAAAACTTATAATAGGTACTGGGAAGGGTTCCGTTTTATTTGTAAAAACACACACGGGCATGTAGTTGCTTGTGCATTGGGAGCTCATCGGACTTATAGAAATAAGGGGATTGAGCTATATGGGGCAATAAAAATTGATGGGTAAAGTGAGCTGTCATAAAGTTTAGTCGTGTGGTCGGCGTACGTTATGTAATCACCCGCCGTTGTGAAGGTGCCTCTACGCGTCTTTGTATTGGGTCAAGGATCCACGTGGACAATAGAGACGAACCCATGTATATAAGGCCTATTTTATGAATGACCAGACATGCAGTGACCAACACAAGTCACCTTTCAACAAAGTGATGTGTGTTGTACTTTGAGCCACTAACACACAGTGTTTGAAACTCTTTGGTTGTTTACCTTGATGGCGTGCGCGGCTTAGGAACACACTCTACAGTTGTATAGGCCCATACCAACGGGCCTCCGTGCGTCCGCTGCCAGGAGTCGGCAAACAGCTCATGAGTCCGTCGCGATGATACTGGAAGATTTTTGTTTGGATTGGGATAAGAATGAGTTTACTCTGTAGTCTGATATAGGAGCAAATGAGGTTACCCGTTCAAGTTGGGTGTTGTTGTCGAGTTAGTCATGTTTCTGTGAAAGCTGTTATGGATGAACTCGCGACTAGATTTGCAGTCCGACCTACATGAAATGCGAATGCACTTCACCGTACTTGCACAATGTTTATGCCACCGAATTTAATTTAAGTCTTCATCAATTAGGCCTATGAGATTGAAAGGCATTTGACAAGATCATTCATTGCTGTAGAAATGCTTTGAGACTGAGCATCGTGTTCCAAACTATATAGGGAGGTGATAATTGTCGACCGACCACAAATTCTAGTTTGGCCATCAACTCCTGTTTCCCGAGAATAGAGTAAAGGATCGTAAGGGAAACTACTTGGATTGTAAATGTAGAATCGAGTCAACTAGTTGAGATTGATCAACATGGGTGTCACACTTGGAAAAGGCAAGCCCCAAGACAAGAAGGCAGCACCGATCGACAACTTCCGCCGAGCTGCTAAAGTGGTGACGATCATGCGGAAAACGAGCCGCGAAGCCACGGCAAAACAGACCGACACCAACCCGCCAGACTCTAAACCGGACTTTGAACCGATCGAGGAGAAACAAATGGTGAGAAAGGAATCGCAAGCGTTGCTGGAAGACTTAAGAAGCATCTCCCACAAGAGAGACACTGATTCCGCTCGTCATCAGAAGAAGAACATTGTCGACGATTCCCGGACTCTGGTGTTCAAGGACACCTCGGATGCTTGGGCGGCTCTACGGGAAGGTGTAGTGGCCGAGACTACGGAGCTACCGGATAAAGAGTTCGCTTTGGTGGAGTCGGCCATCAGCGGGTACAAGACTGTGGAGAGGGTGCGGGGTGTCGATGATGACCTATTTGGAGACGGAGAGGAGGTTGAGGAGAGGAGGGGAAGAGCTGTGAGCAACGAGAGCGATCTGAACATCCCGTACACTCTTCCGGAAGGATCGAATCCGGTAAGGCAACTCATGGTTGTCATAAAAAAAGAGATTATGAAGTGATCAGTGTTGTAGTTTGGTCCATTACAAATCTCCACAAGTCAATCACAAGTCATTCCGCCTCAAGTCGGGTCACAGGCATTTCAAATGATCTGTGACTGAGGCATTCCTTTGTAATTATGTGACCGGACTTGTGACGAACTTGTCGATGGACTCAACACCAACATTGCAAGTGACATTTGCCTCATGCATATATTTCTTTTCATCGCTGATGTGAACTTGCACTTTGTTCCCTTTTCAATTCTGTTTTAGAATTTCACCGTGGGGGGGGGGGGGGGGGGGTGTTATGATCGAATTTAGAGAATCGTTTAATGGAACACCAAGCTGTTATTTCGAGTAATGTTTTTAACTGAAATTTAACTGGACTTGTTTCCGCATAGGTTTCTCTTTCAGCACAGACTTTATTGAGATCAATTCACAAAGTAAATTATATAGCTATATTTATCTCGATGACATGGTTTTAAAAGTGGGTTCTGTTACAGAAGAATTGGGAATTTGAAAATCTTCATTAGGTGAATTAGCAAACTGGATTCAGCTAATTATATTGCACTGAAACCCTGCTCGGAAATCAACCAGTTATCAAGTCTTAATAGTTATAATAACTTAGTTATCAATGATTTGCGTTAAAACATGGTTAATTTCCAATATGGTAAACTGACATCTAATTTAACCCAACCTTGAATACTGAACAATCATCTAACAATTCTGTTACATGCCATCACGCGTAAAGTGTACGTTTTGATCTACAAAATAGCAACCGTTCATAGCTTCGTCATGTATGATCAGGCAATAAGGAAAGTGATATCTCCGTGATCATCGATCAATAGCCATTCTTACCAACATTTGAATTCTTGAAGGGGACGAGTTCAAGTCATCGATTTGTGGTCTACGCCACCGTTGTTCGGTAATGTACCGTGACATGCCGTGAAACGCTTGTCGATCTCGATTAAAGTGCTGGCAACATTTAGTTTCAAATCGATGCATTGATCCGAAGTGAGCAGCCACTTCAGACGATAACACAAATACGCAGCTTCGCCTTGTCATCTTGTCATCTGTTCTCTCTGTGCACAATCAACACTAATATTTTTTCACTCAATATCATTGCGAACGTAACTCCCTAGGACTTTTTGCTAGGATGTAGCCTCAATCCTGCAAAACCCTCCAATTGGCCTCATGGAAAAATAGCATGTAGCCTCAATCCTGCAAATTCCTCCATTATTTCTTGAATTTAGTCCGTCGAGGGGTGACCACTGTCTGAATCCTGCAAAATCCTGCGGCAGTCACTGTCAATATGTTGAGACTTGACCAGTGACATCCTTGAGCAGTACGGAGGATTTCAAGCATAATCCAGGCCTATATTAATGCATGACTGAGCAAAAACAAAACATGGTCTGGCCCAAGACCTTGACAAAGTGCATCCTACGAAATCAGTAACGCACTTTTGCCATGTAACCTCGATCCTCCAAATTTCTCCACTTTGGCAAAAAGGTTTTTGAAGGATTCAGGGCGGTTAGGGTTAAGCAGATTTCCCAAAACATCTGAGAATTCCCGGATCGGCCGGATAGGAAATAATTTCAATCCAGCGTTAACATATTGGGATGAAAGAAATTGTACATCTTGCCCTCATCTCAAACATGAAGTGTATGCATAGTAATTATGGGTGGAAAGCACGAAGTTTGCCATTGGTTGGTAAAGTTTGTGCATAATTGACATTACGTGATTTGCAATTGACACTTTTGGCAAATTAGGGGAATATTTTCCCTTACGTATTGGCAGTGGCGTCAATCCGTGAATGGGGCTGGGGAACGACCAATTCCAACAATCCAAAAATTGTCCGGCTGTGAACATTCCAGGAGGGGGAGGGGAGGGGTGGAACCCACAAAGCACCAGAACAAAATGCATAGTTGTGTGCTTACGTCCCGTACATTATAACTTTACAGCCGGCAATACGGTGCAGTTTAAAGCTTCCGTCTACACTGTATGTTCTTCATTTAATAACTGTTTAATATATTTGGACTTCGGGAAAGTTTAAAGAAATTTACCCCCTATTTTTTTTGTTTCTCACCACAAAAATCTTGGGGGTATATGGAGCGGGGAGGGGGGGGGGGGTGTTAGTGGTGGATGATCCGATGGCCCGTTGACCCATGGTCAAAAATAGGGGGAGGGGGATATATCCCCTCGCGGGATTTGCGCCCTTACGGTAAATCTTAAATAATTGGTACATCCATTGACTTATGACCGGACAACCTCTACTCGGGAAAAAAATCCATATCAGTCACCTCTTGTCAACATGAACAGAACAAAACTCAAACCCCAGACACAATCAACAGCTCCCGCGGCAATTGTTTTGACAGATGTAACCCTTTAGGGTACCACAGACTAACATTAAAAATGCACGATTCGGGCTTGGCTCGGTACTCAAATCTTTGAGTTGGCCTAATGACCGATTAGTAATACATGTAGCATCTATTTTAAGACCGGTTGTGCTTGCGTTTGTGCTTATGCCCCAACTTCAAGCACTGAATAAACCCAAATGTTTCTATTTTAAGAATAATAATATCGACTCGTTACCGGGCCACCAATGTGACCTGTCGCCGCAAAATAAGCTCAAAATGAAAAATTGCTATTACGCAGTACAAACATTAGTCTATGGAATATCCGCTTGCACAGCAAGGGTCTATTATGATATGCGAGAAGATTCGGCAATTATGCAAAACAAGACTGCGTGTTGACCTTCAGATTCTGACCATTCAGAGGATGCGCTCAATCGGGTATCCGTAACCCGTAGCAGCCAGAGTGACCAATCAACAGCTTAGTCCACATTTCTGATCGAACTGTCGTAACAGTTTCTATGAAGTTGACTCCGATTGGCTGGCGCGCGGGGTCGCATACAATTGACATGCTACGATATATCAGACGTTCAACCGGGGCCTGCTCTGCCCACGTGAATGACTGATTCTCAGACTACACAAAATGAGCTTATCAATGAAAATTGCCATTTTGCAGTGCGATGTGCGGCAAAGCCAACATTAATATTTTGAAGTGGCGGTTGATTTTGTTTTGTTTTGAATAAACGATTTCCTCGAGAGCAGTTTCTTGAAAGATTGTGCAAACAAATTAATGGAATATCACATCGCGTGGCTGGTGGTAAGGGTATATTAACCCTAAAGGGGCTGGGGGCGGAATCCGCCCCACCCCTCAACTTTTTTTTCGCCATTTCTTTAACAAAAAAACAAATTCGCGACCCGAGCTGTTCTGACTTTTTAGCTTCGAGCCTTATTCTTGTTCATCTTTTGATACCAAAAACATAAAAATCAGACCACGGATTATCGCAATTTTTCCTGCGCTACGCGCCGTTCAAATTTAATTTTCCCATAGGTCGTGTACACAGAGCAGAATTACCATATGAATATTTAATTAGCCAACATTCCAAAACCCTTTAACCTATAGTCATGAAATTTCATGAATGTTCTAGTTCCAAGTTTCAAAATTTTTCGTCACTCAATGGCCGAGATCTTAGGGGGGGGGGGGGGATCCAACTTAGGGGGGGGGGGGATCCAACCCCCCCCCCCCCCGCGGCTGAAAGATTGTCAAAATAATCCGGCCCTTTTAGGGTTAATTTGAAAGCAAATTGTGCTAAAAAGGACACTTTCCAAAGTGAAAATTCATCTCATGGGAAGAACAGCCTGACTTTGTGCCGACCTTAATTTTACAGTATAAATTTTAAGCACCTTGGCAAGGTATACCATTTGCATGTTTTTGATGTGGAGGATTTTTGATGCTGAAAAACTTGGTTATTATTATTTAGAGTACGCATTTGTTGATAGGGGTTATATGTATCTCTGATATCGCCCCTGGGTATGTGCGCACAGGGTGCCATTTTTTGTGTGGAAAGCCTTCAAAACCGTTGACATAATTCACTGCGTCCCCATCGCAGTGTTTGTCCATAGGATTTCACGGCTGGAGTCTTTCTCAGAAACTTCAAGAGATCTCTAACTTCTCTTGTTGTCTTCAAGACTTAATTGGTCTTCTTCAGTTTGAAAAAAACAAATCAACAAACATGATGCACCTGGTGTCTCATTTGCTTTATCCGTCTGGACGGGAAAACATCGCGATCACGCTAAATTGATTACACACTATGAGATCTAACTTTGGACAAAATCCCTCGATTCTACCGTAGAAGGAAACGAAGCCTTAAAACTTAAGACTTGACGCCTTCCTTGTCTCTAACTTTGGCTGATGGTCCTTCAGATTGTATCCACCGTGGTGATCGAGGGGATGGTTTGCTTTGGTTACCTGTAGCAAACAATGCCAACGACACTGCGTGGCAACTTCCCCCTAGGCGTAAAAATAGCCTAGCGTCGGTAATTTTGTTTCACTTCATGAGAAGAAAGGGTTTCTAGTGGGTTGTTGACATGTTTGCTTAGATGAACACAAATAAAGCATTTTACAACCATTACATTTGTTTCACTTCATGTGGAGGAAGGGTTTCTAGTGGGTTGTTGACATGTTTGCTTACTTGAACACAAAGAATGCATTTTACAATCACTACATGGAGAGAGGCTACATTGAGTTCGGCCAAATTGTTGTGCACGTCACATAAACACGAAAGTTTCATGGAACTTTATGCGTCAATTTTCGGTAACTTTACAGTCATCCAGCAACCGAAAGCAGTTGGCCGTGGGGTTCTAGTGAAATTAAAGTCTGGTGAATGGAAATAGCATCTTTAAGGCCACTCTATAGCATTCAAAACTTAAACATATTTTAAGAGGATTTGTGAGGAGTGATTTGGGGAACTTCATTTGATAATAAGATCTGGAGTCATGATAATCCTCGAATTATAACATCTGAAAAAGCACCTTATCCCAATCACAATACAATTCAGTGTTTTTTTTTTATAGGTCACGGTAAGTCTGCACGTCATTTCTAATTAAACGTTTTCATGACACAACAGTATTTTTTTTTAAATAAAAAATCCACGACAACGGCAAATTTGTAAAAACAATTACGAATTGCATGATTCTTTTTTAGATTAAAAGAAACAACTGTCTTGAAGGATTGAATTGTATATTATTGTTGTTTTTGGAGTTGGGCTTACATCAGCATAAACCGTGCTTTTAAAGTGCATGTTACACAAGACTTACCAAGGTCATAATTCTTCTTGACTGCAGTAAACCCAAAAACTTTAGCTTAACTTACAAGCGTGTCGGTCTAATCTTTCTTTGGGGGATTTTGACGGTTAGTTTTATTGCTTGCCTTGTCAAGATACACTAGTACCGGCATAAATCCGCTCTCACAAAGGAACGCACAAAGTCTGCCGGTGCAAATTCCCAGAAAACGTTTGGTATAAATAACTTAGCCAGATTAGATGGTTGGTTTCTTTTGGTACAAGGATAATCCTGTTTCATATCCGATTGCATGGGATATACTTGTCGAAGACGATTCCGCAAAGCGATTTATAGAAATCACGTACAGAGTCTTAAGAGTGACACTTATCTGACAAATCACCGTCCGCATGATAAGTTAACCTAAAGAATTTGCAGTCTTGTGGCTTCACTCGATTTAGCAACACACTTTATATTTAACACAGAAAATCACTTCAGAAGATAACAATACAACAACAAAAAACCTGTTTCCATTACTTTGAAGAAGTCTTATATCAGTTCCTATACGAGAGGAAATAATTGTGTGACTGAATTTTTGCCTAAAAATGTTTCAGTGGCGGAGTTTTACTGTTAACGAATTTTAATGTTGAAGCTGACAATTATTTTCCATTCACAATAACAGTTCTGATGATTTTCACACGCCCTAGGGAGTTAGGGCCAGTGGGGTAAGGGTTAAGGCTGAGCCAGAAATCTTTTTTTTTTGTAAATTGCTAAGAAACCCTCGTTTTATTCCTGCAAGTCGTTTCTGTTTTATTCAATAACCAGTTTGTTTTTCTTAAAAATGTTTGACAAGAAATTGTCCAATTTTGTTTTTATCCAATTCCAGTTCTTCACCGACGAGAAGTGTGCCATCTGCCGTTCCCAATCCGGAGGGGTTTTGTTCCCGTGTCGCGTCTGCACGCATACGTTCCACGAGAGCTGTCTGCAGAAGTCGGGGCGGGTGCAGGACGCCACCGCGAGGCAGCTTTTGCACCGAGCAAATGCCGGTTTGGGTTGGTCGTGTCACGATTGCGTAAGTCAATTTTTGAACATTTCAAAATAAACTCACTCTGTAATTCCAGCGTTATGTTATGTCCGTGACAGCACTTTAAACAGCTCAGTGGATAAACCTGAAAATGTTCAAATCTTATACGTCCATCATCTAGTAATGGTCTAATTAGAGATAAAGACTTGGAGTTCAATATTTATCCGAATAATTAATTAGATATGGTGTTTTTTTTTCTGTCACGGACGTACTTTCTTTTATAATGCCGGAATTCGGGCTATTCACAATGCAGTGCGCCACCAAGAGTTTGCCATGGAGAGTCAACTTTTGAAGTTTACGGTCGACAAAATATGGCCCGATTGGAATGAGTGTCAGTAGACAACTTGAGCTAATTTGTTATAGATTGGGACATATAGCGTTCTGCCCCCTTACCAAAAATCAACATATTGATAAAAAGAAAAGAAAAGGACAAATATTATATTCGAATCATACTTTTACAAACTTTCTGGCCGGAAAAACTAACAATTTCAAATGTCCCGCGCTGCGAATTTGTCGACCATCTCCACAATGCACTGGGTACAATGAACTCTCCGTGGCAAACTATTGGTGGCGCTCTGCATTGTGAATCGCCCGAATTGCCAATACACATTATTTTCAAAGCACCTTACACTATTTACATTTGAATGAAGAGTTTTTGCAGGTAGTAACTGACTTTTTAAAAGAATTCCCTGGATCAGTGCAGTCGTTACAGTTCGTAATAGATACAGTCTTCAATTTCTTTGAAGTATCGAGACCTATCCACATCGAATCTGGTGGCGTTATTCAGTTCACACCGATCACCAATCAGGTTGAAGGAACGACAGTGAGGCGAGGCATTGCAGGCGATACAGCAACGGGAGGGGCGCTCTGTGGTTGTCACATCCAGGGTGTGGTTCACAAGGCAACGCCCATTGGACACAGAAAAACAGCTGGTTGGTTTGCGGCAAGTGGGCGGGGCTTGCTTCTCACACATGACATTCTTGAGGGCAGAGCAATGCCAAATATTGTATGTTTTATGTGTGCTAACAGCTACACAGTCATTTGATGCGTAATTTGGGTTGTTAAGTTGGAAGGGTGGACGATAGAGGGCGCCCGAGTCGTCATCCCCGCTGCAAACCCAGACGCCCTCTTGTGCCTTATCCGTGCAGCCGATCCACACTCCACCACTGGGATTGTTATTCGGATACGAACTACGATAAAAGTCGTAGATGAAATCGTGTTCGGCCGCGGAGTTAGGGGTGGCCAAATTGGCGCCAAAATTCTTGCAGATTGTCTTAGCAGTTCCCCAGTTGCGTAGTCTATCGTTAATGATGTTCAGGTAGCAGGCATTTCCCCATGCGTGCCAGCCAGTGGGGCATGAGCCACACGGCACGCCATGGCTGATGGACAACAAGTGAAGAACGATCATCATCGACAAAATCACGCTGGTGTGGATTGAGAACTTCACGCAGCTATTTCTAGACGCCATGATAGATAACTATGAAGAAATATCAGGCCTACAAGAGGTTATGGCAAAGAGAAACTCTCTCTTAGGCTGTTTTCTGGTGATGCACTGGCGGTGCGAACCAAGCGGTTGCGCTTATGTACTTGCTCATGACTTGACGTCTGGACGCAGTGTGTCCTTCTCTCAACATCTTCATTGATTTTTGGCCGAGTAGCAACGATTCCCACTGAAGGAAGAAAAGCGCGATTGTTTATTGACTTGAACGATGCAACTTAATGATTATTTCACGGCATCTTTACACACAACAACATCCGTTTATATACACAATAGGCCTGGTCCGTATTAGAATATTAACAGTTGTTACTCATTCTTTCATATTTTCCCGGCATACGTTATTATTCCTCTGAAACAGCGAATAGACGCTCGATCGATCTGTTTGAACTTGGGCGTCCAGGTTTGGGAAAACTGCATCTCGTTACCATGGTGATGTCCAAACAGAGTGGAAAAGGACCTGAATGATTTATTGTTTGTTTGATTTCATCATGTCAGGGTCCTGTGTGCTGAATTGATTTCAGTTGCATTAATATCCAATGCACGTGGAAATATGGCATTTGTCGCAAACTTTCAAAATTTGATACTGTATGGGACAGATTTAAAAAAAAATTTTACGAAATAAAACGATAGCCTAACTAGAAAACGAACAAAGTACATACTGTCATCTTGCTGTGTTTACAAAACATCTAAATTTAAGCTGAATCCACGAACAATACTATGAACTTTAAAATAGCTACTTCCAGCATAAATTTCTTCCAAACGAAATGACCGACAAAACCTCACATCTTCAATTATTTGTATCACCGCATCGCAGTCCATAATGTCCGAGATGACATGGGAAAAATTAAATATCTAAATCCCGTTGGATCAAAGAAACCGGGAAATGACAATAAAATGAATTTTCTTTGGTTGTCTCGGCAGGAAGATCTGAGCAAGTTGTTACACCAAGATGACATGTTTGAACTCATGGAGGTATTTGAAACGGCTGACATAGATTCAGGTAAAGGCTATAGGTCAATTCATAGCTATCCGGTTCGTTAGTGTGACGTCACCTCCAGCACTTTCTGCACGATTGGAACCGGAAGTTAACGCAGCTTGAGCGTTTGTAGCCAATGGGCGCTAGTAATCAGTGGTGCGCGTGCGTGTATGACGTTTTTACTAACGAACCGGATAGGTCCAGCCTCGACTCCAGGGGCGCGTGCTCGTTCCTTACACTAACGCGTAACGATCGCGCAAGGCATGATGGGAAACAACATGGTGCTGCAAGATCGTACCCACGGGGCACGAGGTTGCTATAGGTCAAACTTGATCACAACTCACAAGCACAGTGAGCTGTGTACACAAACCAGAGGCGCATGGGCGTGGCTTACAAAAAGTGGCAAAATTCGGAATGTTCCAACTTCTCTCAGCACAATGTAGTACGGAATTCGATACAAATACGGCTGAACGATATTAATTCTCAAACGAGTTGATTCCGTACATTCTCCTACGCAAATGCGAATACGTTCATAAACCCGTCCACTTTTTTGTACATCTTCTGCCCGAGATACCTTGGTCTCCTGACCAAAAGTCGGGATGTGGTTGGTCATGTGCACACTGTTGATTTACGGAAGAGTCCATTCCGGTGTTAAAAGTTGATACATTGTATCTTCATGAAACAGTACGCTGCATTTCCCCATAAGGCACAGAGCGCCCTCAGTGACGACAGGTTATGATAGGCCGTTTCCCAATTACTTGGCTACGGCTTGAAATTATCATGAGATTGAGACACGATGTAGGAAGCGGCCACAGCCACTTCGCATAGACGTGTGTGTAACTGAAAGCCGTAGCCAAGTTATTCGGACACGGCTTTACTTAATTCAGTGCCAATTAAACTACTAAACTTGTGTCTAGTCACTAGGCCAAGTTCGCGCAAGGACTATTGTTGACCAATGGTTAACTAACGTTTGCCCGAACTCTGTCTAGTCGACGATAGTTGACTACGCTAGTCGACTATTTGGAACCAGCCTACTGGGGTTGGTTGCTTCGCTGGTAACCAATAGCCGCGCGCACCCCATAACGCTAGCAGAGAGCCAGGACCCAGAAGTTTTGAGATGACATTTTGACCAGCGTTTGCCTAGAGACGTTCGCACATTGCTATCAGTGCGCAGGCATAAGGTACGTCACAAATCAACCACTAGTCGACTAATGGTCCTTGCCCGAACTTGGCCATAGTTGTGCGTATCACACAAGAACAATTAATGACCTGTCCTCGCGTTGAGGGCGCTCTATGCATGGGTATATTTTAGTTCTCAAACCGTTAGGTCTGATTTTCTTGCCAGATGCGAACATATCGCTGGATGAATTCATGACTTTTCGTAAGAGGGTGTTCAAAGATCGACACGAGCGGGACATGTTACCACATGAGGAGGAAGATGAGATCAATCAGTTCAAGGCCATTGACACCGATCGGACTGGTAGCCTGTCCTGGTGGGAGTTTCTGAGTCACGAGGCGGTCCGTAGGTTATCATCACAGTCGAAGGTGGGTAGTTAAGTTGCGCTCGCCTGAACACAAAATGGTCACAATTATGTTCCGTAGACAATGTGATCCTTAACTTCGCCATGAAAAATGTCCATCTGTGTAGACTATTCACCGTTGGATCATTAAGACCGCTAGTTTATTTTGCTCTCTGACTTGCAGAAAAGTTTGGCGAAGAAGCTGTCAAAGAAGGAGGTGCAGACTGCGCGGGAAAACTTTGGCGCGTTTGACACGGACGGTGACGGCGTCATCACGGAGTACGAGGCGCGCAGGGCGTACAGGAGCTGGTACTCGCACTTCATCCCCGATCCCAACGAGATGACACTGAGAGAAAGGTACGGGTACCAGTCAAGTTTTACGCCATGAGTTGTTATGACGACAACCAAGGCCTGATTTTATTGAATCGGTGGGGGGGGGGGGGATTTATAAAAAAAAAAAACCCAACAACAACAATTGAGTAAAAATGTATCGGCGGAGAAACAGTCACACCACATCTCATGGCAAGTTTGGTTTTATTTTCGATACGCGAATACATATCATGAGCAGATGCGTTACATTGTTTTTTTTTTTGCCCTTGAATGTTATTGTGCGCAATTTCCTAGTATGGCGATTGTTCGTCCACTGCCATTTTAAGGACAGTATTTCAACTCCCATCTGGAGTTTTTTACCCCCAAATTTTAAAGAATCTGACAGACAGAGCGACAGTCAAACGGGTATGTTGCAGTTCCACTTTTTAAACAGACAAACCTCTCACATTTCTTAGCCCCAGTGAAAGCGAATTTGATGATTTACCGAATGGTAAATCTAGAGACGAGTTGGACAGCGAAGACAACGAAAGGTTTGTTTAGGGTTTTTCGTTTGGTTGCTTTGTTGTGCATGATTCCACAATGATTGCTGTTTGCATGTCCAAGTGCCTTCTCATAGAGTGTCGTGCAATCTGTCTTTTTATAATCTTTTCCTTTTCCCTGAATAATTCCTTGTCAATCTTCCGAAGTTGTGTGTTCACGCCAAGTATTTTAAAATCCAGGCTATTCGCCCGTGCCATTGGCACTGCAGTGTCGCTGGCTTTTTTTACACACGGGATGTGTCCTTTTTTGTTACTTTGTTGGTTTTACCAAACAGAGCATGAATCGATTATGATGAAGAGAGTGAACTTTAGGCAGAGCTAATCTATTGGTAGAGTAAACTGGAATTTACGAAAGAGTCGTAATTTTTCGTCCGTTGACAGTGACAGTGGCACAAATTATTATCAGGAGGAAGAAAATGACAGGCTTGTTGAGAGCCTGGATATTGAATCTACATTTGTCCCTTGATGTGTACTTAGATTAGACAAAGTTTCGGATGGTTGCTCTCAAGTTTTTGAACATCTTTTAACCTCTTACTCGTCTAGTTTTATTTCTGTCAATTATAAATATACTCCATTATTGTGTGTCGATCTGGTGCATGCAAAAAATATACTTAGAGTTCTAACAAGAAATATTTCTCTTACTGTTTCCTTTTTACTAACAGAGCATGCAGTACTTTTCTTTTTAGTTAATTATTAAATTGAACAATAACTTTTAACATTGTTGTAAGAGCTATTTGAATTAATCCACAATGATTCTCAAGTCGTATCAAACCTTAATTTCTGCAACTGTTTTTTTGCCAACAGAGAGGCGTTTTGGTTGTAAGTTATCTTAAATATTGTCTGTCTTTTTTTTTTAAGGAGAAAGATACCTGAAGAGGTGTGGAAAGCGAGAAGTAAGGAGCTGAACACGCACATCGACGCTAATACCAATCTCCTTATGAGTGGCGACACAGACGGGTCGGGGTAAGGGCTTGGGGTCAAAAATAAATAGAGGGCGCCGTTGCGCAATCATAAAGGGTGTTGGCAGGAGAAACAAACCTGCACTTCCGGGTTTTTTATTCACTTTTAAATAATTATGTTAATCTAGTATAGAAAAACAAATCAAATTGTATTATTGATAAGTCATACCAAATTGGCAAAGTGAAAATTACAAGGGCGCCTGCAATCGGCGCAGATTACGCCGCATATTGCGGAATGAGCCGATATATGAAAGCATTTTGCCTAATCTTATTTTTTGTAGGCCTATTGTTAATTTAAAACACACATTATTTTACATTCGTTTCTGTTTCCCTAGGACTATTTCATGGGAGGAATATCTGTTGGAGCAGGCATTGTTCGTCATTGCGGCTCGGCCAAATGTCGGCCCGGTTAAGCTGAATCGACGTCCAAGCTTCGCGCAGTAGTCTGATCAAGGCCTCAAAACATTTGAAAATCGTGTAGAAATAAAACACTGCGACCTAAACATACCTATTGGCAGCTTAAAGGGAATGTACAACATTTGCTTTTACTGCAATTTTCAGAAATAAATGGATTTGGAGGATTTATAGCAACTATTGTTAAACTGACTTAATTGTTTCGCTTTTTGGGCTTGTAGATGCTGGAAAAACCAAGAAAACCAATCATGTTCTTATAGTCTGGCTCCCTGGCCCCACTTAAGATAAAACTCAGAGCAAGTTATATGCTTTGGTGAATTGTAAGGTCAGGGAATCAGTCTAGCGGGTAATCAATTGCAAAGAAAATGCGGAATAACTAAATTTGAAAAATTAAGAGCAGTACGTTTTTGAAAAAAACAAACAGTTTTCTTCAACGCTGGTCGGCCGACCAGCGTCGGAAAAAAAAACTTTTTTCATGAAAATGTCTGCACACCAGGAGCCAAGATTTTACAGGATGCTTTAGACTGTCATTCCCTAACAATCCAGTAAGGTATCTCGTAATAATTTTGATCATTTCGTTTTTTGATGTTTGCACATGTTGTATCTTCCCTTTAATGCCTGGTATTGATCCAAACCTGCATATTATTGGGAGGGATGGACGGAGCTACCGTCTAGCTAGTGTTTTAAATAAACAGATCTAATTGAACCCTTTAAAACAGTTGATAAAATTACACACAAATTGATGAGGTTTGCTTTCTGAATTTAATGATTTATTTCTTCCTGTTATTTCGTCTTTGCCGTAGCCCAATAATTTTTGATCCGCCAGCCGGGCTACTTAAGGAATAGTCATGGGCGTCGCCAGGATTTTTTCTAGAGGGGGGCAAACATTTTTTTGAGGGGGCAAGTTCCCCCCTTGCCCCCCCCCCCCCCCCCCCCCCCTCGCGACGCCCATGGGAATAGTTTGACTAGCCCCGCCGCTGTTTTGACTAGCATTTGGCTAGCGGGTTACCGCTAATTTCGAACCCCGAGTGTATGTATAGAACATGTATTCATGTAATTATAATAGCCCCTAGATTTTTACTAGAATAATGAATACAGAAAACAACTGCTTGCGATAATCAGTTTTATTTTAATATTAATAAAGACTAACATTGATGTTTAAATTGTGATCTTCAATAACGGAGAAATAAACATGATTTTAAATAACGGAGAAATATATTTTGCAAATTTGTTATTCCTTAAACTTTTGGAAGTAGACCTAGTATAACTATTATAATGATTATTTAAAATAAAAGGAATACAAATTGTTCGATTAAATTTGGATCCAACAAGGCGCACATCAGTCTTAGCCATCATATTAAGATTCAAGATTCAAATTTTTATTAGTCATTTGAGTCAAAATCAAACATGAAATTCACAAATAAAACAATAAAAACAGCAATAGATTGCACAAATCACATATTTTTATATTAATTAATACACTTGCCCTGGACGAAAACTAAATAAGATGGGTTTGCTGACAAATTTGGAGAAAAAAAATCGGAATCAGGTCCAAACATTGTAATCTTAAATTTGGATATCCACATTTCTTCACACGTTCTTCTAGTTATGGTAAACAGCGCCACCTATCGACAGCCCGTGAACACGCCCTCAACGTTGGCTCAGTGTATCCTTTAGTCTGGTTACCGGATTTCGTTTGATGAACGACGTACATTTTTGAACAAAAAAATAGGAAACCATACCCGGTGTTGCTACAGATGAAACTGGCGAGGAAAAATGCCGGTAAACGTGTTTTAAGTTGCAGCTGTTTGCCCCCTTTTTTTGTTGATGTCATCATGTTTTTTCAGGCACAAAAGACAACGTGAAAAGGTCGATATGATTGGGGTCATTCGAACCCTCACTAAACGGATGTTTTCGCCGAAATATCTGTTGCTAACGAACACAGTTTCCAGCGGCGTGTTGTTATCGCTAGGCGATATTTTACAACAGTTCAACGAACGTCGGATAGCCAGGAAAAAGTTACTTTTGAAAGTAAATGCTGCCTCAGCCTCAGGGACTGTCGACCATATACATGTAGGAGAGGACGATGTACGGGGAGCAGTACCCGCATTTAACTGGATTCGGACAGGTGAGCGTTGATTGAAAAAAAAGGACATTTAGGGGCTTATGCCTATGCTATGGCTGCCTACCGGTTGCGTATGCTCGCTAGCTGCTTTAGCAGTTCAGCATGTTCAGCTTGTTTGTACTATGACTGAAGCCATATGTTAGCCCCATGCCCACCAGTGTGGCTCAGATATTGCAGCACTGTATCCTTCCTTCGCCACACATCCCGTTCACCCAGACAAATGCCAGAGGGCAGAGAAATTGTCAACCATGATTCATGAATGCATGCGAGAAACTGTATAGTTTACTGCCCTTTAACGTGTTTATGTAGGCCTAGTAATGATTGTATTCTGTTGGCTGGTACGGTACTAAAAACTGCAGGGAATCATCAAAATAGAACAACGGTGATCTCGCTGATTCGGCTGAAAATGTGTGTGCATGAAATGACCTGCCTAGTAGTAGGCCTAGTCTGGAACCTCCAAAGTGCAATGTGAATTTCCGTATAACCAAGCATTCAGGAACCCACAGCCAGTTACGAGTTATGAAGGGGGGGGGGGGGGGGGATGGGGGGGGGGAGACATGTCCACTGTCCAGGTATAAAAGGACTAAATCCTAAATGGGTCAATATAAAAATACGATTATAAATATGAAGTGTTTATGTTACCGAGAGCCAGTCCCACATTTGTTTCTGTTCAGAAGCTGGCACATTGTATAGTGCCCTAATGTACACAGTAGGCGTACACAATGTAAGATATTAAATTTCCATCTCAACTCGAAGGAATATGTGGCCTAGTGGATAACGCGCTATGCTCGTAGTCGTCATGACCTGGATTAAGTTCAAGTCCTGGCCTAGTCCGAAAATTTGGGACTCTCAATACTGTGTACATGAGAGTCCCAAAACTTAAGGTATGAAAACATGCAAAACAAGAAAATAGACTGGCACCTAAAACAACCAGTCCAACACAGCTTCAGTACTGCATCAATCAACCATGCCAAAAGAATTTAAGAAACATGTGGTATGAAGCGGGAATTAGTCTCAATTTACTACACATTTCTCCATAGTCAAGCCACCAGACTATTGACACTGAATGAAGAGGTCAGTCTTTTCAAATAGTTGGACCATGGTTTGACATATGTACCAGTATAGTAGTAGTTGAGAAATTATTCGCACATGGTGTTTCCGCAAACCTTTCATTATTTAGCCCCATTTTGAAATTACTTGACTTCCTTCTCATGTGCAAAATATTGAAGAAAAGTCTCCTTTAAAAATTGAATTGAGTCTGCAAACTTGGTTGGTGAAATACTGAGGACATTTTCTTTGCCCCAGTGGAATTTTTGGAGAAATTTGCTGGCTAAAGTGTGAGTAAAGTGGGCCTGATTTAGTTTTGTACATTTCAGAGCACTCCAGAGCCCTATCTGGTCCCGGCCCTGCCAGATGTTCTGGTTTTTTTTTTATTCTCACAAACAAGGAAGAGTAGATCTCACTTACTGTTTAAAATCGAATCGTACATTTAATTGCAGAATATACCATCTTCATTGTCTGATTCGTGGCTCCAGAGGATTATTTTTTAAGGATAATAGAGCAAAGTAACAAAATAAAACAGTTTCTCATCCCCGCTCGCTTCCTGCAAATTTCATAAAGGATGCAGCGAAAGCTTTCCTGGGTTCCCCTCTTTGTCATGTCTTGAAACTGACCTCATGAAGTATCTAACGCATAGCTCATTTATTTCTCTTTGTCTTTATACTTGCAGGTAGAATGTTGACAATAGGGATCCTTCTTGGGCCTCTCAACCACTACTGGTATCTAGCCCTCGACAAGTTCCTTCCGGGTGTGAAAGCAAGAACTGTAGCCAAGAAAATTCTTTTAGATGAGCTTATAGCGTCACCAGTCATGACTTCAACATTTTTCGTCGGTAAGTTGATCTTGGAGAAGAACTATCAAACTATTGAGTCAAAATAAAATACAAAAGAAACCAAACAAAATCCCTTTGGTACAGGTACCTATGATTAGTCATGGGTGTGAGAAATCCTGCAAGCCCCAGTCCCCTACCCTACTCCCCACCCCAATCCCGGCCCCCACTCCAACTCCAACCCCCACCCAGTGGCGTAACCACGGGAGGGGGGCGGGTTTGGGGCACTTAGGCCCTCCCCCCACCCCCCCCCCCCCCCAGTTAAAATGCTGAATTTACAAAAAAAAGTAAACAAAATTATGTACACTGCACTGTTAAAATGTGCCTTCAGTACTCCCTTTGGAAAACTTTGTGCACCACCATGTGCCCCCATAAGTTTAAAGGGAAGATACAACATTTGCAAACATCAAAAAAACGAAATGATCAAATTTTCATGAAATACCATACAGAATTGTTAAGGATTGACAGTCTAAAGCATCCTGTAAAATTTTGGCTCCTGGTGTGCTGACATTTTCAAGAAAACTGTATTTTTCCAACGCTGGTCGGCCGACCAGCATAGGAAAAACTGTATTTTTCCAATGCTGGTCGGCCGACCAGTGTAGGAAAAAAACTGGTTGTTTTCAAAAACTGCTCCTAATTTTTCATATTTAGTTATTCCGCAGTTTCCTTGCAATTGATTAAACACATGTGAAGGGGTACAAGCCTGCTAGAGTGAATCTTTGACCTTACAATTCCTCAATGGGGTCAGGGAACCAGACTACAAGAACTTGATTGGTTTTCTTGGTTTTTTCCAGCATTAACAAGCCCAAACCGTGAAACAAGTCAGTTCAACAATGTTTGCTATAACAGACACAACAGAGTCAGTCATTTATTGTTTCGGCTCTGTTTTCTTCACTGAATTGGAGCCTTGGGTTACAGTGCGCCCTCTGGTGACCATGACAGATATTTATCATGTATGGATACCTGTTCATAATATAAACGTCAAAACTGCTAAAGAGATTTCTTTTGTGTTGAAAGCCGTGAGCCCTCTATTGACATGTCACGGTATGACTTTTGTGCTCTTTATATTTTTGGGTTTCATTTGTTTTCTTAAAATGTGCTTCAAAACTTTCATTTGTGTTAATTTGTCTGTCCCCTGTTGTTGGTTTTCAATTATTAACAGGTGATATATTGTACATTTGTATAATAAATTTTAACATTACATTTAATATATTGTGTTTGTAGTATGACACCCTGGTCTGATAAAGTCAATTTTCCCTGGTTTCAACTTAGGCATGGGGTTACTAGAAGGAAAGACACTGGCTGAAAGTGTTGATGTGCTAAAAAAGAAATTCTTAACTGTTTACATGGTAAGTACATTCAGTCTTAGAAACTTTGAAGCAGTGAGCATAGGCTTAAGCAGCCCAGACAGCATATATCATTCAGATGGACAGGGCCCGATGTCATAGGTTTGCTAAGCACACGATCTTCTGCTAACAGAGCCTCCGTCTATATCATGGAGACCGTAAGCAGTAAGCACACGAAAGACACTCTTACCTCAGAGGAAAAAGTTGCTTAAATTAGTGACGTAACAATAGAAATCTCCACTGGCAAGCAACCATTAGCTCATTCACGCCATGAAATAACGCTTAAGGTTTGCACAATTTTCTGCTATAGTTGGCACAACGTTTCTGCTTACTGTTAAGCAGTATTATAGAATTGGGCCCCGGTTTGAATCAGTCGTAGTATATTCTTTTACTGTACATTGAACTCTGCATCTTTCTGTGCTGATGGCTCAGTGAAATTGTCCTAGATCTCAAGCCAAAGGAAATGGGCAGGGCTGCATTGTTTTGCTAGTTTAATTTTACTATCTAAAATAATGCAAACATGATTTAAAAGGTGATAATAAACAATATTTGCTTTTGCTGTAATTTTCAAAAATGCATGAATTTGGGGGTTTGTATTTCATAGCAAACATTTCTATGCTGTTTAAAGTTTCATTTTCATAGATGCTAGAAAATCAAGAAAAAAAGGTTGTTCTTGCATCTTGTCATGGGCCGATTTTTTCGTGTGATGTCTCAGGGAAAACTCATGCTAGAAAATGATCAATTCAATTTGAAAATCTATTTTTCAAGGTACCACACCCGAAAAGCACGTAAACACCAGCTTTAAGTTGTTTTTCATTAGTGAACAGATTCATCATTTGACCATTGCAATGCTGCAATGCATTATTTACATTCTCATCAAACTACGGGCTAGCTCGTGAATATATGCTCTGTAATTGTTAGCTTTATAATGGCAAATACATGTACATCCAAACCGTCACGCGTATACACGTACATGTCATGTGTTTGATCTATGTGCATTTACACGTACAATCATCATATTGAATTGCTTGCTTGCTAAATATGTGTGAAATCAGTAAAAGCAATATATTTGAATGCATTTGTTACCCCTGTATAATTTGTGTATTTGTTTTTACAATTTGGATTTACATGCAGGATTTACATGTTTTAGTTATTAGAATAAGATGTCCATGTACATGTACTTGCTTAGAATAGTGCACCCCCTTTGTGTTTGCTTGTTATACATGAAGTGTGAAAAAGCTATATTCATATCAGTAATAAATAAAACAAACATAATTTCTGCGTTAACCAGCAAAAAGAGACGTTCCTTTGGCTAGGTACAGATATCCTGGTACATTTGGATATTTCCGGCATCCATCATGTCCATTAGTGTTGCTAAATTGCCTGACGCCTATTCAGTAGAAGTATGTGGCAAATCCCCAAATTAATTTGTTTTTTATTGTCCCACTGTTTTCAACAACCCGTGCGATTACAAAGTCCATGAACGCTCAATCATCCCGTGATTGGAGAGGTTTCTAGTGTGTGCAGATAACAGCGTGAACACGTCATTATTCATACTCCAAATATATCCGGGGATGGGCTTGCTCAAATTGATTGCCAGCGACAAACCCTTTGTTTGACAATCGTTTAATTGCTTCGAGCAAGACATTATGAATGAGTATTGTACCATTGACTTGTGTGCTGGGACTTTAGAAAACGGTTTATGAACTTGCGTGCTTGTTAGGGCTGTTGCGTGCTTAATACGGTTACCGTTGCATCATAATTTCACCGGTTGCAGTGAGCCACGTTAACATGATTTTAATTTGATTGAAAACTCGAAATTCGATTTAGAAGTCGATACAATTATCGTCCACCATATAAAACGAGGTAACATGCAATGGAATGTGTATAAACATGCAAGTGAGGAATCATAAGACTTCACGTGCATACCTGGTATAGTTAATGCAGTTTTGAGATCATATTATTTGATGGTGCTCGACGACGTCCGAGGAGAAAGCCACAAATCCCTGCTTTGCATTTGATAAGCTTAGCGCACACTAAGAAAGGAACTTCAGCTCGTTGAGCTCGACCGGTTTTTTTTTTTATGTTACCCCATCTTGCAATAGGGTGCCAACCCACAAACGCACTTGTCTTTGCTCATGCGCTGCACGAAATCACTTTGCAAATCATATTACATCTTTGATTGAGGTACTCGTTGCTGTTCTTGTTGTCGTGAATGGTTAGTTGCAAACAATTTTATTTCGTACATGTACATGTAGTTATAGTTGCAATCAGGTTTATAGGTTTCCCATAATCAGTAGGCTTATTGTGACTAAAGCGTGTTCACTACAGGCCCTTATACAGGGCGGATTCATTTAGCTTACACCTTGCACCACTTTTATGTCACCTATAACACCCGTCACACAAAGCTTACCAATGCTATTTTGAAACAGTTACTTTGTGCAAAATGTGTAAATTGTGCACGAAAGCGGTGTTTTAATTGTGTGAAGCCGTGTAATCCCGTGTTTTACTTTTTTTGTATAGTTGTCAAGCTTTGCTGTGTACATGTAAATATTGTGGCTATTCCTTTTTTTTTTTAAATTTTTTTAATTTTTTTAAATTTTAGTTCAGTCACATTGTGTATGTGGAGTTTGCCCCCTTTCCCCTGGTCTGTAACGAAGAATACATATTAGAAGATGTTTCAATAACAGTAAATCTACGTGTATGTTCCGTTTAAGAATTCATCATATATATTAAGTTGTGTGAATGTAGAGACTTGTGTCGATTATATTAAAAACAAACTACTTAATTTAAGCGTTTTGGAGACAAATCGAAAAATATCCTCCTTTTTTCCTTGAATATTCAAGACACTCTCTTTGTTTTCTCTTCTAAAATACCTTATTTTCCAACGCTACATCACTGAATGGTTTCCCCAACGTAATGCATTTATTTGTTTTCATCTACAATGCACCTCTTTCCCTACCACTTGCCCCACGTTTCCCTGTTAACTGTTTCCTACAGCTCGACTGGTGCGTCTGGCCGGCCTGCCAAGCCATCAACTTCACCTTCGTTCCCATGCACCTGAGGGTGGTCTATGTCAACACTGTCACCTTAGGCTGGGACACCTTCCTGTCATTTATAATACACACGTACCAGCGATGACGTCACTCCACCCTGCCGCTACCATATCCATCCAGAAATCCATCCAAAACTGAAATTATTTTGTACGAGTAATAACCCAAGCAAATGCTTTATCGTGAGACAAGGTTTTGTCAAACGCTCCAGAAGTAATATATATTTCATGAAATGTAAATTAATATTCTATGTGTACATAAGCATTTGTTGACAAAATGATACTGGGCACAGCTGTCCATGATAATGAATTGTTTCTCCCAAATACGGGTTTTTTAAGCAAATTTGAATTTTAAATGATTACAAAAACCCGAAAGATCGCTTCATACCTTTTTTGTTTAGATTATGTAAATATGCTTCATTATAAGCGAGATGTGATATCAGGATAGTTGTTTTAAAGGTCCTTGATTTCTTTGTGTGTGGGTGTACATGTATTGATATCAATACAAGACTCGCCAAAACATCAGAACACGTCAAACAATTCTGCTTTCGTGCTGTGCTTGCCTCCGTGATGAAATTGTTTTCATATCATTTGACCACGGGAACTGTTAAAACATAACAATGCTGTAAATCCCTTAATTTAAGAACTAACAATTAAATTGGTCGGAGCGAGCTGAATCTAGTCATTTTTTCTCTCTCTCCTTAAAGATGCTTTCGGTCGCCACAAAGTTCCTAATTAACTAGAACGATGCCTGCATTTACACATACCTTATTTCTATATGTGCGCCGGTCGAAACTGGCCTTAATTGTTATTTTTGTCTTTTAGTTAAATTCAGCAATAACGACTACTGTATCAGCAACGTAATGGGAACTAATTTGCGCCGGGATGAACAACAAATTTGATAGGGAGGTAGTAATAGAAATTTACCGACGACTGTTTCAGGATGAAGATAAAAACAGAGAAGCATACATCTAGATATTTCTTAGAAAAAATACATCATTTTATTGCGCTCGGATCTTGCATTGTTTCGTATTAATGACTGCGAGACTGATTGTTTGTTCAAACAAATTAAGACCGAAGATGTCATTTCAACTGACCTCGTTTTATCATTGCATCGCACACAAACGTATTGGGAACGATTGATTGCATGCACGACAAGCACAATTCAAATAGGACCGAGAATTGGGTAATAATGAGACCTGATTTTCTGACCTAAATTCAGAGTGCATCTTTGCAGAATGGACTGACCCATAAATCATTCTTTGGATATTTATCGTCAAATCATGTATTTTCCTATACTCAAATTAGGAAAATGGTACATTCTTACAGAAAACACGGAATGACATACTAACTATGACCGGGATATTTTGGCAAAACTATCAAGAGCTATACGGGCCGAGTCAAAAACAGAGTGACTTGGATTAATGATTTTGTTTCTTAAACAGAAATAAAAAAAAAATGATACATCAATTAAGTATGTTTTTAAATGAAATAGCATGTTCTTCCACTCATCTGACCCCCCCCCCACAAATAATGACTGAAATTAGATCATGCTATCAGAAGTTATGCATGTTAAACTAAAATAACCTATTTTTATAGCTGTCCATGGAATGCCATTGAAGCTATTGAGCTAAGTGAGAATTACAGATTACACACAGGCACTCAAATGCAAATGAGATCTTAATTATTTGTGTCGAAACTGAAACATGTTTACTGACTGTTTTGTGTTTTGAATATGATGAACAAGTCAAGTATTTTTCCCTGATATATTAACGAGTTTTGTCTGTTATCCTTTCCAAGTTTTCGTTCATTCATGGGGAAAACGTCCATGTTTAATTGTATTTAATGGGTATTCATCAGGATCTGTGGTGGACGGCTAAACTTGGTGATCTTTTTATTAAAATATAGACATAACTTGGTAATAAAGGACGTAAATTGTCATAGTTACTAGTCAATGACATGTACATGAACTTTATCCCTATGTTATTATCATGAAATGGAGTTAGCCACCGTTTTTATAATTAAATAATTAAAGGTTTGCGGAAACACCATGTGCGAATAATTTCTCAACTTAGAGAATGGTTCTGAAAAGAACCAGATGTATAAACTCGACGTTCCGGTCAGTATGCTCTGACCGTCTTCAGGTGAGATTTTATAATTCTTTTTCTTATTCGGTTACTTTATTTTTTAGACGCACCCTGTATGATTATAGCCGTTGTGGCGTCGGTACAACGTACGTAATACTGGTACGTACATTCGTTAATGGTGATGAACACGTATTGTGTTGGTTATTGATTTGATAAACATACAGTTATTGAAAACATGCACCTTGCGTTTAGCCGTCCTATGGAGATTATACTCAAACATGATGTATTGGATGGTCTTTTTAATTGAGTGGTTTTCTGACAAGTTCTTTATTACAATCGCTCCATTACTCCCACAGTCGCACGTAATTCTGTTTGCAATAAAAAGGTTGTCCAAAGATTTAAGACCGCGAATAATTCCAGTTGATTAGTTTGCACATAGGATCATTTGCTTTTCATGCCTTTTGTTCGTTCCAAATACAGTCAAACATCTTTAAACTATGTTCTTGGTATTTAACAAATTACCTTGTTATAACAGGTAAGTTGTATTAACAGTATTTAAAAAAATCAGGAAAAACAAAACAAAAACCAAATACTAGGGACCTAAAATTGTGCTTGTTATAAACAGCACGCTGTATTAACAGTGCTCTTCTTATCAGGGCTCGACTCTCATCACACCACTCAAAATCCAAAAAAGAATGCTCAAAACCTTACCTGTTTCAGCTCAGTGGATGCTACACTTTTCAAGAAACCGTGAAAAACCATGCACAACCTTGTGATCACGAAACACGTATTCGTCAATAGCAGTTTCTTTTTCAACAAGCTGTAAATTGACTGATCGTTGGAAATCACTTCTATGAACAAACTGTAGCTTTGCCATGCCTGCGAGTCAGACAGAATAAAAGCTTCACGGTGTATTTACTATCAGAACGATCTTGAATCTGAGTAAGTGTTTCGATTATAATTCGCTAGGTGCACTGCAAAAACCGTGTTTAACAATGAAACACTTTCCTCAACACTTTCTTGCTATCAGTTTGTAATCATGTTTAAATACTAATTTTTAGAGCAAGGATGGATAGTTTTAGCAATTAAACACTGATGTTTAGGAATTGAACACAATGTTTGGCTTCTAAACATGTTTTAAAACTAAGTGATAGCAAGATTGTGTTTAATTGCTAAACATCGTTTTGAGAGTGAAGCTTTAGAGATACATGCAAATGATCCTATATGCCTTTGAGTTGTGCAGGTTTTGTTGTCAACAATACATATGTGTATTAATGATTGATGCAAATTTTCCTTTGAACATTTTATTATGGAAAACTTGTATGTAGCGATTTGGCTGTAAAATTATGTTTGTGTGATCTAAAAGAGCTCGCGTGTTGTATTTATGAGGTTCATGTTAGTTTGTATATAATGATGATTCGGAACCGGTGAGAAATCATAATTACCGAAAGTGTGTATTGAAGTGTATTACCTCAAAAGAAATATGAGTGTTATTTACTGTGCTGCCAAATATTTATCTGAAGAATTTAATTACAAGATTTCGCTTTTAAAGTTTTTGTGTGTGTATTTTTGTGTTTTTAGAATTAATTTGGGATTAATTGAAAGAACAGTTAATTGAATTCGGTTTAGAGTAGTAAATTACATTGTCAGAAAATGTAAATACTGGAGGATCGGTCCTTTATTTTTGGAAAGAATCCACCTGTTGATAAACAGGTGGATTTTTTATGTATTTTTTATTTCCTTTATGCGAGAAATTATGAAGGAATCGGAGGAATATCAGCCCTATTGTAATGGGCCTGCCCTTGTAAAATCATGCGTCATGTTTTGTCTTTTTATTTTATGAAATTGGTTGTGGTTTATCGCATTTGATCCGTTTGGTTTTGATGCATTTTATCTTAGAGAAACAAAAATGTTCAGAAATTTTAAACCTTTTATCATGAAAAAAAAACAAGAGTTGTAGAGACAATAGTCGAATTATTATTGTATTTTTGAAAGGCTAAGAATTTTAAATGCAATTAAAAGAATAATTCGCTCTTATGGTGCTATTTCTGTAAAACAAAATGTGAGTGTGTCAAATTAGCAATGGTTTCATACATTGTATGGAATTGTGTCCACAAAATTGTGTGTATGAGATCATGATCAGTACAGTAAACTTTCTTTCAATAATTATGTGTGTATATTCACAATTAGAAATACACGTATACCTAATGTACATAGTGTTCTTCCGGGCTGCTAACGGTTGTATGTTTGCACAGGTGTCGCCACGTGCAATAGGTTAAATGATTGACGGACTCAAGAGGTAGACCTGTCATTGGGTACCGATGGTTTTAGTGCGTGCTTAAATTGTCATGTTTTATCACTTCACGCGTGCATGTTGGCAACTACATGTACATGCACACGTTTTGTCTAGGTCACCGATAGTCAAAATGTTTGTTTCTCACCTCCTGGCATACTGTGTACAAACCAATGGGGGTCTTGAACATTATATTGACCCAAATAATAACCAGGTTGACAATGCATGTTTCCATAGGAGGATTAATATAAGTAAAAACAAGGACGGCTTTTCTGAATGGAAAAAAAAATACTTAGTCAAAAATCGTTCACAATTTGACGTATAATCCTGCTTACCAATACTAACTGTGTTTCTGATCACCAGTTTTTCTGAACAATATGAGTAGTAGACATGACTTTCCGTCATTTGTATTTTTCTTTTAAAATCCCACGATGAAATACCTCAATACTTAGATGTGATACCTCTAAGAAGTATGCCATCCAGAAACCATGTCGAATAAATTCTGAATACATGTTGTTTTTTTATTGTCAATATTCGGTAAATTATAATCAGGTTTTTAAACAATTAAGGCTGGTAAGTGTTCTTTCAGATAATGCTTAACTTTACGAGGGAAAAATAAGAGATAAGTTATTTTCAACTTAAAATCTATATAGTAAGTCAAAACAAGTTCATGTATCACAGAAATTGAGAGGACGTTGCTCAAATTTAGCATCAATTTAATTGGACCGCTACGACGTATATTACAGTGGTCGTACATGTAGTTATCAACCATATACGTTATTGGACATTTATAACTGGTCTATAATTTAGGGATATTGGTGAAGAAATGTACAGGATGAAATGTATATTTTGGCAGCGCGTTACATTGACGATGCAGCTTGATGTTCACCTATAGTGTTTCGAATGTGTTTCCTTTGTAATTTTATGTTCAGTACGTTTAGATTTAATCCAAACACTTTAAACCAAAGACCTACAGGTGGCGCAACTAGTTTTGATATTGATATTGACATTGATATTCATTGTGTACCGATAAGGCTTTGGGTCCATTGCATAAAAAACACACAGAAACGATATCTTTTTACTGTGAGATCAATATACATGTATATTAATAAATTCACAATCAAGTTTCCTTTTATTATGTAATCTACCATTGTGTGATTGTTTTGTGTGTAATAAAAAGCTGATTACATTCAAGAAGCTGAATGGAGTTTGTGTTTGTTACTTAAAAAAAAATGTAAACTTGCTCTCGCTCGGCACACAAGTCAATTCTACAAACCGTTCATAGATGCGTAATTTAGGGATAAAATATAACGGTGAGGGCAAAATGGATTTCTAGTTGAAAATCATTTTAGTTGTTTCTTCTTGGCAGAAACATGTACGCACACACCCTTTCACCGACAACATTGTGAAACGTACAGTATGGTTCATTTTAAGCAATCTTGTATGGCGAGTGATGCGAAACAGTAAAGCTGGGCTTTCCTTCCAAGAGTCTGCATCCCAATCCTTCCTTTTGATTCTTTGCTACAAAGGAGGGAGGGCGCCTGGGACTATCTTCCATGGTGTACGCCACATGTGAACGTATGAATAGCACCCGTGCTTTGTACCTGTCCAACTGATCTCCATGTAACAAATCTTGATAGCACGAGGGCCATTTAACGCTATATTATACAAATATTGACCGCTTCGAGTGATGTAGCAAAATTAGCCTCCCTCGGTGATCCATACGGAGCATTCTAGTTTCCCTCGGCTTCTCCTCGGGGAAAAAATAGAATGTTCCAGGTTCACCACACTACGAGATAAAGCAGTCAATTTTTGTTTTATAACAACTTGTCTATACAGATTCTGCTTCCATTTTAAGCAAAAACGGATTAATTTTTATATAAATACAATAAAAAAGTACTTCCATTTGAATGCGAAATGAAAATGTACTTGCACTTTTCCAAACTACCACTTCAAGAAATGTTTGAACCCAGCTCTGGAGTGCTATTGCTTGGAAACAATATGCGCAGCGCACACCCCCGCATGCATTTGCACACAATACCGTTTGTTAAGCGTACAGTACTTTGTTTGCTTCGGGTATAGTACTTTGGTTGCTATGAGTATACATGTAGTACTTTTGACTGTGCCCAGCAATAGCAAAAAAAGCGAATACCTTGTGACTCGCTCTCGGCTAACCAAGACTGCAGAATCTGTGGATGAGGTGTTATAAAAATAAGTGTGGTTCTAGGTCCATCATCCTAAGTTATATAACAATTTTTTTTTTTAAGTGTTAATGGTTTAATGTTAAGTTTAAGTAGAAATCTTTGGCACGCAATTATTAGGGGTTTGTTTTCAATTCAATTTTAATGGGAGAGGTAATATGGCGGTTCGAAAGAGCTTCACTTTGTTTAGCCAATGGGCTTTCAACATTCGGTGGTTATCCGTCCCCGTTTTTAGCTAAACAGCGCCCTCTACCATCAGTGCACGGAGCCAATAAAAGCCTGATAATTACCTAGGGCTAGAGCGCCCTCAATTGGTCACGTATACAGCCCTTTGTGACCATTGTGCGTGTATTAATTTTGTTGCAGGTGGATATTTTGGTGTGGCCTCCGATCCAGGCCATCAATTTCTTTCTAGTGCCTCCTCAGCTCCGCGTGATATACGTCAACGTCTTCATTCTGCTCTGGGACGTCTTTCTGTCATTCATGAATCACAGCTGAAGTACAGACTGCCGTCTGGAGACGATGTGACATGCTGACCTGAAGGAAGTAAAGACCATGCTCGCTGAATTTAGTAAACTTATTCCCTTGCATAGTTTAGTAGATAATAAGGATTATAATGAAAGTGGCTTCTGCAACGTTATTGATATTTTGGGGGCAGAGTTATTCGCGTTTATTACCAACTTCCAAAGTCTCCTAATATGTTGATAAACTTCTTGTATTTTTAGACGGGCCAGTGTATTCAGCAGATTGCCATCCCAAGTTAAGCGTTGCCTTTAAATTCTTTCAGCAAAAACATCCAGTGCCTTGCCTGAAATGGACCACGTTTTGTAAAACCAACTCATAAAGTGCCTTGTTTTGTAAAACCAACTGATAAAGTGCCTTGTTTGAAATAAAACAGACTTTTTGTTTGAGACAGGGGGATTTATAGAAACATATCATGGGTTCCTTTGACATCTTGACAAAATAATTCGTCATCCTGACAAGTATACAGGCGTGCAACTTTTCCTCGGTTCAGCTGATTTTCTCTTTTTTTTACTTCCCATGTGTACCATTGAAAATAGAAAAACACTGTACAAAGTCTGGGAAAAATGTGAATTTCCTCTTTTTTTGTGTGATTTCCCAGTTGCATGCCTGGTATACCAACATGGCGCGTCGTCTTGATGAACAACTAGCTTGTCAGCTTGACAAATTCAATCTTACAGGCAGCCTCTAACTCACAATATTACAAGATGACCATATATTAATTAATTATATTCCAATATGCGCCTAACAAAGTAGATAATGATAGTGTCAATATCGTTGTATACGATCGATAAACGGCACCGATGTTGCATTTTGATAAAGGAACTGGGCTTGGTGCGCAACTGCCAATGTGTTCCGTAATATGTATTCATTTCTTAATAAGGTAAAAACGAATTAATACAATGTGCTTATATATTCTTTCCGGGTGCTTACGGGAGACTTTTAATGTGATTCACCTTTATTTGAGACAGTTTAAAAGATCTTGTATTTTTGCAGAGTATATTAGGTAATGCTGCATTGAAAATAGATGTTATACTGTATTGTATATATTTATTGAGACACATGTAGTAACGTATACCTTTTGGTTTTATGTGGCTTTTTTCAACACTTGTTAATGTATGTTCAATAGAAATTACAATTTCTGTTAAATAAAATTGATTATCTAACGCCTGAATAAATCCCCGTCATCTGATTGGTGGTTCGTTGATCACGTGCCATTGATTTACTCGTCCCAATTGCACGGCCCGGCAGCACGGCCAAAAAAGAAGTTCTATTCCACAGTAAATAGAAGTTCCATTGCACGGTCACACTACTGGTGGCTCTGACCAATCAGATGACGAGGATTTATTCAGAGGAATTTCATTCGGTGACAGACGGAATGTTCCATTCCACTTGACCTCGCCTCGTGGAATGGAACATTACATCTCTCAACTCATGAAATTATTCTTACCATTGCACTCATAAACATTCATAATTTGCATATTAGCCTGTGAGATTTTTAAGTGTATTTCTGGTATAACTATTATTTGGTGATGGAAGAAAGCATGAATAACTACAATAAGTAAATAAATTATCAGCAGAGTTTTATCAAGGTATATTAAAATGGCAACAATTTTAATTTAAAAAAAATGATGATCAAAACAAAATGTCTAAAGCTTTTCAAGTCTGCTCATTGTGGCCAAAGACTGCTGGACAGTCAATGAAGTCCAGTCTACCTGATTCATCTACCATTGTGTGATTGTTTTGTGTGTAATAAAAAGCTGATTACATTCAAGAAGCTGAATGGAGTTTGTGTTTGTTACTTAAAAAAAAATGTAAACTTGCTCTCGCTCGGCACACAAGTCAATTCTACAAACCGTTCATAGATGCGTAATTTAGGGATAAAATATAACGGTGAGGGCAAAATGGATTTCTAGTTGAAAATCATTTTAGTTGTTTCTTCTTGGCAGAAACATGTACGCACACACCCTTTCACCGACAACATTGTGAAACGTACAGTATGGTTCATTTTAAGCAATCTTGTATGGCGAGTGATGCGAAACAGTAAAGCTGGGCTTTCCTTCCAAGAGTCTGCATCCCAATCCTTCCTTTTGATTTTTTGCTACAAAGGAGGGAGGGCGCCTGGGAACCAGACTATCTTCCCTGGGAAAACTTATTCCCTTGCATAGTTTAGTAGATAATAAGGATTATAATGAAAGTGGCTTCTGCAACGTTATTGATATTTTGGGGGCAGAGTTATTCGCGTTTATTACCAACTTCCAAAGTCTCCTAATATGTTGATAAACTTCTTGTATTTTTAGACGGGCCAGTGTATTCAGCAGATTGCCATCCCAAGTTAAGCGTTGCCTTTAAATTCTTTCAGCAAAAACATCCAGTGCCTTGCCTGAAATGGACCACGTTTTGTAAAACCAACTCATAAAGTGCCTTGTTTTGTAAAACCAACTGATAAAGTGCCTTGTTTGAAATAAAACAGACTTTTTGTTTGAGACAGGGGGATTTATAGAAACATATCATGGGTTCCTTTGACATCTTGACAAAATAATTCGTCATCCTGACAAGTATACAGGCATGCAACTTTTCCTCGGTTCAGCTGATTTTCTCTTTTTTTTACTTCCCATGTGTACCATTGAAAATAGAAAAACACTGTACAAAGTCTGGGAAAAATGTGAATTTCCTCTTTTTTTGTGTGATTTCCCAGTTGCATGCCTGGTATACCAACATGGCGCGTCGTCTTGATGAACAACTAGCTTGTCAGCTTGACAAATTCAATCTTACAGGCAGCCTCTAACTCACAATATTACAAGATGACCATATATTAATTAATTATATTCCAATATGCGCCTAACAAAGTAGATAATGATAGTGTCAATATCGTTGTATACGATCGATAAACGGCACCGATGTTGCATTTTGATAAAGGAACTGGGCTTGGTGCGCAACTGCCAATGTGTTCCGTAATATGTATTCATTTCTTAATAAGGTAAAAACGAATTAATACAATGTGCTTATATATTCTTTCCGGGTGCTTACGGGAGACTTTTAATGTGATTCACCTTTATTTGAGACAGTTTAAAAGATCTTGTATTTTTGCAGAGTATATTAGGTAATGCTGCATTGAAAATAGATGTTATACTGTATTGTATATATTTATTGGGACACATGTAGTAACGTATACCTTTTGGTTTTATGTGGCTTTTTTCAACACTTGTTAATGTATGTTCAATAGAAATTACAATTTCTGTTAAATAAAATTGATTATCTAACGCCTGAATAAATCCCCGTCATCTGATTGGTGGTTCGTTGATCACGTGCCATTGATTTACTCGTCCCAATTGCACGGCCCGGCAGCACGGCCAAAAAAGAAGTTCTATTCCACAGTAAATAGAAGTTCCATTGCACGGTCACACTACTGTTGGCTCTGACCAATCAGATGACGAGGATTTATTCAGAGGAATTTCATTCGGTGACAGACGGAATGTTCCATTCCACTTGACCTCGCCTCGTGGAATGGAACATTACATCTCTCAACTCATGAAATTATTCTTACCATTGCACTCATAAACATTCATAATTTGCATATTAGCCTGTGAGATTTTTAAGTGTATTTCTGGTATAACTATTATTTGGTGATGGAAGAAAGTATGAATAACTACAATAAGTAAATAAATTATCAGCAGAGTTTTATCAAGGTATATTAAAATGGCAACAATTTTAATTTAAAAAAAATGATGATCAAAACAAAATGTCTAAAGCTTTTCAAGTCTGCTCATTGTGGCCAAAGACTGCTGGACAGTCAATGAAGTCCAGTCTACCTGATTCAGTAGGATGGTCTTCTTATTACACCGCTGATGTTAATACATGTGAAAAGTCACATTTCATGTACCTTTATTCTGAAATGATAGATCGGACGTTGGCTGAAGGATTTCCGCAAGAAAAAGTGGCTCGGGTGGCATTTTGAGATGCCTCTAATCCAATAATAAGTTGAAAGGATATTTTCCTTTTATCAAATACAAGACTGACGCGGTTTTCCAAGACTTTACGCAGTGACAAATGACTGTATACGCCGAAGCGGTACATATCGAATGTATCGCGCCAATTTGATCAACAACACTGCGTTGGTATGATACGGCACGCATTCCGGCTTTGAACACTTCCGCCGAGTTGAAGCGCTCTCTTTTTAATTCAACAGCGCGGTAAAATCCATACAGTAAAAGGTGTCATCAATCATACTCGTACCCATTAAGCGTGGCATGTGCAGACACGACGGGTGAATGTGTTTTTTGCAGTCCATGGATCGAACACAATGCATTCTTTGTGTGCAAGGATCTCTTGACTGTGTCAAGCTGATATTTCCTCTGTTCCTTTTACCCTTTCCTGTCCTGCAGCTCAATGTAATCAATTCAACCATTGGCACTGTTTGCTTTGCGACAGCCAAATGCCGTGCGGTCAAGTGGAAAGCTAACATAGCGAATTTTAAAGTATCTGTCAATTTTACCTGGTATACCGTCGGTCCCTTTTAATCAAATTGTCCTTGGTGCTTTTAGCGAGACTGACTCTTTTGTCAATCGCCTGCCGCACGCGAGGATAATGAAAAACTTTCGAACTGCATACTTTATATTAATCCGATAAAAATGTCCTCCGTTGATAACATAAGACAAATGTCTTTTGAGAATTCCGTCATAGTCATAGGCCCTACATTTTGAAAGGAACTGCAATGAGCCACCGAAGCCGTTCTTCAACTCCACGCGAGTGTGTAGGTAAATCGTCTATAATGATCAATATATTAGTCATATATTCTGGTTGATTTGGGTATATGTTTTCGCATAACATTCTGGTACGTTCAATACTATCTGAAGCAAGACAGTATTGGAGCCGTGCATAAGTACATTTACTCACTCAACGGTAAGAAAGGGAGAATTGGGTGAGACCACTGGTAGGGACATTAAAATTCATGACTGACACGCCTGGCGCTCAAGCGAAGACGCTATAATTATGGCTGTGTGCACATTCAGAATAAAAGTAGTCGTGCATACTTCGCGCTAAGAACTGGTATGGTACGTGATTTGGCCCATCCATGTGACTTGAAAAAGTGGCCAAAAGCTCCATTAAGGTCTCCTTTTGCAACTAGATTTGTTTTTAATATCCACGCATTTATTGCGAATGCTAAGTCTTGTTTGCGAATCGTAGAATGTGGAAAAGTCGTGTTTATTTGCCAGAAAAATTTCTCAGTACCGATATTAAACCCTAGAAAAGGGCAAATCCTGATATGTATTGAAGGTATGCTTTTTTCCTGTAGTTTATCCTCGTGTGTCTTCTTAGCTAACGGTCAGAAGAGTATAAAGAGCCGCATGAACTCTTTTGCCATTGGGCTTAATTGACAGTATCTTTGACTCAGACGCCATTAGAGCTTTCATCTGCTCCGATTAAGTCCACCGATAAAGTGCGCATTCCTTGACCTTGACAAGCTTGACACGAACACCTTCAATTAAAGATACATATCTTCTTGACATGTATTCAATAACGGTGGGCTTTAATTCCCAAGGTTAAATAGCAAATAGACAACTTTCATGCAGTTGTCAGCGAAAGAAAAAAATAGATATTGATCAGTCGCTTTAAGCTACTTTGCAGCGGTTTCCTGAGTTTCTGGATGCCTCTAGAGCCCTCGAACCCGGGCGGAAACGGCGGGTACAATGAAGTACGGAACACCAAATGAAAACGAACAAGCTGTTATTTGTATTGAACTGTTATTACAGTGGAGAGAATACATGCCTGCCAATGAATTAAGCTTTTACCCTTGTCAATGGAATACAAGCAAAGTGCCCTTTTGTTACGGTCCATGTGAAGGACCTCGTGACGCCATGAAAATTGTACTCCAATAACGGCTTTTAATCAGGGAAAGTGCTTGGTCAGTTTTAAACACTATGTTTAAGACCGGTTGGAGGTCGAGTCTGGATGCTGATTAATTACCCTCGCCTTTGGCTCGGGTCATTATCATCATCTAGACTCCAATCAGTGTTGAACACAGCGTTAAACCGGCGACGTGACGGGCTCTCGATCAATAGGATTGGGTAAACTGTCTTAGGTAGTTATGAATATTTATTACATTTATGGACTTACGTTACTCGAACTCAAAATGAATACACATCTAACTGAAACAACCAATCTCCATTTGGGTTCAGGAGTCCTTAATATTTTATTTAAAATTTAACACATTGTATATTATTTATGTTTTATATTTAATTTATTATTTGCAGTTTTATGTAAATTAATAAATACATTGCAAGAAAATGTTCATTGAAATCTTTAGATTGTTTCCATGGCAATATTACATTTTTCAAAGTAAAGTATAGTTGCCATAAAACATTAACCAGTAATGCTACTTCCCACTCATATTCAAAACGTTTGGGATGTAAGTAGATACATACACATAATTTCCTTTTACTTTACCAACAATTAAAAAACTTCCTTTGAAGTACCAGACAAATCACAATATTAATATTACATATTTAAATATAACCTTGTTAACAATTCAGAACACAATATAAAACTGTTTGATAGAATTACATGACATTTCGAGGAATAAGCTGAGATAATTGCGGCAATAGACAGATAGAACCAGTGTTTGTGTGGGGAAAACACGCAAAACAAGTGTAAGAAAGCAGAGCTTCTGAACCCAAAAGAGCAAAGAAAAGGGGGGAAAACAAAGGTGGCTGCTGGGGTGGTGGTGGGTTAAGTTTCATGGGCAAAACATTTGCATTTTCTCCGGTCAGAGGTGGAATCGAGAATGACGCGACGCCAAACTATTGCGTGCTATTTACATGTACACGGAAGAACTTTCCACCAATTACCGCCAGTTATTCACGCGTTCAGCGTGTGACGTACTCGTAAACAACCACATAAGGGATCTTCTAAAAAAATCTCGAGGTGTCCGCGCGTCCATAAACCTGATTAAACTGCGTTTAATCATCATATATTGTTATAATGTCAAGTTTTTCAGCGTATCGGCAAAAAGTCAAGTAGGAAAGGTAATACTAAATTATCAAGTAGTCATCGGCTAAATAATTCCTCAATCAAAGTTAGACAACCTAAATCGTGTTTTCTCCCATTATGATCCCTAAAAGATAATTATTCTTTAAATGAGGCTTGTCCAAACTAATTCAGGATGAGTTATCATGTTTATATTCGGGTACTGCAGACGAGGCTCGTGCAATTGATTTAACGGGCGCAGTGATTATTGCCAAGGTTTCGTGTTGGGAATTTGTCGGGCATGAAGTTCTTAATTAAGGCCCGGCTGTTTGTTTTACTGTAGTGGTAGAATAATATTGACCAACATGGTATATCCGGATATTAATAAGGCGCACATAGCTATCAGTACATTTATGTCTAATGCGCTACATCATTTTCACCCCTGCTCATTGTATATAGGCCTAGTCTTCTACAATACGCTGCATGCACCTATAGTGCCATTGCAGTGCTATACCTGATATACCAGTAATAATAATCTTCTAATGCCATGTAGTAGTTGGCGCATTTGGCCAAGTCCGAATAAACAGCTTTTAGACGAAGTCTTCGTCACTATACTGCTTAGGAACATGTCGACATTGACCTATCGCGGTAGAATCGCGTTGAACCGCTCCTACGCAGCTTGTGAGATATTGTCCAATTACATGATATACAAATGGACGCGGAACGCGCAAAATCTGAGACAAACAAAACTGAGGCTGCATCCGAATCAGCTGTCTAGAGCTATGTCTAGGTCTGCCCCATTGAAAATACGAGGGGACTCGCTGACAATAGACGTAGCCGTAGCTCTGGAAGCCTGTTGCGGACACGGCCTTAGTGTACAAAATGTCCATATGGATGTCGAAGGGGCGTGGCTAACTTGCAAACGGCGATATGTCAATAGACGTAGCCGCAGTAGGCACCTGTTTCAGACACTGTCGTAGTCTACATTTTTAAACTTTGGCACATTGAAACAAACAGCTGCGAGTATATTCAAACCGTTTACGAAACCATGGTTTTGTCTTAGGATCGGATTAATGCCAATAATTCGATATAATCTGAAGCAGAGCACGGACCCTTATTGAGCCAGAGAACTTTAAAACCGTGTGCAAGTATACCCTAGTCTGGTGCAGTCATTGTGCCCGGTATCCCGACCTCGATTGTATAACTGGATTAGATATGGCCTTCTTGCCGAATCAGGACAAATAACCCAAATGAGAACAATATTACTGGCAGCCACAAAGCCCTAATTTGATGACGTATGACAGCGTCGTGCTTGTTTAATTAAAATTTAAAAGTAAACACACAGTAGAGGCTCTGATCTTATACGATAGTTATACGATGAATTGATTTCACAAAACAAAGTTGCTTTAATCTCGAGATGGGGCAAAGAACTCTTGCGAGCAGCCAAGAGCAGTTTCCATGGGATTATTTTCTAGAGACGGCCAGAGATATCGCATTGTTCGTCTGGGAAATCCTCATACTTTGTACCAGATGACTGTGTCAAAAAAGAAAGCCAAACAACTTCGATTGTTTAAACTCGTTTTCCTGTTCACCGCTTACAGATCAGTCATATAAAAGAGACACTTTAATTGCTGCCTCGGTCACTTATTTATGCACTATTTGTTTTTAAAACATGTTTCTAAATACCTAGTCCACTCCGATCATGCGCTGGGCATGTAGCTGCAGAAATGATACAAAAAATATTGACCGAAAAATTATATAATTAGATTCGTTTTAATTTTAAAGCGACCCTATAAGCTTTCAGTCGCAGCTTACTGTCTTGTGACTGACTGAGTCACTGAGTGTAAATAATGTCTTCAATTAAATTGAGACTGTCGGGTCCAATTCGAACCCAACAAAGAAAAAGGAAGATGCCTGTTAAACCCCATCTGGACTGCTAACCCCGCCCCTCGACGAACGTTTGATATCCTAGCATGCAAATTGTATACGACCTCTCGCGCCAGGCAATCGGAGTCGACTTTAGAAATTGTGACGTCAATTCGCTCAGAAATGTGGACTGAGCTGTTGATTGCTCAATTTGGCTACCTTTTTAATTTTTTTTTTATTATTACTGGTTACGGAAGACCCGATAGAAGGCGCCGATTGAATGATCAGAATCAACAAGTAGTCTTGTTTTGAATAATCAATCACCGAGTTTGCTCGCATATCATAGACTCATGTAAGGGGATATTCCATAGACGTTAAGCCGTTTAGTTCATTTTATGTCAGGAACCGAAAATGAGTCACAGCACACGCAAAAAAAAAGAATCGTTAGCCGACGGTAGCTTAATACCCAGCGGCAATCTTCATAGCGAATCCCAATCTTGTAACTAACGATCGCTTGTAAATGTCACGGTCTGAACGTTTTCGTTAAAATAAAAACCCAGGGGTAAACTGACGCAATAGGTGGACGCTTAATTGAATCTTCAGGTCGCCCACCCTTCTCGTTGAAAAACGATTGGTAACTAGTCTGTATAGATACGGAAAGAGCGATTTCGGATGGTGGATGGCATGTGAAATCGCAAGGAAATACAAACGGTTAGAAATCCGAGCTAAAATCTCATTTCAAATGCAGGCCAATGTACAAATTCGATTTAAAGCCTTAATTATTTTCGTGAGAAATTCAAAGACCGAATAAAATACTTTTAGATTTACAATCTGAAAATTAAAGTAAACAAGGTAATGCCGACATGTAGAAAAAATTGTAATTCAATCAATTTCGATCGCAGCTTTGCTATATGAAATTTTCTAATCACGTTTCATCTATCAGTTATCACCACATATTTTCTGTTTAACGTATCAACAAACAGTATCCTAGGATTCTCGTCCTGCAGATATTTGTCTTTTCTCTGCACAAACACCAAAAAAGTCAATCTGTACCTTTTTTGACATGTACATGTGGTTTTTTAGCATGTTTAAGCACTGAGTATGACTTCATACTCAAATTGCGATTTGTTATGGGATTCGAGTAATGATGTGCATCGGGTCGGGTTGACCAGGCCAAACCGACCCGAAGCATTAGAGATATAACCCGAATCCGAACCCAAACCGATCTTAACTCCCTCAAACCGACCCGACCCGACAAAAAATAAGGTAAAACCGACCCGAACCGACCCGACCCGAAAAACCCGAAAAAAAACCCGAATACCTGGCTTGACAAAGCGATCACTTTTTTGTACCTGCCCTTACCCACGTGGCATGAATTCTTATGCAAAACCATCGTCTCTCTCTCGTCATACTCAGTTGGTTAATTGAGAGTAACTCCGCTTATTGAACAAACGCATGGTATCATCATGCGGTATCATGAAATCTGTTATAATGTATCCATTTCACTGTCAGTCCCGATCCGACAGGCGAAATTAATACCTTGCGTCCTTGGGAACTTGATAGTGCGCTCGGTGGCCACACCACAACGGGCTGCGGTCACAGTGACCGAGTCAATAATATTGCATCATCTAAATTTCTTAACTGTTTCGGTTTATTTCGGTTTATTTCGGTTTATATCGGTTTATTTCGGTTTATTTCGTTGTTTTTTTCAAAAGATGGCTAAACCGACCCGACCTCACCTCGACCTGAAAATGAAAATGCAAAAGCGAAACCGACCCGACCCGACTGAAAAGATGGACAAACCGACCCACCCGAAGTCGGTTCATCGGGTCGGGTCGGTTTCGGTTTCGGGTCGGGTTTGCACATCATTAGCTTCGAGTCATTTGAATACCGACATGGCACAATCAGAATGGTCTGCAGCCGGAAATTCAATGCACATTTCGGTCCCATGGTTGATTTTCCACATAAACAACCATTGCACGACATGACCAGTTGGTGACAGTGCGTGTCTGAATTTGTCGGTCTGTTTAGATTTGATTTCTCGGACTTCTATTAGATAACTATTCGTATAGGAGGTTCCACGGTTTTATAGAGCCGCCACGAATGCCCGGTGAATTCAGCCGCTTAGGAAGTTCAAAGTAACGTGTCCGTCGTAGCATGATTGATGCCACTGCGCTACGCAATCAAGTTTTGCGCTGCAATTCGCCGAGCACTAAGTGAGACGAATTGATTTAATCTTCGTTCAGAGGCACTGCAACGTGGAGCTGATGAAACTTGACGTGCTTACTGGTCCAACAAACCAGACAACATAAATCAACGAATACAGAGTAAAGGTCCACACACACTTTGGACAAATTAATCATCATTCCAGAAAAAGCCCTTCTTGCTGATTTTGTATGGGTTAGGTTTTAACGGAGGAGTATAATTGTTTCACTTTATCTCACTTTCAATTAGCAAAATAACAGGCACAAAAGAAAAACATCAAAAACGAGCCGTGAAATGATTTTTACTGAAAGTCAACCAATTTTAATATATTCGTGCCATGATTACAATACTATATTTGTTTTTTTTTTCCAACTTGGAACACTCCGCTTAACCCCGAGCCGGGGAGGTTTACTTCAACATTTTAAACCTGAACATTGAAATAGACATTGTATACAGTATAAAGGTTAGTCCAAAACACAAGTGTGATCTATTTTTAACGCAGATTTATCAAAATTGGGTAGACGTTTTGATATTTTTTTACGATATTCCTAAACTACAATATCTGGTGGTACATGGTACGGTATTGAAAATAAAGCTTAAATTACGAAATGACGGCCATTCGCAGACAATTAGTCAATAACCAGTTTGTCCGCACGCGTGTATCGGATATGGTCATTGAGTGGTCGGGCACAACCCGACCACTCTTTGGATTTGTTGCGATTAATCTTTCTTTTTTTTTTTTTTTTTTTCCGGACAATACTTCTCCGCGGGTTTTCTGTTAAACGGTATATGGTATGAACTTGTAACTTTCAATATATATCGACCCTCATCCGAAGTGGTGCATATTACTCTGACGACATGATTACGTCATCAGGTGTCAAATTACAAGTGATTTTATCTGAAAAAGAGCCTTTATCTGAAAAAGAGCCTTCACAGATGTCACATAAAAGTACTACATGTAATTGGACATTGTCACCACTACATGTATGACGCCCCATTACCACAATGCGTGACAATGCCAAATGATGCCACCGGTAAATATCAATTAACTTGGAGCAATAACCGAACCCCGCACAAATTAGCCTGGAACATTAAATTCCGGTGTCTCAAAGAAAACAACAAATCTCCCAATTACTGCAGTATACCCATTCATGATTGTTTTTGCAAATTTAGCCCCCCGATCGCCTCATTCCTGGGCTGGTGCTGCACTTTTTATAGCGGCAATGAATAATAATTGCCTTATATTGACCTTGTACATCATGTTGCAAAATCTATGGATCAGTACTGAAATTGTTTTAATGGTGTCCAGAGGCCCCTGAAAATAGAAGCTATTATGAGGAATTCCATAAAACGCCGGAACATATGGGGCCAGAAGTTCAATTTCAGAGAGTGACCTATTTTAAAAATATTCCTTGCAATAAACCCTAGTGTCACAAGAGTTTTATAGCATTACTTCTGAAACAAGTTCCTCCCAACACTTAAGCAAAACTGTCCGCAAATCCAGATCTTTCTTTTTTGAAAAAAAAGGCAGTTTCTCATGATATAGATTTTGTCCAGATTGGACCCAAGACATCAAAGGCACTGCACGTGAAATTACTTAAAATAGGTACTGAAGAAATAATGGTTGGTATGGGACATCGCCGTGGCTATTTGCAGTTTGACCCAATTTTTAAACCCAGGTTTACTGAATTAATCAGAGGAGATGAATGTAGGTGCAATGCCAACTTAGATAAGAACCAACAAACTTCAAAGAAAAAAAACCAAGCGCTTCAGTTTCGGACCAAAAATCACCCACAGGGGATCAGCGGGAAGATTAGCTTCCTTCTGTGTGTCAGCAGGATTTGACAAACTACCGGACTGATTTTTCCCTTCAAATAGCATCCTCGATTACTCTGTGTCGGCACCGAACAGTTTGCCAATTTGGTCTGGCGGTACTGACGGCAGTGTAAATGGCTGCCTGGAGAGATTTCTTGACATTACCATGTTACGAAGATGTTATGAATTTTGTTACGTCATCATGACGTCATCAGGCATCAAATTACAAGCGAGTTAAGGCAAATTTTGACAAAATAGTTTGCGTTATATCTTTTGAACTAAATAGAGTATCGTGTTCGTTTTTTCGTGAGGTTGTAGACTATGCCGTGAGAAACATTTTGTGTTCCCAGACACAAAACCGCTTGACCTTTACTTCCGGTGTTACCGAAAGCGCAATAAAAACTGAATATAACTCAAAAGCGGAAGCATTTTACTACAGACTCATATATTATGAAAATGTTTAGTGAGGAATGCCATACACAAAAAAAACCCAGTGTGATGACGTCATCATCCGAAAGGGCGCCTCTAGCGGCACATAAATTATTGTTTTTTTTTCTTTACTTTTAAAATCATGGGTTCAAATTTTACCAAATCGACCCTTGATATTCTTTGATTAACCGCAGATAACTTGGCAAGGTTTCAAACTCATGACGTCATCAGGCTGGAAGTTACTTTTATGAGAATATGCCAACGATCATATTTTAAATTTAATTCTATCATTTGATCCATGTCGTTTATCTTAGCCCAAATAACGATACCATTACAATGTTCACCTTTTGCTTCCAAACACTGTGACGTCATCAAACCGGAAGTTCGGTGTTATGAATACATACACTTATAGTTTCCAAATTTTCATACGTTATTTAACTTCACAATGAACATCCACTCTGAACTAAATCAGTATTCACTTCCCGTTTTTGACTAATGACGTTATCAAGCCAGAAATAACTTGTATGTGTACATGTTTACTGAAATTTAATTGATTGTCCTGGAAAGGATTTAATTTCCTGATACTTTGTTCTTACATAAAAATATTCATAACTTAACTGGACAGTGTTTCGTAAAATAGTTGTCTACCTGACCACTCTGCGTTTGTAACAACAAACGCGAAACTCTAGTTGTTATTGCAGTTCTTTGTGCACGCAGGTCTATCGTTTTGACAATATTATCTCATAATATAAACACACAGGTGCACAAACTGGTGTCTGTCAATTTATTCTGTATTTGGCCGCCATTTCTTAATTTAGCCTTTATTTTCAACGCCGTTTACGCCGTCCATATATCACCAAGATCTTGTACAGTATAGGACTATCATAGAAGTATCATTCCAACATTTCTTTTCAATTTTGAGAAATCAGCGTATGAAAAAGTGTAATTGTTTTTTGGGGGCCTGCCTTTATGCTCCTTATATGTGCTTTTTTAACAATGTGGTTTCTTTTTTTATGTTTTACTTCAGTATTGAAACGGCGTGGAAATGTGCAGCAAGCATCGGTTGGAAAAAAAGTGATAAATGCTGCATTAACATAGGGTTAGCCGACCATCGTTTTCCCGCCTTAACTGTATACAGATTACAATTTATAGTCAAATTTATTGTGTTTGTACTAAGAAATTTCTTAATCTCTATTAATTTTTTCTTAGTTTGAACTAAATATTGAAAAGCATGAAAACCTCAAAATCTATGAAAAATACCAGAATATTTTGCGAGTACTTTTGCAATGACCGCAGTCAAAATTACTTTCATGATTTTCTGTCAGAGTTGCCGGACTACAAAGACAGAATTGATACCTTTTCAAAGTACAAAACCCCTGTTAATTAGATTTCTTCCGATAGAAAGATTGTGATTTATGGAGTCGTAATCCACCAGCGACGCATGGCGCAGAAATTGAGTTCCAGCGAGTGATCAAAGATAAGCCGTTGATTTACAGCGAGCGTGTCGAGTAAGTAGCAGCGTGCTTGGTTACTACCAAGAGCTTAAACAATTTGGGCGTGCCTTTTGACGAATTTTACCTCATTTTACGGAAGTTTCTAATTAACTTAGCCCGGAAAAGCCGTTCTATTGTTTGCAAACCTTTATTAACCAGCAAGCAGGAATGAGGACGAATCGTTGGCTATTTTGTATCCAGAATTTTTTTTCTTTTTTTTTCTATATCTATCTTTGATGCAAAGTTTTGTGCATTTTCCTCAGTACATTTTGCTTCTTATTCATTTAAGCATTATAGAAAAAGTAAGCGAGTATACTGTGTCATGGCAAGAATTTGTGAATGTCAAGTAAAGCGGTCAATATTGGCTGTTTGTTTCCTAAGGCCTATATTGACAGAACTTTAGGTCCAATTTGGATTTTTCCTTGGTATGTACCTAAAGTCGGGCTATGTTATAGGTGAACATTGAAATGACGTTATAATGACGTCATCAGATGACATGTGTCCATGGCCTATATCTGCACAACTATTTGTCCTGATCACTCTGCAATTTGCCACTGCACATGCATGTATTATCAGTTTATAGCATGACATAAAAATATAATAACAAAATGCCGAATCAGCCATGTGTTTGTCCTCAAACATGTCTAGTTTGTTTCTGTACGTCGACCGCACTTTATTGGGTTTTTTCACTTTGAGAGTGATTCTCATCTTTAGTTTGGGTCGGTGAGTTTGTTGAATTGTTTTAACTCGTAATAGAATTAATCGAATGACAACTCTCAACCTTGATCTGCATTGTCTTGTGTGCAACGTTTACGCCGGAGTTTCCCTCAGCACGTTGGACGATCGTCACACTTCCCGAGGCTTGGTTGGGAAAGGCCGTCATCTCTGCCCGTCTGGCGGCGCTACGGACGCGTCGCTTCCAACACTCACAGCGTAAGACCGCCCCGGTCAGTTTGAGGAACGAGTGGCGAAACTCCTTGTTCCGAAAGGCGTAAATGACGGGATTCACCATGGAGTTGGTGAAGGCAATGTGGAAGAAAATCAACTCATAGATGAGGAGTTTCTCCTGTAGTCCGTGGTCCACTTTGATGAAGAAGTCCAGGACGGAGATGAGTGATGCAGGGGTCCAGGCGAGGAGGAAGAAACCAAGAATCATGGCCACCGTCTTGGCTGCCTTGACGTCACGGCGTAGAGTAGGCCGCCTGGACGTCGTGGCTTCCTGGGCAGCGATTCGATTCATGTGCCCCTTGGCCACACGGAACATCTTGAAGTAGAAGAATAACATCAAGTTGAGCGGGAACACCACGCTGACGGAGACGGTGAAGAAACGGTAGCTGGGCGCGTGGACGAACATCAAATCGCAGTACTCGTGGCTGAAATATTGCAAGTTGTTCCATCCAAGTAATGGCATGGCCGAAATGGAAATGGCAGTAGCCCACGCAACGGCAATCAGCACACTGATTCGAGTACGGCCCATCTTGATCACGTAAGACAGCGGGTCTGTGATTGCTAGATACCGGTCGTAAGCAATCACAGTCAGGTGAAGTACGGACAAGATGATCATGCTCGTCAGCACGTTACTACAGGCCAGGCAAGCTAGAGGCTCTACACCTGTAGCATACCCCAAGGCAAAAGCGATATCAATGGGTATTACGATCACCCCGACCATGAGGTCGGCCACGGCTAGACTAGCTATGAAGGCATTGGTGGGCGTTCGAAGTCTCCGTTCCCGTAACACCGATAAAATCACAAGGGTGTTACCAAGTATGATGCTTGTTGCCAGGAGAACGTCAACGGTCAAAAAGATGGCTTTCTCCCGCTGTCCTAGAGGAAAGTGACTCGGTGACTTTCCCGTGGTGGCATTACTCAACACCGAGGCTTCAGATTCACCCATTATGTCCATCTGTAAATGTCAGAAGCACACTTCCTTTTGCTTTAATACACAAAACACTGGACTAAATTCAAGCCAGCGAGATGATCAGATCCACATCGTACATGTATCGTTTAAAGCGACACTGCGATATTTCCAATCAGGCAGCCACTTTCCCGCCAATCCAGAGCCGATATCCCGCCATCTGTTTACCCATTGAAGACGAAATTCCGATGTGTGACACTTTAAACACCACAAGTAAAGGCACCATTAACATTGAAATCGTGTCACAGCAAAATGTTGATATCGTGAGCGGCGAGAATGCTCACCTATCCAGAATCCGCGTGGTTGCTTTCTTCCTACATTGATGGCGCGCTAAAAAATGAGGGCAAACAAAAATGACTTGTGGTCAAACACGTTGCATCGAATACCACTCACTCCGCACGCGTGGCAGAGCGATTGTTTTCGGCTAACCACGAGCTAAATGGACATGCACGGCTTCTGCACGTACAGACAGCCGAGTCACGAGACAAATGCATTACCTTCAACGTATCAGCTGTCCGAGAATTTGCTCTTGACGGCTATTGCATGTCCAGGCATGCTAACCTCTGGTAAATCATAAAATAGTTGATGTTTCTGAACCATATGTATGCCCAAAATGTGTGGGCATACAATCGATTCATTTTCTTGTGGTTTCTATTTAAATCGCAAACGGAAACAATTTCAATCGAAAACAATCTCCTTTGTCATCCAATATTTTTGTGTACACGCAAGAAAGCAATCATTGAAAACTACATTCGACATGTACATTATTATTTTTGGAGGACCATGGTGTATGAAACTGTTCAGTTTACCTACAATCAGCAAAAAAAATTAAGTTTCTGGATCTCATGCTTTCTGTTCAATGCACAGTTTATTGCGTATTTATTTTTTTAACCGGTAGAAGAAAGCAATACGGAACATGATAGAAACATAACCTGAGCCAAAAACTATGTGAATATCATATAAGTTATGGTTTCATTGCTGTGATATTTGCCGTCACATCAGGTCATAAACATCGACACTTTCAAACGGTTCTTCAATTTGTGAAGGAAACCTATTTCATTTCATTAATTCGATTGGCATTGAACAATTCGACTAGACAATATTATACATGGAACGCTATGGTGCAATGGTTTAGGTGTCCGATTCATGTGCCGTGGTACATGGCTTCGAACACTGACAGGAAACATAGTGCTTATGTTCTTGGGCAAGGCACTTTACTACGATTGCCTCTCTCCACCCAGGAGTATTAATGTGTACCTGTGAAGGTAGAGACCAGAATGCGCTGATCTCGAGCTGCTGTAGAAATTTTTTTTTTCATTTCTGATGAACAGGGATAATAATTGTAAAGCGCTTTGAAACCCTAAGTATAAGGCGCTCTAAAGCACCATATTACATTATATACACGCATTAACCGGCATTGAGATCACTAGTGCACTTCTATGTACAATGTACCATCCAAGGTTGTACTCCATTAAAACAGCGGTCATAGAAAACTGAAAATCGAATAGAAATAGCGCTACCTGGCGGCAGGCAGGAGCAAGGCCATCATTTGTTATTCCATGGAAATTAAAACTTAGGACCACCTGGGCAATTTTCTTGAATTGAAATCTCCCACAGATAGCTTTTTAAATCTTCCCCTCCTCACCAGTGTTGTAGTCGAGACCGGATAGTCCGAGACCGAGACCAAGACTGAGACCTGAAGTTGCGAGACCGAGACCGAGACCGAGACCATGCCAGCCCCTTCAAGGCGGACCGAGACCGAGACCGAAATGGTCCGAGACCGAGACCGAGACCGCGGATAATAAATAACAATAATCTAAATAAACAACAAGACACTAATTACAGCTGAACAGTCTGTCCTTGAGATGTTGATGTTCATGGGGATGTGAAGGAAGTGATTGAAAATTAGGAATCACTTCTACCTGCTTACTTGTGTCATGCGAGTGCTCTTCGTGTTTGCTTCATGCCATAAATTACAACATGGCAACAATATTTGTTATTGTCACAATCAATAAAAAAAATTGGAAACAACCTAATTTAAAGGAGGGGAAAACCTTATTTGATGAACTCCATATATTTTTGCCACTTTTTTTAAAAATATTTTTTTTTTAAATATTGTTTAACTACTATAAAATGTAAATCTCTAACTTAGCAGTACGACAATTTGTACTAGTTTTTGCAAAACTTGAACATGTTGAAACTTGACAAAAGTAAAAAGATCAAAGGTGGATGTTTCATCTGTTATAGGAACTCGGACCCTAAACTCCACAGCCACCCCTTGATTTCAGCAATGACCACTAACGGATATTCAAATGCAACTTTAATTTTACATTGGACCTCCTTGTAAACCTGATTCGAAAAAAATTTGGAGCAAGACAATATTGATTTATTTTTTAAAATTTCAGTCATGGAATATAGATTTGTACATGTAGACCAAAAAATTGAGACATGGTAGCCAGATATGGATTGGTCTGCCCCCCCCCCCTCCGCATCCCTCTTTGTGATTCTCCTTCCAACCCTGCATGTTTGTGTGTCCCCTACATGTTTGTTTCTTGTTCCTCTGTCATTTACCTCTGAAGAAGGCCTGGCTAAGGCTGAAATGTAATGCCACTTTATTTTTGTTTAATGTCAATAATGTTACATATACTAAAGAAGATTGATAAACCTATTTGCCTGATCTATCTTCTGTTAGTCTGCCCGCCGTCATCATCGTCATTAGCCTATTTGAGAATATGGCCGAGACAATAGAAGGGCGCTGTCACAAACTGAATGTGGTGGGCGAGATGTACTCATGGCTCAGTGCCCACGCCTCTCTGTGTTTTGTACCGTGCCATCGTATCGCCCGCATACTTTGCTGGGCAATTTAGTTGAATATTTTAGTGATTAACAAGTACGACATATTGCCAATATATTAATAGTTTATTGTGATGGCCGTAAAGAGCATATGGCGATTAATGGAACACAATTCTTCTCGACTCATGCAAATGCAATTGACATTTAGGAAGGAGACGAGGCAGGCAATTAGACTCTATTTTTGTGTGACCATGGCAGTAGCTCAATTTGTGTTTATCACAGATGAAAAGATGAATACATGGCGAGTCAAAAAGAATGTAACCGTATGATAAAAAAAAATGGCATGGTCCATTTTGTAAAAAATATAATTGGAGTAAAGAACATATGTTATTGAGTAGTAACTGTGAACATTTCACGTAATTTGCATCTCTATTCCCAAGTCGTGTCTATTTTAATAAAGAGATCACAAAATTCAGCTGTCCACCACTAATACCAATTTAACGGTCTACGAATTGATGAATATCCATTAATAAATATAATGCAAAAAAAAAGTTTTCCCGCCTCCACGAATAAAGGAAAAATTGAAAAGGAAAATAGAAAAACAAATCCACCAATATTTCTAGGGGAGAAGAGTTGAATTGTTCCCCGTATTCAAAATACAAAATCTGACGGTGAAAATAATGTTTCAGTCTTGATTCATAAGATTTAAATCTCAGTTGTATTTGGAATCAATGAGGATGGCTATAAAGTGCTTGTATCAACAGATCATCCCACAATAAAAACGAGAAATAAGAAGAGGAGCAATGGTTATTGGACTATGCCTCACTCACTAGAAAGTGAAGAGAGACATGTCCATTAGCATCACACTGCAGTCACATTTGCCCTAAACTGATTCTCTACTTAACCCTAAAAAGGCCGGGGGCGAAATCCCCCCCCCTCACTTTTTGGCTGGTCTCGACTCGAGACAAGCCAAAATATCGAGACCAAAGGGGACCGAGACCGAGACCAAGACCGAGACCACAGCTCCCGGCAAAAAGTGGTCTCGAGCCCGAGACCGAGACCGAGACCGGTCTCGAGACCTACAACACTGCTCCTCACACAACCTCTAAAACCGTTGCCAACATCTGGCCCAAGTCTAGATGAGGCCCCGCCTCGATGCTGGATGGGACAAGACCTTCGCGATTTTTGTAGACAAAATCCCTCGAGTTGGAAGCCACAAGTCCCTAATGCTTGATATCCAGAATTATCTACACTCTGTCCCGTGTATATACGCCGCGCGCGCCACGACCTTTAATACGAAATAATCTGTGGGATAAAAAAGTTAATGATCTGGCGCTCAGGAATTTACAGATTTTAAGGTAATGAGCTCCCAAGTGATTATGTGAAGATGGGCCTTCACGAGCTACAGAGGGCGCTGTAACAGTAAAACAAATTGTTCGCTTGTACCCCCGCCCTGCAAACATCTTGTGAAGGAAGTGGCCTATGACCTATGTATTAAGCATCTGGCTATAGCTGTTCAAGACCACAGTAAGACAATGTGCGCAAATGCTATCTGAAAACTTTCTATAGAAATACACACGTTCCATACCGGATGTGATTTCTGTTTCATTGCGTACCATGTGGACAAAATTTCGAGCTTCGCATAATGCAATCCGACCGTTCGTGATTCGAAACGGAGCCTGAGCAAGTGACGGCAATTGTAAATTTACAACACATATAAGTTTTGAAGAATTTCCTACAACGAAAAAAAATCTCTAAACTGGAATAAAAGAGTAATGAATCAGTTTTAATGGCCGTTTCAAACCTTGCAGAGTCATGACCGTGATGACAAGCAGGTCACAGGTCACGCAAAATCCAACCAATCAGAGCGTGAATTCTTCAGAGTACCCCAGCGTCCTGTTTGCAGGGCGGGGGGACGAGCGAAAACAAATTGCTGCATGTACACTTCTCACGTTGACGGTAGATGGCGCTATGTCAAAACTCACGAGATCGCCAGTGATAGAGGGCAGTGCGTTCAAGAAGGGGGAATCCCTTGTAGTTTTTCCAACTTTCTCTTTGTAATCGTGGAGGAAGTACTTGTGCACGGAGGCCACAATAACGACTGTACAGAATCACTTCGAAGGAAATGTACTCGTGAATCGAAAGTATGCACCCAAAATTTACAGTGCCATATTGCTTTACACAGTGTTCACGTAGGCCTACATAAACTATACATTCCAATGCAGGAAGGTCTACTGAAAAGTTTAATGAACAGATACTCCCCCCCCCCCGGAAAATGACTGATGTCAGGAAAGTGTAAGATCACGTGGTCATGTGAGTCGCGGGGGGGGGGGGGGAGGGGCGGGGGGCGCTTGCCCTTCCTGAAAAAAAACCAAAACAAAACAAGAAGGAGACGAGTGACAAAGTCAAGTTGCTGTTGATTTAATGTACATTTTTTTAACATGGGCGTCCGCAGGGGTGTCAATGGGGGTGCAGAGGGCAAATGTCCCCGCCCACCCTCCAAAAATTGATAAATTTAGACTATGTTAATGAAAGTACAATGATTTAGGGAAATAATGTGCTTTACCCCCTCTAGAAAAATATAATGGCGGTGCCCATGTACGTGACCTATATGTTTCTCCAAAACTTTAGGTCTAAGAATTTTCACACAATTCAATCAATGCATCAGTGGATCAGATCCGGAAGGTTCGTCCATCAAGTGGACAAGTTAATTGATTGATTTCAAATGCAGAAAACGTGTAGCCGTATTCTATAAATGTATTTCTTCCTCAAGAACAAACAGGAAAATGAAAGGTTGCGTTCGTGAATAAATAATGATCTCACTGTATTCCGGATTTAAGCATTGGGCCTAGCAGGAAGTATGAAATAACTCTTCAAGAATAAACACAAATCAACTTTCATTTTGCAGACTACAATAATATTCCATTGTGTAGGTCGCACGGACCTCTAATACAAAAGCATCTGTGGGAACAAAACATATTCATGAGCACGCACGCGGGAATTTACAGATGTTGTGAATCCCAAAGGGACCCTGGAAAGCGTGGGCGTCGCCAGGATTTTTCTAGAGGGGGGTAAAATATATTTTTCCCAAAACATTCCAAAACATATTCATGAGCACGCACGCGGGAATTTACAGATGCTGTGAATCCCAAAGGGACCCTGGAAAGCGTGGGCGTCGCCAGGATTTTTCTAGAGGGGGGTAAAATATATTTTTCCCAAAACATTCCAAAACATATTCATGAGCACGCACGCGGGAATTTACAGATGTTGTGAATCCCAAAAGGGACCCTGGAAAGCGTGGGCGTCGCCAGGATTTTTCTAGAGGGGGGTAAACTATATTTTCCCCAAAACATTCCTGTATTTCTCAACATATTCTCGATTTCTCAGTTTTAGAGGGGGCAGGGACACTTGTCCCCCCCCACTCATTAAATTTACACCACTTCTTCCCCTTCTTCTTCTTTTTTTTTTGTTGCTTTTCCGGGGAGGGGGGAAGCGCCCCCTTGCCCCCCCCCCCCCCCGACGCCTATGCTGGAAAGATGAGAATTCAAAAGATACTCTGGAAAGATGGGCCTTCACGACCTCAAGAGGGCGCTTCAATCGGTACAAAATCGAGCAAGTTCGGGTGGGTTACGAGAGTTGACTAGACTTAACCATAGTCGATCTAGATTGCACCCGAACGCTGCGTGGAATGACAAGCGTTCAGTTTGAAAAATTCCAAGCCCGCGGCCGGCCGAAGAGGAGCAAGTTTTCGATCACAAAACACAACTAGTTTGTCAGTAGCTCAGATTCCACTTGTGAGACTCATGAATAATGTATGAGCTTTGTCCTGCCCTGTCTCCTGATTGGTCTAATTTTTTTCTCCCTTCGGGAAGCTGTTTATTCGTCAACTGAACTTCCTAATGCACTTGTACTTTTGGGATGTTTGCCTCCCTTCCATCATTTTCTGAAGCAACAGTCCTTATCCTCGCTCCTCTTTTCCTATTCAAATCGGACACAAAATAAAGAACAGACCCTTCATGTCATGCATCAGGAAAATTATTATCGTTTCATCAAAGTGAAGCTTTTTAGAAATACATTACTTCCCTGTCCTACCCAATTATGTCTTAAATCCATCATGTGTGTGTGAGTTTGTCTTACATACGCAGTGTGGACTTCCGAACAAAAGACGTCCACATAATGTAGGTAGCACCGACGTTGTGTGGACTTACCCCACGTCCACACAGTGTTTCCCCATTTCTGGAAAACAGGTTTAGAGGCATTTTTGGGTTAGGTTTATCTGTAGCAGAATGAAGAGAAACACTAAAGGGAATCATAGAAAAAAATTGGGTTGAAAGAGTTTTCACAGTTTGAGAAAAATGAGTTTTTTTCACTGGTTTTTCTTAACTACACGAAAGCAATGGAAAGTCCACACTAGTCATGTGAAACAAGTATGGGTGTGTGTGTGTGTGTGTGGGGGGGGGGGGGGGTGGAGGGGGGTATTCACCCCTCAGGGTAAAAAATGAGGGGCCAATGCCCTCAGTGGAAAAAGTAGGGGCCAATGCCCCCGTCCCCCGGTTCCGCTGCCAGTGGTCATAGGACTGGGTGGGAGTGGGGATCTTTTTAACAAGGGGACAAATCGAAGTACTGATTTAAATGGACAATATACATGTAGCTATATTTTAGTCTAATTTCCTCATGAAGAAGAGGAGTAACGAAAGTTATTGTGGTCCGTATAAAAAAACAATGATCTGATTGTATTCCGGATTTTTAATCATGGGTCTATAGAAGGAAGTATAAACACGAATAAACACAAATCCGCTTTCATTTTACAATTTTGCAAAGTGCAATAATATTCCATTGCCAATTGTGAGCAAAGAAAATCATTGGAACTTCCTTTATTTTTTTTACCCCAAGTTCCTCGTTCGTACAATGCAAACACGCTTAATTAACCGTAGCTCCCAAGAGAATCAGTCATTTGGTCGTTGGAGCAATTTGGTCGTCATGGAGGACCGACTCCATTTCATCTTGTTGTTTCTTCTGCTGGGACCGTTTACAGGTAGGCCCGAGTTCTCCTATCTTGTTTCTTGGATGTTGACTCGGGCATTTTTTACTGCCCCCCCCCCAAAAAAATGCTATAGTGATTGAAGTACATAGTGTAACCGCCATTTTTGTATTACTTCGAATTCTGTATTTGATATTTTTTCTGTTACGAACATTTTGTGCAGAGCTGACTGATGGTAAAAAGACCACGTCAGATTTGTTAAACTGTTTCTAAACGCACACGGCTCTATTCATTTAAATCAGAATGGCTATTCACTGGAGGTCTTTTAATGCTTCTGGTCTACACAATGGTCCAGATGTAGCACATCCATGGGCGTTATGTGTGTAATCCTGTAGGATGGCACTACCCGGCTCACAAGTTGCAGCAGTGGCGTTGCCAGGAATTTTCAGTGTGTGTGGGGGGGGGGGGGGGGCTTGGGGGCTGGAACATTTCATGGGGGGGGGGGGGGCGTCATGTGGATCAATGATAATTTTTTTAAGAAACTCAAAATCTCAGTGGGGGGGGGGGGGGGGCGACAAGGTTTCATGGGGGGGGGGGCTGTCCCTGGCTACGCCACTGAGTGGCAGTCAGTGAGGTAGTAAGTCAGTCACTGATTCACAAAGAGGAAAGTATTCCGGCCTCTGGGACCAGCACAAACCCTCGATAACAGCAATTTTTTTCTACAGGTTTAGGAAGGGTGTATCATGTAGTGTTCACTAATATTCCACAAAGCAATGTTAACTGGAATAATTGTATGTACATTGAAAGTGTCTAGAACATCTCCACTTGAATGGGGGAACCACTTCCTCCGCTTTGTGCAGCCGATTAAACGCGCTTGTGTTTCCAAAGCATTGCAGGCCTCGCATGGGCCGATTTAGTGTACAGTTTATGTACGAAAATGCTATTGCTTTGCAGGTGTTTCAGCCGTCGTTGATTTCACCTGTATCACCAAGCCCCGTATTGATATCGACAGTGAAGACACCTACATCGCCGCCTATCTGAATGGCAGTGATGCTGAGCTGTCCTTTGCTCGTACGACGTTCACGCGTACTGGTACCGATACTCACGACCCACCACCACCGTTAGAGCTACCTCTAAACAGTTCTAAAACATCCATGGCATCGGAAGGAAATCAGATCTCTATTCTTCGATTGCCGGCGGCTGGAGGGAAGACTAGGATTGGAGTATTTGCTTGTAAAGCCACCAGGGATGACATCAGTATTGGTACCGTCATCATGAGTAAAAACGGTAGGTGTGAGGAATTTAGATTGTTAAGAATGGGATAATCAACAGAGGGGTATTCAAATCCCCGTGGATGGGACGAGGGGAGAGGTCAAAAGATCCTCCCCTTAAACTTTATTTTTAAGTTTTGCATTGCCATTTTGTTTTAGGTTTTCCGGGGCCTTTTTTGGTTTTGTAAAATCTGTTGTAATTTTAAACATGTGACACGTTTATTGCCTGTGACAGATTTTAAACATGTGACGCCATTTATTATTATTTTTCAAGTGTTTATATTCACAGTGTGTTTAGTTTTCGAACAGTATTCAAAATTGGAAGTAAAACTTCAGTCACAATATTAACAACATTGAAATAAACGCATTTAGGGCACTTCACAAAGCTGTCTTCGTTTTCAGCTATAGGATTGTGGTGAAAGGCCTATTGAGTTCTATCGAATCATGAAAATGGTCACAATAAAATACAAATGTATATTTATGGTCACCCTTGGAGAATATTTTGCATCACGCCAGCAAAAATAATGTGACATTTATGTGAATATACTACCATGCCTATCAGTATGTTTCCAACAATCCTTTTTTTAAGACCCCAACATTAAGGCCAATTACAACTTGTACAAGTATCAAAACAAAGAAACAAAAACATAAACAAACACAAAAGGGTGCATTTGAAGTAAATGAATATATCTGTAAATAGGGCTAAAAACAATTATTTTCCAACTCAATGAGAGTTAGAAGTAAAACTGCAAATGAATCATACTTGTTTTTTAAAACCTATGAAGGTTTGCGTTATAGTTTGAAGTGGTAAAATAAGTATTGATCTTTAGCTGAGATTTCAACAATACATCCAATTAATTTATACACAAATACCTTGTAGTGAACTGCATGAATTTGCTGGAATCTGCCAGGAAAACTTTTCTCTGATTATGATTTTTTGAAAAGAACTCAAAGCACGTGAAAATACTTTGGATAATCCAAATCAAAGGCATAGTACCCCGAAGCTGGAGAAGAAGCGCATCATTGTACGTGTTGTAGTTTGAGACTTTCTTGATGGTGTCTCCACATGTTGTGTAAACTGTAGTTTTGATGCAGATACTCTGTCTGGTTCTGCACCATTCTGTGGACATAAACAAGATTTCTGAGTGAGCCATACAAAAACTGATCAACTTTGAAAGTGAAACCATGCTCACATTAAAAAAAAATAATGGAGACCCTAAAATGACAAGTCATTAAAAATGTTTACCCCAGGAAGAATATGAAAACTGATTACAAAATTGGGTTCAAAAGTAAATTGCACAATTGTCGGCCTTTTTGGGACTCACGTCAATATTAACCTTTGTTACCAGAGATAATGTGCACAAAGACTGTAAAGTTACAGCTTGAGCTTGATCATGGATCAAATATTAAAAATAAAATCTGAAGAAAAAGGCAAGCTTTTCACAGTTTCGTACCAATAACTTTGCAGTCATGTAGGTATTTACGGAGACTTTGTATTTAAAATTGTATTTTAAAATTGTATACACCTAGAATGTTAAACTTTTTCATTTCATGATGTTTTACCGCCAGAGTAAATTTACAGTGGAAGTTGAAAGGTTCTTATGCAAGATAGAATCTCAACCAAACATCATCATTCAATGAAATTGAAGATTTGAATAATATATTTCACAATACAAAATTACCTCATGAATAGTTAGCATTCTCCTCGTCTTCGTACCCTCGCCACGTTCAAACTTGGTGTTCTGCTGAACGTACATGTATGCAATTACATCGAGCGTCTACAGAGGACCCTATATTCAAAACATAACACATGTTCTGTAAAACGAATGGTTTTGAATCCCTGTGAAATACTGCATTGTACCAAAAATTGGGGGATATCTTTTATGTACACGCACTGCGGGTTTTTCAAAAGTTGTATACACAGCTGATCTTTACAATCACACACTGCACTGCCAAATGACGATCAATGCCAAAAGACACGTACCTTATTTTAAAAGTCAATAGCTTCTTTCATCTGCAAGGGATTAGACACACCCTGAAAATATACAGAAAGAAAATATTAAAACAATATACGCCCATAACATCATGTGAAATGGAAATTATGGTTAAACAATTTGTACCTGACCTTACAAATACTAGAATTTTCTTTTCAAAATCATTCATGCTGGTCCCTTTCAGCTTACATAACTTAGGCAGTGGTGATAACACTAGCATGCTTTTATTGAATAGTTAAATCACGATTTCAAAAAAAAAATCCACTTCACTGAATTTTCCAAGATTACAAAAAAATTGACACTGCGTGTTTGCAATTGTAATTCGCCCCATAGGCTTATAGCCTCATATTAAGTATACACTCAACATAGACCACCCCATAATGTGGCTCAAATACAGAACTTCCTTCATAATATTGTGAGCTGCACAGCAGTTATACTGTATAACAGCATCGTCATCCAAGAAAAATAATATGAGGAAATCAAAATCAGGGTTGTTTTTTCCTCTTCATATTCATGTTTTATCACACGATCCTTTGGCCAATAATTGCTCCCACTAATTCATCTCATCTCATATTTCTAAATCTATCATATTGTATATCGGGATTAATTAAATCAAACAACACAAAAGACAAAACTTACCACCTGTGTGGAAGCTTCCAGAACTGGTTCAAACTACAACCGTCCTACTGCATGCACAGAATACGTTGCATCTGAGTACTCTTGCTGACTTGGCAATATGCTTACCAAACTTGACCTCTAGCCTAGGTCATGACCAACTGTTAGTACCTTCTGTAAGACTACATGTATATTGTTTCATTACCCGATGCACATTTTGTTACCACGAATGACGATATTAATTCTCGCCATTACATTATTCTATTAGCGTGCCCAGATTATTGTCAGAAAAATGGCGGTTGTCTTTGTGCCGCGTAATGGCCTGATTATGCCAGCACGCAATCAGATTTAATCCTATTGGTTAAGACCTAACATCACGTGGTCATATTTAAACATCGTGACGTGTACCGTGTTTATTAGGTGTTGAACACAAACGACTAAATTAATAACTTGAGTTATTATTAGTGTCTTAATTAGTTAACAAGCCTTTTTCAAACAAAGTGTTATTCTTTGGGAATAAACAAAATGTTAACTAGTGAAATTGAACAGTTAAAACATTTTCTAAAACCGATCTCATAATAAACACCCTATAGCACTGTTGACATTAAACGCTAACCGTTTTGTTTAAAAACACATGATGTGTTTAATTTTGCCACATAGTATTTAAATCTAAAACACTGCGTTTATTTTTTAAACGTGTCACATTTTCTCGCGTTTTACAGTGTAAGTGACGCTTGCAAATTGCCTAAGCCCAGTCCCGCATCGTAAGCTATACACATCGCGAACTACTTTCTACCATTAATTGTCAATCTGTGAATTAATAATCAAGTTACCCCTTTTTTGTACAGTCTCTAGACAATGCCGTCCCAATTAATAGACGGTTTACTACCCGCAATCCCATGCAATGCAAGTGGGACCGTTTGGTCGTAAAATCAATCGAGTAGTTCTTTTACGGTAACCCATTCCCAAGCATTTTTTTCCATACTTTTCTTTGTATAAATTCCGGATATGTTTGTACAGTGATATTGTATCCTTTCCCCTTTATCTGCCGATACATGATTATATGCATTTTGTACTCTGCAGCTGACTTCCTCCCTAGCCGAGTGAGTCAGACGGTAAACCTGGGGGATTCAGTTAATCTGACTGTCACTGCGACCAACCAATCGAGCACAAGTACCCGCTGGAGAAAGGACGGCGGCAACGTCACCAGAAACAGACGCGGTAGTCTGTACTTTGATTTCAGCAACATCGATGCTTCAGACAGTGGGGTTTACGAGGTCCACCTTGCCCAGGCACGTCAGCAAGGAAACCAGGCACTCATGCGATTAATTGTCAGAGGTAAACATGTTTAATATTAAACTTTACTTTGATAAACATATTAAAATCACTCCGTTTAAAAAAATTGATTAGTTTTTCTCAAAGTGAGCAGAATGACCGAAGCGACAATGTAAACCGCATAGTTCATCGTTAAATGCAAACATTTTGTGAGGATGTGGTGCAACTCCCACTTCTGTTTTATTTGTTTATAGAATGCAAAGAGCATAAATGGAAAGCGTTCTCATGCAATAGCTATTGTCCAGTCTGTTTCAATGGCGGTGTGTGTGACGACAAGAGTGGAGACTGCATTTGCCCGCCTGGCTTTAGTGGACAATTCTGCGAAACTCGTGAGTCTTATAGAATAGCAGTTTTCCGGTAACTTTAATGTCAAATGTTCAAGTTACTAAAGTCATCAAAACGTTACCCATTCTTATTTTTGTATAGCCCGTTACATGGATGCTTTAAACTACACACCATCACACTGTAATATTCCTTAAACGTATTCTAGCATGCAGTCTTTTATCAATCAAAGTTACTACCTTCAACTTCAAATTAATAAATACTTTTTTTTAATTACGCCTTTTCCCCATTCGATAAAAAGAAACGTTTGTTCTGTTTGTAGCTGAAGGCCAGAACCGTTTTGGTCAATCAGGAAGTTTTCGCTGTGACGATTTAGCAGGCGATCATACGTGTACAGGGATGCTGTTCTGTTCAGTAATTAACAAATACTTTTCTTTTCATTATGCCTTTTCTCCATTCGATAAAAAGGAATGTTTGTTCTGTTTGCAGCTGAAGGCCCGAACTGTTTTGGCCAATCAGGAAGTTTTCGTTGCGACTCACTTGAGTTAGGAGGCGGTCCTACGTGTGCAGGGATGCTGTTCTGTTTACCAGATCCTTATGGCTGCTCGTGTGCTGCAGGGTACCAAGGAATCGACTGCAATGAAAGTAAGTCAGAAATCCAAATTATGCATTTAATACACTTAGGCCTAGGGTGTTTGCGTTCCAGTTGCTCACATTTTTTTGGCAAATTTCCGACCTGCATAGAATTTTCTGGGAGAAGTTACCACCCTTTTTACCCGATCGTTTGTTGTAGCTTGTGCTGCTGGTTTCTACGGAGCAGACTGTGCGCAGACATGTCACTGCATGGACGGGGTCACATGCAACGAATTTACAGGCGAGTGCTTTGGGGACTGCGCATCAGGATTCATGGGCATCAACTGCCAAGGTAATACTTTTGATCTTCACATTTTCCCTTCCTGTCATTAAAGCTTACAATCAACGTCATGCCGTCACTAATCTGTGAACTGATTTAGGTTATTGGCAAGTTCTGCAAAAATCATGCATGGTAGGTGGTGTTAATTCATCCATTGATTGCATTTTGCGTGAATTACTGACTGATAGTGTTAAAATAATGACTGCTTTAAGTCATGCGGTAAAACAAGCCACCGGTTGAAATTTGTCGGAAATTATTAAAGAATAAATAAGACTGAAAAATGGGACAGTGCTTTGTACCTGACTGTAGTCATCAATCACAACGTGACGGATGCTGGTATTGTTTTTTTCAACGGATGCAAAACTGTTAGAAAAAGTGGGCACCGTGCTTTTCGCTACGTTAGACATAATTATGTGTGTTTGACATGTCACCCCGGGTAACGAGAGACCTGGGCGGTGTTTTACGTTACTACTAATGCAGCGAATTGCACAATACTTTTGTCTCCTGATTGCAGAAAAATGTCTTCCATTCAATGGAAATGTGGCATCGTGCAACACAACTTGTACAGACTTTTTAGGTAAAAAGTTTCTTAATCTTTACATTTTTTTCTGCTATTTGAACTTTTACCATTTCATTTACTTAAACCGACCAACCTCAGCTTGGAACACTCCGCTGTTGCTGGAAGTATGGCTCCTTGACCTGATGATCACCTGACGTCTCTATAAAGATCGGGAGGAATACCGCGTCCATTGTCCACGTGATATCGTCCCCGACGTGATCCAAGATTCGCCACAATGAAGAAAAACCTACCCTGGCAAATAATTATGACTTATAGTCTTCCATTTGCTTTGGTATTAATCACTATGGGCTACACGGCGCCCTTCATTCTTATAGGTTGACCGTCTATTTCCTTGTCATGTAAATTATTTTGGTCTTGAATCTCGTGGGAATATAACGCAGTGTATTTCGCCAGCTGACCAACAGAGGTTATTGCGTTTAAATACCCTCCAACTTGAATAAAAATGAAGATATCGTTATCCTCTCATTTCAGACCCTGCTCTGGATTCCTTTTCGCCACAGATCGTTGCATCATTCACATCATTCCACAATGAATTGACTAGGACGTTCCTTTGGCAGCCCATGAATTGCTCAAACGGCATCATGATTGTGAATTACGTATACAAGTTCGGGTCTTTAGAGAGTCAAAAGGAACCAGAAGCAGAACGGGCTGAAGGCAACTCGGTACACGTACCCGTGTCGTGTGTTAATATTTTGTATGAATTTGAGGTAGCTGCTGAAACCACCAAAGGCATCGGACGATTCAGCGTTAAAAACAGATTCTCGTCCTTTTGGCAAGGTAAATAATCATGCGTATCTCTCCGTTATAATACGCTTTGAGTAGATGCGTTGTATTTTAATTGTCATTGAATTTACTTGTCAAAAGCAGTCATCATTGCTTGTGGACATGATGATCAAAACATTTACCCACCATTCTGCTGAGGAGGGGGAGTCTTGCCCCCCTGCCCTCCCCGTAGTTACGCCACTGTTTTCTACATTCGTAAAACTTTGAAGATCATAGCAATACAATTTTGGGAGAAAAACATACGTTAAAGAAGGGTTATTCTGTGATAAACCGTTGAGGAATTACTCCTTCACAAAATGTAAGCACACTAAATATTACCACTTCATCAACGATCAACTTAATATGTTTTAATCGAAGTTGTACTCTTGTTATTAGTACCTGATACTATAGATGGACTGACCGTGAATGGAAACAGGCACAGCAACCTCGATCTGACGTGGGACGCACCGGGAACCAGCCACGACCACCCCTGTCCTGTATCTGACTACCTGGTGACCTTTTACCTCATAAACCTAGAGCAGTGTCTAGATGTTCATCAATATGGCGGATCGCTGAATACCAATGACACCAGCATCACTCTACACGGACTGAAGGCGTACTCTACTTACAATGTGTCTGTCACCCCGCGAAACGAAGCCGGCAACGGTACAACATCGTTCCTTCAAGTTACAACTGGGGAAACATGTAAGATTCTTTCAAAATTTGTCGATAGAAATAAAAAATGATTGTGCTTGTGTTCATATTTTGACCTGAAATGCGCTCTCTAATACCAGTTTTGTGAAAGATGCGATTCCTTTTTGGGTATACAGTTTATCACGAGGGATAACAAAATACATCGTTCATAATTCTTCGAAGACTGCAACTAAGACATAATGATGAAAATAGCCATTAAGAAAAAAAGCTGTTAGGATTTTCTGTACGTTATTGAACACCTCTGTATATATCAGATGAATGGTACATTCCATCTGTAATGTATCGAAAGCATTGTTTGCATAAAGCAATTTTCTTTATGCAAAGAATCTGTGTTTCAACGGTAAGTGCAAATAACTTACAAAATTCAAGCAATCTCAAGTTTTACAAACTGTTATTGGGACACGAAACAGAGCCAAGCTCGGCCAGCTAGCCTAAACGAAATGTACCCAAAATCATTCATTGATAGATATCATTCAATTACCATAGATCCACAGGTTCCGCCCGAATTCAACAGCAGTTCAGCAACGACTGACAGCATCACGTGGACATGGAACCCCATCCCTTGTGGGAGCAGAGGCGGCAACATTACTGGCTATGCAACAAACTTGACTGGACCCTTTGGGATAATTGATGAAGGGAATGTCTCATCCACGTCCGTGACACACACCGGTTTAGAACCCTGTACAAACTATACTCTAGCTGTCTGGGCATACCCCAGTAAAGGGAGACGACAGCCGTTAACTATGCGGCAACGAACGGCCAATGATGGTAATAGCCTTTTTTTAATAGCCATACATTTTGAATGTCTATCGAAAAATGCGATTCACGTCTATTTTATAATCTCGCATTCATGTGTTGAGTACAATTATTTTGAGTAACTTGTGAATTTGAGTTTTAAGAAACGTGTGAATACGTCACGTGATGACGGTCAGGATATATTGACCAATACAGTGGACACATCTGGTGCTTCTTAGAACCCAAATATATTTAGAGATAGTAAACTCTGGTGCTGTACCTGCCACTTCTTTTTGAGAATTCATGGGTCACTGAAATTTATCCTGAAATACTTCCAAATCGATTTTGTGAAAAGACTGGGTGCATTTTCTAACCGTTCAAGTGTGAGATAATTATTTCCCCATTATTTTTCTTTCAATCCATACAGTGCCAGTTGCTGTATCAGGTATGTCCATCCGCGTCATATCACATGAACGAAACGAATTTGACGTTTGTTGGACTCCCAGTGAAGGACCCTGCCCTGCGACATCTTACAATGTAACATATGAGCTCATCAAGATGGACCGATGCAGGAAGCAGAATCCCCTGATTTTAACACATTTTGCAACCGTCGACACCACTAATGTTACGATCCACCTACCTGCTTATTACTCAAAGTACACGGTAAAGGTCGCGCCAATCAACGAAGCTGGACCTGGTGAAGAAAATTTCGAGGATATAGATACAAACGAAAGCAGTAAGTAGTTGGAAATAGACCCAAGGTCTCAAATTTCTCAATATTTATTTATTGTAGTGAATACAACCAATGCGTTACGTTGTTTGGGATTTGATGTCAAATTTAGATGGGGTTGGTTTCGGTCGGTCGTTCTAAAGCTGAGGTGTCACACGAACCAAATACCACGAATGAAATACATTATAGTTACTTTTTCCCCAAATCTGTAGCACCAACTGCGGCACCGGTAATCCGTAGTGCAGCAACCAATGACAACGTCACGTTCTTCTGGGATCCCATCCCTTGTGGCAGTAGACGTGGGAATATCACTCACTACGAGTACAGATTCAAAGAGCAGATACCACGTGAACAGGAAAAAAATATCGAAAAGAAAAACATCTCCAGGCTGTCGGTTACCTTTGGTGATTTATCACCGTGTACCACCTACTCAATCAGAGTTCGAGCATTTACTCGCATTGGAGCAGGTCCGTGGACAAACTGGACACAGCAAGACACAGTCGTAATAGGTCAGTGATGAAACCATGTTTAAGTTCCCCAATCTATTAATGATTCAGGTGTACGGATTTTTGTTCTCTTCAAAACTAAACACAAATGAAGAGAAACAGTGTTCTATTGCTCAGTTTGTATAATTAAAAAGAAATATAGGTCTACTAGAAGAAAACATAATAATAATACATAATTCTTTATAGCAGTGTCGCAAACACAAATCATCCAGTATTCACATGAGAATGGCATTTCTTTGTCATTGTTGACTGAACTACAACACTGATGTACAGAATAATCTACTGCCAAGGTTCCACGGGTAATCATTAAAAAGATTAATTTCTTTTAAGATAAAGAAGTCGGTATAGACGATGTGATTTGTTTAATCACGATCTCGACTTTACAAAATCAGATGGGCCCTTTTGAATTCTTCATTACTATTGCTTTACATCCCTAAAATACAATTACGATATTTTTTAAAGATGCAATTGACATCTCTTCCAGATGAAATCCAAGAACTCAACCTGGAGCCCTCAACCAATGAAATCAAGGCCTCTTGGACAACTGCTGGGAGCGAGGACAACCCTTGCCCTGTGACCTCGTACCGCGTTAGTTACCAACTTCTCAACTTGGAGCAGTGCCAACCACAGACCGACCCTGCTCTGACAAATTTGGAAATTGTGAATGGCAATAACACCGACATTACATTAATGCATGCTTACTCTACGTACAGTGTGCAAGTCGTACCGGCAAATAATGCTGGCGCGAAATACATGAAGAACAAGACAGTTACGACTAATGAGGGAGGTAAGTGCACTAAAACAAAAGAGGGCGCTTTCCCCATTGACTTATCAAGGTGGGTAGGAAGCTCGTATCTTTTGTTGGACAAACGGAAACAATACTTGCGTATACACGTGTAGCCTACATGGTCACATGACCCTTTCCAATGTAATGCAACAGCTTTTACTCAATGTCATAACACTTTCAATTTAAATCCACTTTATTGCAGTGCCATTGGCTGCTCCAGAAATCGACAAAATGCTCCCTTCCAATCAGAGCGTTCGAGTGTCTTGGAATCCAATTCCCTGCGGCAAACGAGGCGGTGACGTCACAGGCTACACGTACGAGCTGCGTGACGCATCTGAGTCCAGGGTAGAAACAGCTGACACCACGGCAGAGTCTGTTGAAGTCAATGGTCTGCCACAAGGGGCGTCCTACTCCTTCAGGCTGCGGGCGTTCACGCGTGTAGGGCCGGGGCCCTGGAAGGAAGTTGATTTCGATATTCCAAAAGGTATAGATTATATAAGTTATTAAATAATTAAAATTTTTACTTATCGGATTTCAAAGCGTAAAAGGACATAACGTCCTGGAATGCGCCCAATTGGGCTACGAAACGCATTAATTGGAAATAACATTTAAAAGTAGGAAATAACATCCACGCAACCATCCTTTAAAAAATGGGAATTTTTGTGTTATTCTTGCCAGAACCATGCGAGAACGAATTTCAGGAGTCAGCATTTTGACACTCAAAAATCGATCTGATGGGTGGTAGTTGTGAATCCAGCCGCTCAGTGCATCGCATTATGCATTGGTGCTATGTGTATTATGTGGCACAATTACAACGTGTACCGTTAATTGACTGAACACGGCTGGAAAATACGATTACACGTGTGCCACACATGTACGATGTAAACAACCGAGTTAATTTGTTTTACCTCTTGAGACGACTTTACAATCGTATGAGGCCTTCATAAAATTTTGAAAGAAATCATCCACTTTTTTTCAATTTGTCTTTCTTTCTTAATTAAGATGATACTACTGCGCCATCTCCGCCTACTCAACCTGGGAGTAGTCCTGCGGGCTTAGTTTTGGGCGTGGTCGTCTTCCTCCTGGTAGCAGTGGTTCTTGCTCTCGTGATAGCTATCATTGTCAAGTGAGTTACCATAAGTTACCGTACGTTACCCGCGATTTGGCCCCGACAAGCTTTGCTGTCACATAGTACTAATATGTTTGCAATACAAAACAAGAGGTTCTGGGTTCGCCCACCCCCCTGCAAGCTGTGAAGTTCCTATTGCAAGCGTAGGATGTGAGGTAACATCGGTGAAGATAAAAAAAACCGTTATGGAATGTACCATAATTTCTTCATAAGCTTTATACAGCCAGCGGCAATGTCCTTCCTTTGAATAAGCTTTCGAGGTTTTCTCCCACTTCCAACTTCAGGTGCGGATCCGTGGAGGGAGGGGGGGGGGGGGTAAAGCACCCCCAGCTGTGACTAGAAATAAATTTAAAAACGTATTGTGATTCCACCTGCTCTCCCCCCCCCACAAAAAAAGCCGCTTGGTTACTTGGGATATTGCTACACTATTCTGTAGTATTATATATTATTGATGATCGTCGGATTTAAACAGCGCCCCCATTGAAGGTGTGGTACGAACCTCATCCCCCCACCCCCACCCACCTATCAATTTTACAGAGGCCAAGTGTCCGGAGAAAAAATAAACTCTGTCAGGTTTCAGCATTGATTTATTTATGCGACCCCTGCCCTGCACAAATTCCTGGATTCGCCCCTGATACTGAACATTTCTTCATTGCCATTAATTTTCCCCTCTGGGTTTTGCCAAGCTTTAGAGCCACAGCGTCTCTGCGCTTTTGAATAATCCTTGATTCAATTCCTAGAGTAATATCAAAGTGATTAAAATAAATAAAAAAGTATCTTTTTAGAATCAGATTTAGAATGTTTTTTTTTTTCTGCCAAAGGAAACAACGACAGCGAGGGAGCCATGTACTGACTTTGGGTGACACTGGCAATGATGTCCAGGCTATTTGTGTAAACGGAAACCAGGATGAAGGTATGATTTTCAATTACTTAAAAGCGTTAACAAGTAAATACTAATAGAAAACAAACTTCAACACTGGTGTTGTTACATTTCATCTGTAGTCAATGTTACTAGCAAGAAGGAAAAGTTTGCTAGCTGTTGAAACATTGAACATTGAAGATTGACGCCGAAATCACCCCCCCCCAAAAAAAAAACCCCACCCCAAACAAACAAACAAACAATACCATGAGAAAGACTCTCGACTGGCCTTTTTGCCTGCTGATGGTCAACAACTTCAGTGTCACAGTTGTCGCTCCGTTGACTGCTGATACCGAATTAATTTCATTATTCTACGAATTGTACGTTAACTATCATTATATGGTTTAAGAATCTTTAACAAGTGGTGATAAAATGATTGAGATATTAAAGTTAGAAAACTCTTTGAAAACTGACATTTGCAGTTTCAGTTGAGTTGGAGAATTTACCTTCAACGTCTGGTCACAAGGCATCAGTTGATGCATCAGCCACAGAGGGCCTATCCACTGACGAACCATTGACGTCATCCACTAATCCACCAAAGTCTACTGAACAGCAAGCTGTTGCTGTCTCTCCCAAAGCTGGACCATCCACAACATCCACTGATTCAGCATCAGCACCCGGTCCATCCACAACCAATATAAAGGCCTCTGTGAAGCCCAAATCGTATGCCAAGTCTGCCACCAAGCCCAAGCCGAAGGCTTCGGCAAAGGCATCCCCGAATTTCTCCCAAGCCGGCCCAGTTGCCATGGCTCACCTGGCTGAATACATCAAGAGTAGAACAGCTGGGAAGGTCAATGGATTCCAACAAGACTATGAGGCGAGTCGAATTCCTTACTTTTACCAAGATTAAATTTAAACTTGATAAGACGTATGGGAGTGAAGACGTATCGGCACTGTGTTTCCTTCGCATGAGATCCAGTGCCTACGCGCGAATTTTACGCAATCAGCAGTTGCGGTACCAGACTGGGGGGGGGGGGGGGGCAGGGAGGAGAGGGGAGGCTGGGAGGGCCGGGGGGGGGGGCGAGTGAGTAGCAAAGATATAATTGGGGCCAACTGAGAATAAATTAGCGGCGTTGGAAAAATAGAAGGGGGCTGGCCATCATTTAACGCTTGGGGCGCTATCTAAAACCATCCAAATGCGTGTTTATGTACATATACATTGTGTATCAAAAACGCAAACAAAATATAATGGAATGCCAGACGTAGAGTGTGTAACCATCATAGATAATATAGGTATGGTTTGAAAGATACGCCTTTCCACTTTAAAATAAGACATCAAACGTCCAAATCTGATAGTTTTTGACAGAGTTTGCCAGTAATTTTCCAAGAGAGAGGTAAAATTGACCATGGGACCAAGTTAGGCATTGGGACAAAGTTAGTCTAATTGCCTGGCCTACAAAAATGTGTTTAGCGAGTAAACACAATTCTAAACACTTTATCTGTTTGTAAACATGTTTACCTGCTAAACATTTTTAGCATGAGGTGATGGCAAAAACCCAATACGCTTGCTAACGTTTGTTCTTATGTTTGATGATCTGTGCTTTAATAAAAAGAAATTGTGATCATAATATTACCCTTTTTTGCAGTCGATTCCAGGTGAACAGATGCACTCTTGGCGCGTCGCCAAAGAGGACCAGAACAACAGGAAGAATAGATACCAAAACATCTTGCCATGTGAGTTTCCTTTCTGAAGATGTATGTCTCATTTAGTATTTGGTAAATAATAGAAATACAAAGTTTCTTTACTATTTTTTTTTAAATCACGTTTGACGAGTTAAAGCATGCATCAGGACCTACCACTGATTTGAAGTTAAACATCATGTTACATTTCAATGTTTTTATTTGTTCAAAGTGGGAGCGGCGTCAAAATGTAAACAGTGTCAAACGTTAAATGAAGTCCCTTCGTTTAAAAAGCTATTAAAAATGCCCCAAACTTCTCACAATGGCAATAAACTGCTTTCGTTAAGAATTATGCACGTTGCTCTATACTACCACAATCTTGCCATGCTTTGCCTCGACAGATGACCATTCTCGCGTGGTCTTGGACTGTCTTGAAGATAACTCACAATCAGACTACATCAATGCCTCCTGCATCAACGTAAGTCTTCGTCTCGATCTTTTCAAGTAAGGATGGACGTTTATTAGCCGCATTATCAAATACGTAGAAGTAACATGCACTGTTTTTCTCTTCATTCATATAGGGCTACAAGCATGAGTCCAAGTACATTGCATGCCAGGGTAAGTAACCAGCGAAAACAAAATATAACGAAACATGTAAAAGCTTCCATCAATGCATTCTGACTGTTGTACTAACGTAATAATGGGAAACTAATTAAACGATCTAATTTTACTATTTAAAGCACTCTCCTGACTGATGTACCCAAGTTCATTTTTAAAATTAAAAGGGGATGTTGCAAACAAAAGTGCACCTCTTACCATGAAATCGTATATCCAAATCATACAATCTAATATAACATTTATTAGTTGGAAGTCATGTGTTTTTCCCTCAAAATCAAAGATGTCTAGAGGTGTGAACGCTTTTTAGGCATTGGAACGAGACACTCTGTATGTGTTTCATACCCGAATATAAAATTTAAAAGTCTTTTTGCCTAATAAATTAAAGGTCCGACTGAGGCCTCAGCGGACGATATGTGGCGCATGGTGTGGCAGGAACGAGTGGGAAAGATTGTCATGCTGACTAACCTGATCGAAAACGGCAAGGTAATTAAAATGAGTCTAATTAAATTTGCTTCGTGTTCTGTCCTAATCGAGACACAAAACCGCACCTCTTACCCAATCTATTTCCATTCAATAATAACACTTCGAGATTATTGTAGGGCCGCCATATCATGTTCCTGAAGTAACAAAAATTAAATGACCCGTTTTAATTTCAAAATCTAAAAATAAAGCAAAGCAAAAGACAGTAAAGATAAATAATCATAGCAAAGTGTTACGGCCAAGGCACAAACGTTGTAAACTCCATAACCAACTGACACAATTTAGTCTTTCTACCATTTGTAGTGCAAATGCGACCAGTACTGGCCCGAAGGCACTGCCGACTACGGGGAACTGTTTGTCCGTAAAACGGACCAAACAAAACACGCAAATTTCATTGTGAGGACTTTCCACGTGTCGAAGGTAAGTCCAAATTGTGAAACTCTGCCCTCTTTTCCAGTAAAGTGATTTTAAAAGCAAACATGCCACCGCAGGCTGACAACAGCTAACTACCCGACAGAATGCTCATTTGATTTTTGTTTGGTCTTACAGAGCAGTGAGCCTGAGGGTGAATACCGTGAGTTAACCCAGTTCCATTACACCACCTGGCCAGACATGAAACCACCAGAGTCATCTCCTTTACTTCAGTTTGTCAGAAGGGTTCGAGAAACAGACACTTCACAACATGGACCCATCGTTGTCCACTGCAGGTATAATTACTTAACCTATTTGTATCTTAATTAGATATATAAATGTTTTCCACAAATGCAAAATCCTCCTACCCGATGAGTAAGCCTACATTTGTCTTTTTCGTTTGGATATCTAAACCGATATTATAAGCCATTAGTATTCCCTATTGATAGTAAAGGATCGTGTGTCTATCATGTCATCCTGCCGTCATATTTACAGAGAGAAACTTTATAGGGACCAGACGATTAAAAACCAAACATCACTCAAAGTTTGAATTGAAATACTTTGAATCGACCCACCGGAAGCAATGTATTTTTATTTTCAGAAAAAAAATGTGAATTTCGTTAAACTTTAGATTGTTATTTATTCGAGAGACGTGACTTTATTTTCGTTGGTTATTTCACTAGACCTGACTTATGCTGTGATATATGTCTAACACATAGCTGGCATGTTGTCTATGCCTACTTTAGTGCTGGAGTTGGCCGCACAGGAACCTTCATTACAGTGGACTCCATGCTTGAGATGGCGGAGGAAGAGGGCCAAGTCGATGTCTTGAAGTTTGTAAGCGACATGAGGGAACAGCGCTTCCTTATGGTCCAAACTCTGGTGAGTATTTATTTCGTATCTGATGAATGTATACAGTGTGAACCTGGAGGTGTTATTAGAAAACAAGTGTGCAGGATGACCAAAAAAAGGCTCCACTCTCCTTTTTTTTTTTTTTTTACAAATTCAAGCAAACCTGAATGCATAAATTGTCTTATTATTCATGGTAAGAATGCTATGTGTCTTGGTTGTTATCTACCAAAAAATTGGATCATACTATCAATCCGCTTGGGACAGAAATGCTTAAATATGAACTCGCCTCCATTTGCCAACTGCGCTGGGGACTCAAATCACCAATTTTAAAATGTCGATTTTTGTCAGGTGTGCTTTTCAAAAATTCTACTTGGTATCTATTATGAAAGACCAGTCATCAGTTGTTGTCAAGCAAACAATAGAAAACCAACCAACCATGGCATTGTCCATTTATTGGACTTTGACTAAAAATACCTATTTGTAAATCAACCACACGTAACAATTGTGAACAATCAGCCATAGATGAACAATTGTTCACCAATGGCTGATTGTTCATTTTTGAAAAGCACACTTGACAAAAATCGACATTTTAAAATTGGTGATTTGAGTCCCCAGCGCAGTTGGCAAATGAAGACGAGTTCATATTTAAGCATTTCTGTCCCTAGTGGATTGATAGTATGATCCAATTTTTTTGGCAGATAACAACCAAGACACATAGCAATCTTACCGTGCATAATAAGAAAATTTATGCATTCAGGTTTGCTTGAATTTGTAAAAAGAGGAGAGTGGAGCATTTTTTTGGGACACCCTGTATTAATCAGTGTTGCAGACTACATTAAAAAGAGACTACATGAAAAAGACCACACCAAGTGTTGTCACAATCACAAGCCTAAAAACAAGTAACAAGGGCCGAACAATATAAGGCCTACAAAAGAATGACTTTGTCAGAGTTCATGAACTAATTTAGGCTTGTCAGGAACTTTTGAGAACTTGTGGTGACTTGTGATCGACTCGACTGTAACACTGATAGTGGTGAGAAATGTTTGCAAATAGACTCCTAAGATGTTGTGTCAAACATCACCACATTGCACCGTTTGTATTTCTAGGATCAATACAAGTTCATCTTCGATGCTCTCTTGGAGTCGAGTCTGTCGGAGAACACAGCCATCAGTGCTGATCGCTTCCATCAGAGTTACGCTAAACTCAAGAAACGAGACAAGAAGACAGGGACTACTGGCATTGAATCTCAGTTCCAGGCAAGTCGTCTGAGATGCTTATGGGAAACTGACCACACTGTTAAAAATGTCCGTAAATTTACGGACTCCGTAAAGTGAAATTTTCCGTAATTTTTGCCGTAATTTTACGGACTTTCCGTAAATGCAAATATTAATTATGCTAATTAACGTGATTACAATCAACCAAATTTGCCCAAACACCTACACAAAATAAAGTACATCCAAGTACATATTGTTATTTCACCCACAACCGTGTACTCATGTCCAAACTTATCTTAAGGGTCTGTTTATTTTATGGAACGAAAAACTTTTCCGGAAATTTTGCTGCCAGCAAAAAAAATAACGTTCCGTATTCCTGCAGCAAAATTTCCGGAATTTTTTTTTCTTTCCGTAAAATAAAGAGACCCTTAACATGGGTTTGGACATGTGTACACGGTTGTGGGTGAAATAATAATATGTACTTAGATGTTCTTTATTTTGTGTAGGTCTTTGGGCAAATTTGGTTGATTGTAATCACGCTAATTAGCATAATTAATTTTTGCATTTACGGAAAGTCCGTAAAATTACGGCAAAAAATACGGAATATTTCATTTTACGGAGTCCTAAAATTTACGGACATTTTTAACAGTGCATGATAATCGGCGATTTCAGAATGAAATTGTTTTTTGTTTGTTGTGGGAGAGGGAAGGGGAGTGGATTTGTGCTAATCGAAAGGGTTGATGGTAAAATGGAAGGGGCAGGACCTCATTTGCCATTACCCAGAGGAAGGGGCGCTGTTTCCCTTTTATATGTCTCTTTATATTAAAATTTCAAGAATCCGTAGATGGAAAGTGGAGAAGTAGATCAGTGCTGATTAAAAACAGTTGGTTGCACTCCTTCTGGTATCTCTTATTTTCCTCATTTTTGGGTGAGGAGGCCGGGGCTGGCTTCCTGGGATCTGGATCTACCATAGTCCATGATAAAACTCCTAAACACGCATCTAACATTCACAAGTTCTTTGGGCTTTAATGGGGGGCACTTTCACAGATGCTGGAGTCGTTCACCGCATCACCGAGCGAGGAGCAGTGTATGGGAGGGAGGAGCGCCGCCAACGGTGACAAGAACAGATTCAAAGACTGCATTCCTAGTAAGTCGGTATTCAAAATGGAGATTAACTCATGTTTCATACTGTTAACGTCAACATCCTCAAAGTACTATCAACTTTATTAAAGCTACAACAAAGTATGTGCAATACAATGGCATTGGTCCACAACTACCTATTCTTTAAGAGTTTTTAAACAGTTGTCCTGCATTTATTTATTCATTATTGGTTCCATTAGCCCCAAGTATCAACACAATAATCTGTTTTGTTGTCTTCTTAAGAAGCATTGGTGACTGATGCAAGCTTATGAAAAAAACGAGCTTTATACGGCAGGCAATTTACAATGTTCCTCTTATTACTGTTTGTCGTCCTATAGAAGACAACACCCGACCGTATCTGATGACAAAAGGTGATGAAGGAAGTACCAACTACATCAACGCTACATTCCTGGATGTGAGTCTTACATACTTGCCAGACATATCAAAAAAACTTTGTTCCATACCTCATCCTTCAACCCTTGAGTAATCCTAAAGTTCTCGCAATGTATGGGCCCCGTGCGCCAACGAAAGAGCGTTCCCTTTTTCCTAGCAACGACGTCCCATGGGTGGGACATTTTGGCTGGTTGACGCGCACCGTTCCTTGTTTGTGACGCATGTACACCAGGGGATTTGGGTACTAGGCAGTGGTACTGCCACGCGTCGCGGCAAAACTGCAGTCAGGCAAGATGGCGTCGGTAGGTCACCCCCATAGAGCTATAGCTATAGAGCTATAGCTCTATGGTCACCCCGACTGTACTTTCATGGCCGATGAGGGGGTACTTGTGAACGGAGCGGATAGCTTAACCATAACGCTCTCTGACATCGCGACCTCGCCAATGGCGTAACATCTGAAATGTCGGCATTTTTAAGCTTAATTTCGTATATATACTGTTTACAAACTCTCGTTAAAGGATAACTATTCCGCAGAAAATTTAATAACCTTGGAGTTAAAGAAACTTTTCTGTGTTCTGTTTTACAGGGTTATAACAGCAAGCATGCCTACCTAGCCACCCAGGCACCTCTGCCTAACACACGGGGTGATATCTGGAGGATGGTGTTTGACTACAAAGCATCTTGCATCGTCATGCTCAATTCCATGGACAATGACCCGGTATGTAGCTTGTTTTTGGCATATGTTAATTATCAAAAAAAGGTTATGTGCACTGACCTGACAGATACACTATACTTTTAGCCAATAAGCCCATTTCTCTTGTGACTGTTGTTATCCTTTTTCCAGAGTGTTGTCCAGTATTGGCCGGAGAAGGACAATTTGGAGTTCGGACCACTGACCGTTACACTGACCCGTGAGGACCGGCATAACGAGGACGTTATCATACGGCAGTTTGATGTTTGCCATCCCCTTAGCAAGGTAAGCCATTCGAGAAATTCGAAAGAAAAAAATAAAGACCATTTATCAACTAGTCTTGAATTTCGATCATGATATCTCGTTGATTTGTGGTCGGACGTCAACAACCTGGCTTTCTGCCTTACGCTGGGTGTTTCTGGTAACAAGCGAGGTATCTCAGGTTGGCTGACCCAAATGGTCAAATAGACTTCTCCAACTACCGTCGACTAGCGTGCGTTCAGTTTGTTGAGGCATAGCCTATATCTGTATGTGGTTGACAATAGTTATAGGTAGATTTTTGTTTATGAAATAGTTTCTTTAAGTTGCAGCTTAGTCGAGACAGTCTATGTTACACAGATACAATCCGGTAGGCCTACCTAAAATTGTGTTTCTTTTGGTAAATGTCCCTATAAAAAATCAGCACACGAATCAATTATCTTCTGCTACCAGATTTTCATAAGGCCATAAAGACTGTAGGTTCTGTTCGCTAGTTAACAAGGCAAACAATATTTTCAACCAATAATTTTGATTAATAGAATGACGAGGTTCAGAGCGTCTGCCAGATCCAATACCTGGGATGGCCCTCTGTGAAGGAGGTTCCAAGATCCCCGTCTAGTCTCCTTAAGGTGCTGGAGGCTGTTAAGATGTGGACGACTGACCACCCTGATGGACCCATCGCTGTCCACTGCATGTAAGTACTCCACAGGGCCGTGGCAACGCAGTTGTACTTTCAATGTCACTTCCCTTATCTAAGTGTACATATTTGATTCCATGGGATCTCTGAAACATCTTACAGCTTTTCCCGTCCAAATTGTGTGAACTAAACTTTCTCCCTTGAGTTTTTTCATGAGCTTTGCGTCTATATCGAGAACATCTATACGGAGTTTTTTTTTTCCGATTTAGGACCATGAACCCAAGTGAGGACGGTCTTCGATTTTAAAATGTGTATAAAACCGATGAGAGGTATACTGAGAGGTATACTGAGAGGTATATAAACAGAGGAAGACAAGACAGATGGAATGTCCTCGATTTACACCATTCACAAACGTGTTTGCGTTGCACTTATGAGGTATACCTGCAAGAGTCATAGACAAAATCATATACCGTGTGTTTCTACCACTTTACTTCTTCTACTCCTTACATGTTATTTTTGTCTCAGTGACGGTGTTGGATGCAGCGGAACCTTCTGCGCCTTACTCACACTCCTGGACCACCTCGCAGTGGAAAAAGTTGTAGACGTCTTCCAAGCCGTCAAGAAACTCCGCACCACCCGGGCTGGGATGGTCAACACTTTGGTACGTTTCAAAGCATTATTTCTGCATCACTAAATCTTTGGATCATGCATAGCCTTTTTATTAAGCGCAATATTGCGATGTGGTATTAAGGACTTTTTGAAACTTCGGCCTGTAAACCGTTGCGGTTTCATGAGATTTTGTCCCCTGACTTAAAAGGGTACGTGGATGCAGTTTAAGCTTCAGGAAAATTAAGTCCTATATAAGCGGAATGCCAGTATTCAGTATTTGCAAGCTTGGTGTGAACATTTAAACATTTTTATTGATTCTGTAGCAAGAGATGGATCCGAAGCTGAAAGCGAAGCCAGCTTTTTGGAAAGTCCCCCGCCCTCCCTTACGATCCATTTGAATCTTAGTTCGTGTCCGAACCAGGTGTAGTGTTGCTTAAATGGTGACCAAATGTAACGCAGTAGCCAGAACAACTGTGGTAACTAAAGCAACACTTGTATTCATGATGGGATGTGAAGAATACCACCAGTTAAATGTGAACAGGAATTAAGTCAACTCATACCTTTGTTATGTTTATAATTTCAGGCTCAGTACCAACTGTGCTATCAGGTGATGCAAACCTACTTGGATTCCAGCTCAATCTATGAGAATTATCGATGAATCAGTTTGGGACAACTTGTTAGACATCATAAATGTCAGATTTGCATGTCCATTAATTTGTAACCGATACTTAACGTTTTTGTAACGACAGAAAGGATTTTTGAAAGGGTAGGTTTCTCTGCTTTAACGTCAATATTAAATCTATAGTTTGAAATTCCTGCTCGGCAATTTTCTGTTCGTCTTGGGGCCAGGCTAGTAGCCTTATTGTTCCTATCTCGCTGACTGTCTGACTGACTGACAGACAGACAATTATAGACCTGAGACGTAATGACGTTATGGCTTTGTTTACATTATGCGCTTTCCTATAGGAGCGAAGTCGGGACGCCAGATAAAGTGGGGACGTCTTCTACATAGGAAAGGGCATATATGAACAAAGCATGTCGTCATTTTAGGCTTATTGTGACATAGACTGGTTGTATACTGGCATAGACAGCCGGGCAGTGTTATCGTATAGGAGTACCCGTAATGGGCTAAATGCTGTCCATTGTGTAGACGAGATGTTTGACAACTCTTCCAGTGAATAGCCATTCTAAATCAATTGAATGCAATTTCTTTACTTTGTTGTGAGACCATGCAGGTTGGCTAGTCTTGCTCACATTATCTAGCGCGAATTCTCCCTGTTAAGCAATGGACTATCCTCCCATATCTTAAACTCAGCTTTCGTTTTCTCCACCTGTCGTATCTTCATCTTTGCGTTCATTTCCCCGCGTATTATTATTCAAGAAATGAAGTGACAATTGCAGTCACAATTGATCTCATTAATTGATTACTTTTATACCTGATTAAACAAGCGGTAATTTATGCATAAACGTTTACCCAGACACCATGGGTATCAAGATGTACTATAAAAATCCATTATGTAAACTTAATTACAATTGATAAATGTTGTTGCTCATTATTGTAGACAACAAAGCTTTTGTCGTAGAATGCGAACAATTGAACGTATAATAGTCAACATCGATATTAGTGCTTTTAGTTACTTAAATGATTTATTGAGACACTTATACGCTAATATTCAGCATGATATACAGACACATTAAGCAAAGTCTCTTCATATTTCTATACTCAAGATGTGGTTTAAATATTGTGTTATGGTACAATTTTAGTAATAATTATTATATCAATCAACGACACACTCCAAAAAATGTGTTTAGAAATGAAACACAATTTTGCTGCAGTTTGTAAACATGTCTAGAGCTATTACGTGTCCAATTCCTGAACATCAATGTTCAGTTGCTACATATGTCCATCAATACTCTAAACATGTTTAGTATTTAGTCATGTTTGCAAAGTGAAAGCCAGAAAGCTTTTGTTTCTGCAGCTTAGCGAAAGGGTTGACAAACCATCGTAGACACAGAAATTAGCGAGATGGCTGTGCTAGGCATTAACATAGTGAGACAACTCAGCGGCGACTGAGCTTTTGTTGTTTATGAAAATGTTGTTGTAAAAAAAACCAGTAGTATACTCTGATGTTACACGAGGCTTTTACTGATGGGATTGGTTTGAGGTAACACTCAAAACTAATCGCTTTATTGACGACAGAGTCTATAGTAAGTTTTAGAAACAAAGCTTCTTGAGAAATTAACTGCTTGTTCTTGAAGCTAACAAAAAAAAAAAACAGTCTAACGACCTCCGCAGTGTGGTACTTGATGTTGGTTGTTTGAGATAAATTAGAGGTCGCAAAGAGGGAATGGCGGTTACCGTCAGACACTGGCATAGTTCGGGATGAACTCGATATAAGCAACACAAAGTTAGAAAAGCAGACGAAAGCCCTCCAGGATGCGACAGTCGGGCAGGGGTGAATGATAATGTGGGGAAATTGGGTTACTGCATGAATGGATGGCTGAAAAACCGGCATGGTTGCTGACACAATAAGCGACCAGAAACGAAATACAGGTACTTTGCTGGGTTACAAAAGTGGCATATTTCACCATGTTTTCCGTCAAACATTGGAGTGTACTTTTTGTGCTTTACAGTACTTTCATGTTAGTTTATTCAGTGCATGTTTTGAAATTCTCAGAAACACATTCGTTAGGTAACAGTCCAATTAAAAAGTATGTAAACGAATTATATTATGAACCGCAAAGTGGTTATAATTTAAAATGGATTTGTTTTCCCTCAATTTTTTTTTCATACTGGTACATCATTTGAACTTTAATCCACAACAATATCCAAATAATACACTGAGCAAATTACTATTTCGATTTACAATCCAAAATAAAATGTCATTGTACAGCAGCGTAAAGGTTGACTCCGGTTGGGTTTTTTTGTGGACTAAGAGCCGCTATATGTAATTTAAGTTCATACAAAGGAACAACAAAGTTGTCTTTGTAAATTAAGTTCATATCAACGATACCGTGTTTTGTATGTTAAAGATAAAGTTGTTGAGGTATTGTGTGGTTCATGATTGCAAGACTGATTGTAATGTGAAGCATAATAATGCTTTAAAATCCTACATTATATACGATCCTTATAGATGACGATTTGAACTACAAAACAACACAATTATGTCTACTGCATGTTTGTAGAGCTGAGTTAAAGAAACTTGTAATGTTAAACTATTAATCGATAAACCCATTTAATTAATCATCAAACCACCAAATCTCTGCGATATTACCACAATTCACCGATGTCATATACATTCCAAAACAAAACAAAACAGAAAACACACATCACCAAGCGCTATCTGCTCTATCTATATGAATCAACCAACAACACTATGCGCTATTTTTAACTTTTCAATAAACCAGAAAATGAAATAGATTATATAGAGGTGCATATAAATATAAGTAGAAAGTTGAACAAAGAAACTGTTTGGAACGGCTATGAACCTGCGACCTCCAGTGCTCTACCAACTGGGCTATCCAGTCCTATGTTGGTGGTTATTTCAATATCTTTGTTCAAGGGTGCTAGTGAGAATCGCTTTTATTTCTCACATATACTTCAAAAACAAGGATAAGCTAAAATAAACGTGCCCGTATTCCACTTTTTTTGTCTTGCCCTAAAAAAAAATGTGTAGCGGGAATTATTTCTAGAATGAATATCAGTCCACAAGGAATTAATCCATCGGACATTAAATCAACTCAAACCGAAGCGCATGTCTATGTAAGTAGCGAGTAGGGTAAATGGAATGGTTGAAGTAATTAGTGTGAGGGGTAGAAGCAGAGGCAATATCCCTGCAATCAAACAACTGAAAATAAAACAAAATAGAAGGAAACGCTGTAAAAAAAATTGAAAATTTTTTTATGAGCACACTTTTTTCTCTAAAAGTACACACAAATAAAGCGCGAATGCTAGGCCTACCTTGATATCATTGTTTTCCTTGATGTACTTGTAGCTAGATGAAGGTGTAGGCTTGTAGGACACCTTAAATTCTGTCACAAGATGTAAGGTCCAGGCCAGTTTATTTCCTTGTGTGATGACGCCAGAAACCCTAGTCGTTTGGAGGAGATCCACTTCAATCCAACAGGGCGGGCTATCATGAGCACATAAACCAAAGAGACTCATCAGTGTCATTGATAACCAAGGGCACATTGAAGGTTGCAGACTGGATTTCCCCGTGATTACATGAAACATTAAACCACGTGACATGCAAGTACGCATGCGCTAATCTGAATGGATAGGGACAGGAGCCGATATCGCACGATTACTATGTGTTTTACATTTATTGTCTCCTTTCGTGATATAATAATCGAATTCAGTCGCTACTATCTGTAGACCCTATTTGAAAAATGTATATGCTTATCATATCCAACAGGACTGAATCGGTATAGTCTAATATAACAAACCGACGCATATGAAATTAGCAAAACGTCATTACTTTAATTATCTAAGTTTGGTGAGGATCCATTCACGGTTGCAAAAGCTTGCCAGTCTTTCAACCCGGCGTAGTTTTGGTCCAAGGCGGAAGTTTTTTTTTTTGTTCCCGTATTCAGCCGGTCTCTGAAATACAAAACACCGTCAAACTGCGGCGGTGGTGGTAGACGGCACAATCAAAACGATGAAACAAATTCAGTCTTGGGACTTTAGCAGTGGGACCCATGAGATTCCGAGCATATCAAGCGCACGTAAGGGTTACTTGGAAATTCTCAGGGTCGTAAAATCTAATCATGTTGATAGCGCCCTCTAGGGCCGAGATAGTTTAACGGCGCTTGTCAGGGATTGGGCGAAATAAACCCCTCCTCATGCGAGTGACAAGTTGGAAATGAAAGCGTAAAGTTAGGTCTTACTATCTAAGGTGAATGATACCCACCGAGACCAAACCTGGAAGATGTCAACAAAATAACCAACTCTTCATTTGTATGCGAGAGTTGAATGACTGGCCATCAGTTTGGCTACTTCGATGCGTGCCCGATGGATGATAAGCCACATTAACCTAATGAATGGATAGTGGTAGAAATGGCGTAATGGTTATTGGAATACGTATGATCGTAATACCAATTCTGGTATGGACTCGGTTGCGTCGTTCATCAGCAGAATGGACGCTGGTTACCTCCAACTTTCTTGATTAAGTTCGACTATCTATACTAACAAAACCAAACTACTCCATGTACCCCGACGATACACCATGCTTTTTTTACTGATAGGATTGTGGTAGCACTCAAATTTAATCGCTCTATTTGAGGACATGGTCTATTGTTGCAGAAATAAAGCTCTTTGAGAAATTAAACGACTGCATATTTGCTTGAAGCTTGCAAAATAAACGACCGAAGTCCAACGACCTCGGCAGTGTGGTACGTGATTGTTGGTTGCTTGAGATAAATTGAGTTCGCAAAGAGGGAATGGCGGTTACCGTCAGACACTGGCACAGGTGGGGATGAACTCGAAATGAAACAACACAACTTTGGAACAGAAGACGAAAGCCTTCCAGGCAGTGACGTAACTAGGGTTAACATTCCGAGGGGGCACCTAGGGCTGCGCACATTTTTCAAAGGGGGGGGGGGGGGTGGGGGCACCCGAAGGCAAGTGATATATATATATGGTGGGGGAGGGGCACCCAGGTAGGGGTGGGTGGGGTGGTTGGGGTCACGGAAAGCCGCTGGGGAAAGCGTGCCCAGCACCCCGCCCCCCTCCCCCACCCGTAGTAATGCCACTCCTTCAAGGATGCGACAGTCAGGCAGGGGTGAATGACATGTGGGGAAGTTGGATTAATACAGGAAAGGATGGTTGATGGCAAATTAGACACGGCATGGTTGCTGAGCAACCAAAAGTGAAAAACAGATATTTTGTTGTCCGAGAAAAGACTGGAATATTTCATCACGGTTTCCGTCAAACACTGGAGTGTACTTTCCATTGGTTTCAGTGGAATCAAATTACTCACAGGGGTCTACTTTCATGACAGTTTATTCAATGCATGTTTCGAAATTCTCAGAACCATATTCGCTATAGACTGTTTTTAGAATTAATGTAAAATACTTGTGTTTTGTACCGGAAGGTGATTATATTTTCTACTCGTGTTTTATATACCATTTTATAGTCAAAATAAATATTCAAACAACACACTAAGCAAAATACCACATAAATGTAGATTAAAACCCTTAACAAATGCCCTTATACAGCAGCTTAAAGGTTAGTGACTTTGGTTGTTGTTTTTGTGTGTGAAACAGCCACTATACGTAACTTCTGTACAGGATCTGATACACTGTGCCCTCTGGAGACTTGTACACAATAGGGAACACAAAATTGTATGCGAATTTCAGCCAAGGAAATTAATTCTGGTTAAAATAAAAGCATTTTGAAACTGTACTTTCAAACTCGAAAACTTTAGAACATGAGAACAAAGAAATGTCTCCACAAGGATTCAAATTTCAGTATCTTGGAACAACAAACTTTCTTTGTAAATAATGTTTATATCAAAGATGACGTTTTGTGTGCTAAAAATAAAGTTGTTGAAGTAACGTGTAATTCGCAAATTAGTGTTCGTAATGTCAACCTCAAAAAGCCTTAGAATAATTGAGGTGTATACGATCCTTATATGAAGATGTGAACCACAATGCATCAAAACTATGTATACTTACTGCATGTTTGTAAAGCTTGATATTGATAACATGAATTAGTTGTAATGTAAAATTTTTAAATATAAACATTCACTAAATAATTCACCTAATCTCTGTGATATCAAAATTTTCCGTCGAGACACTTCGAAATGAACAACACGGATATACCAAGCGCTATCTATACGAATCCGCCAAAAGCTATACTATGCACTTTTAATTTTAATTGTCGAATGAACAGCAAGCGCAAATTGATTAAAGGTGCATATATAAATAAGTAGAAAGTTAAACAGAGAAAACTGACAGGAGCAGGGTTAACATGCGACCTCTGCAAAGTCGTACCAGTGCTCTGCAAACTTGGCTATCAGGCCCCATGTTGGCGGATACACGTTATTTCAATATTTATGTTTAAGGGTGCTAGCTTGTCAGAATCGCTTCAATCTCTCACAGTCATTCCAAAAAGCACAAATGCTCTAAGATAGATGTTCCATTTTCCGATTTTGTTTTGAAAAGAAACAACAGTGTACCAGGGATCATTTTTAGGTTAATGAATGTCAATCCACATGGAATTAATCCATTGGACATTGAATCAACTCAAACCGAAGCACAGGTTTACTGATGTGTACAGTAGGGTGAATGCGCACAGTAGACGCCATGATAGCCTGGTTGAAGTAATTAGTGTGTGGGGTAGAAGCAGAGTTGACATCCCCGCCATCAAACAACTGAAAAGAAGAGAAAACATTAGAAAACGATGTGGAAATTAACTGCTTTAAAAAAAAATCTTATAAGAACGATGAAGTTACTTTTCTATTCCACTTGGGATT